TTTGTCCGAGCGCAAATTAAAGAAAGATTTATGTTTTAAGGAGGTGAAGATGTTTACATATTTATGAACAGGTAGGAAGTCTAGTTTTACCAGCGGTGGTCATGATTTTCAGAGTGAAAAGTGCAGGGGGGATTTCTGTCATGGGGTCGGACACACCGCGTGCCGTCGACACCAGTACCGCCTTCCAATCGCTTCTTGTGAATCCACTGCCGAGGCCCACCCCGAGGTTGAAAAGCGAAATCTGTCAAATCGATAGAAAGGAACTATTATGTGCAAATAAGTTAAATGTTTTATTGTTAATTTCTATCATTTATTAGGATTATTCACAAAGGATGGTCACGAAAGTATTGCATGTCCAACAAAATTGTACAGTTAATTTTCAACAGTTGAAATTTCAGCAAATAAGAAAACACTTTAAGGGTTGCACCTTAGTTCAAATAACAATATCAGAGTCAAAGTTAAGGTCAAATAATCATTTATTCCACAGGCACATTTTTACACGTGAAAACGTCATTTTTTATGCTACTGCTCGTTCACTGTGCAGCCTTCCCTAAGAAGAACGAGCTAGAAACTAGGGATTGCTCTTTCAAACAAACTTAAATAAATGCTATAGACTAACGCTTTGAATCATATTTGTGTGGAATGTAGACTCATGTTTTCTTACCATAGATCTTCATTTAACACGTAGTCTACAATTCTGTAATATGACTTTTTAATTAAAATACTTTTAATGTACATTTTAAACTTAAGAAATGATAATCTTAATATGTGCTGCGGAATTTTATTGTAAAAACGTATACAGTTCCCCATAAAAGAATCGTTTACTCTAGTTAAACGAAATCATGATATCATGAGTTCAATTTATCAAACGTTAAAGTGACAACAATGCTGCCATGCAATAAATCTGTTAGCAGTCTAAGGGTCGTATTCCAGAACTATACTCAATGCTCAAGTCAGGATTTGAGCAGACTTGAGTATGATTTCAAGCACTGGAAATCATACTCAAGTCCTGACTTGCGACTTGCGAATTGAGTAGAGGTCTGGAATATGATCCTAAGATTCATCGCTGTCAATTCATCCTTTTATATCTACTGTATCTCATTTAAGAAGAAGGTAATAATATAATCTCCTCTTAGATCATAGTCCGCCATTCTGGCATAACAAACTAGAAATTCACAACACGTATACGGCACCACAGGGAGTGTGGCCTTGCGGTCTCAATTGAGAAGCAATCATTCTCCGATAAAACTACCACCGCTGTCCGCTGCACTGCAAAGTAATACCCTACCTGTATATTCTTTACGGATCTTTTCCTCCAATAATATAGATTCGGTTGATTGAAAGTAACGTTGAGTAGAGACGCGGTGCCCGCCGTTCGTTTTGTGCCAAGGGTTGCGAATTGCTGTAACAAATGAATTATAGCAACGGTGAATATGGCGTTCCTTAGTATGCCTGTATTGGCAATGAAATTACTCAAAAGTCGAATTTATGCGAATGTGGAAGAACATCTGATATAGGTTATGCAACTTAACAAGTCGATATTTACCGACAAGTGAAACAATAGCATGATAAAGAAGAAATCTGCTAAAAATAGTTACATATTTTATTTATACTCGAATGTCAACAAATACATCTGTGAATTAAATATAAACATTTCATTGTTACATTAAAATACTTGCTAATTTTGTAATATTATTATTCTATATTTTATCCTAAAGAATTTTCCAATGATAAATATATAAATTTAAATTATCAATGATACATACCACAGACATATATCTAGATAGACGCTGCAAGTACAGCAATTTGTATGAAAACCAAGCGTGCTACATTTTTTGTACCCACTAGACGTAATAAGAAGTATTTAGTGATGGAAATCTCCTTCCGCTCGCTATAAATCGATTGATTGAACTGAATATGCGTGTTTACGCGTATTTCATTCAATTAATCGATTCTAAATAGAATAATTATTGTTCAAGTATTTGTTGATTACAAGTAGTCGTAATATTAATATAGTAGAAAAATACTAGAATAACATAGTCAAGCCCTTTATTTTACTTGTTTTTAAAATATGTTGATTACTTTAAAAAAAATTAAGACTTAAATTTTTAAACGACTTCAAATATTAAACTTATTGTCCTTAAAATAAAATGAGCTTATTATATAACATCTTTTTGTAATAGAAGATCTTATCGATTAACTTAAATAATGAAAACGCACGCCAATATATTATGAACTTACGACTGCCTTAATTAATTTTACTAGATGGTTTTCTGTTGGTAATTGATGATCAAATCGATAAATGGCAAGAGAAATGAATACGTTACTGCTGACAAAATATGGTAAAATCTTATTAATCAGAAGAGGTTTACTTAATGACGGCCTCGTGTTAAATTTTTGTGATTTGTTTATTTCTCGAATTTGTAACTCTGCTACCACCTTCGTTCTCGAAAGCAACCAACTCATACGTACGACCAACTCCAGGTTTTTGTAAAGGCAGCGCACTGTTAATTCTTTGCATTATATATTTTTTGTATACTTGTACTACATATCCGGTGATATATGTAATTATTTGTTCACTATATTCGGACATTCGAGGCAACGTGCTGCAAAAATTATCGAAATTACAGATACTACTGATAACAGATACTACAAAACTGAAAAAAAGAACGTAACGTTACTAAACGTTATAACAAAAGAGTTATAGAATATTTTTATAATATTGCTAAGGTCATAATAATTTTTGTCCCTTTGTTTTCAAAATCGATTAGAATCGAGAACAGTGTCGCCTAACATCAGTAAATGTTAAATTTGGCCAAAGAAATGTAGAAGCGGCCGTACCACAAAACTGTATGCATTAACCATAGGACGCACTATAAGTTTCCGGAACTGGCCACTTACATAAATAATATTTAAAAAGTAATTACAACATAAAAATAGGCAAAATAGGCGCCTTGAAGTCGAGTTGCGGATACCAGCCCGTTACACCAAGTACCAATTACAACGTATTTGAAAATGGAACTCTTTGGCTGTAGAATATAGTTTGTTTCATCTGACTGCCACTTGTTTCTACATTGTGGCGTCATTTTAGAAATTGGTTGTCTACATCACCATGGCTTTAACTCGTGAAGATTTTCGTAGTATGATTGTCTACGACTTTAAGTGTAATTTAACAGCTCAGCGGGGCTTTCCTTGGCTTCAAACTGCTTTTGGCGATAAAGCACCATGCAAGACGACATATTTATAGCTGGTTTGCAGAATTCAAACGCAGTCGTGTGAATCTCAGTGACAAATTTCGTGTAGGTCGCCCGTCCACTGCTGTGAACAACAAAAACATCGATGCTGTGCTCCGTATGATCAAAACAGACATGCATGTGACATACCATGAGATTCGGGCATCTTTTGGCATAGGTGTGAGTCAAATACAATCAATACTACACACATATTTAGGTGTGAAAAAGCTGTGTTCTCGGTGGATCCTACACAATTTCACTGAGGCTCAAAAAACGGACCGCGTCACTAGGTACAATGCCATGATTACCGGATTCAACGAAGGGGCGTCAAATTTGATGTGGGACATAGTAACAGGTGACGAAACATGGATTTATTGTTACGATCCCAAAACAAAGGAGCAATCGAGCGTATGGGTCTTTCGAGATGAGCCGAAACCAACCAAAGTGGCGTTTTTTTAATAAAACTGGAGACGTGGCTACTGTTGTTTTGGAGAATCGTTGTACCGTGAATAGTGTTTGGTACACGACCATTTGTTTCCCGGAACTTATTGACAAAGTCTGTAAAAATGAGCGGAAACGCCATATCATCTTGCACCACGATAATGCCAGTTCTCACGCGGCCAGACAGACAAATGAATTTTTGAAGGTGAACAACGTTGACCTTATGAGCCATCCCGCGTACAGTCCCGACCTGACACACCTTGTGACTTTTATTTATTTCAAAAAATTAAGAACCGGTTAGGGGGCAACGATTTTGAACACTTGAAGAGGCTGTCAAAGAGCATGAAAAATATGTTTCAGAGATTGTCACGAAGGAGTGGCATAAATATTTTCAAAATTGGTTCGATCGTATGAAAAATGCATTAACGCTAACGGAGAATATTTTGAGAAACAATAAATTCATTTCTGACCATTTCTAGTATTTTTTCTTTAATTCATTCCGGAAACGTATAGTGCGCCTCACGTACAAAAGTGCGTTCTGTTAGGCGGCCGTTTCGATTTGTCTTTTTTAAAAAAAAAGAACTAACTTCCCAACACCCGATTTATTGCAGAAAATTACACTCAATATAACTAACTGACTTCCCGATTCCCGGAGCGATGTACCGCTCTTTACGAGTGCCAATGTCTAACTAACTTGATTTGAGGCTTACGCGAAATATGAAAACTTGCACATTGCATTATGGAAAAGTACAGCTTTAATATAAATATCAACCTTTGCAAAATACCCATATTAGGTTGGGTTATAACAGTTCGTTCGATATTCATGGCATTAACAAAGGATCACAATTATATCGCACAAAGTAAAAGCCGCAATGTATTACAAATCACGAGGCATACACTTGGTTGCATATATGTTTTCTCGAAATTCGTACAAAACCAAAACAATTGTTTTTAAAATAAATGATGCATCTTATGATTACAAAATCCCTTGCCGGTGGTAGGAAACGTCCCCGTTAGCTTTTAGCCACAGTTATGGCGCTTTTGCAGTTTATATTGGCACAATAATGCATTATCCGCGTTTTCGACTGGTGTTTATCTACGATAACGGTCGAGCGGCAACTAAGTGAATTTATTTATTAATTTATTTTGCATTTCACATTGACGGATGCATTGACTTACAATTATATGGACATCGGGACCGCGCTAAAAAGTGTCCGAACTTATAGGGCGTTAAAATCGTATACAGAGCGTCATTCACGCTTTAGTCTTCGCTTGTTCGACTGACAGCGAACCAAGCAAAATTAGACAGTACTTCGATGACATTACAATTTAAATTCAACGTTTTAGCTTTTTCATATTCCTTCACATGTCACTACGTTTAAATAGGTTGACTTGGGACATTTTTTTTCGTGGTTTGTCCATTTATTTGTAAGTCAATGGATGGGTGGTACAGATTTATAACCTTATGACTATTTTAGTAGTTACATTCATTTTTTCAAAATTTCAAATTACACTTAAAATTAAAATTAGAATTAAAATTAAGATACAATTTAGATTTGAACATAATTGATTAACATATATTTTTATTACTATTTATACATATATTTATTTATTTATAGTTATACTAGTTATGCTAGTTCAGATTTAAATAGTTGCATGTTTTCATTTGAATATCTTGTAACATTTGTGTAATACGTTTGTTTTTTAGGTTTTATTTCCATCGTCAAGAATTTATACTACACTTTTATGCTTTTATGCTTTTTACACTTTTATGTTCAGAGATGCCGTTTTCGAGCACCGAGACACTGCAGCATTTATTATTAGTAAATAATAAATTTATACATGTGGACGTGTTGTGCGTTACGCTCGTTTATTATCTGTTGTAAATTGCACTCCAGTGGAGTGTTGCATGATTTATTTATTGTATATTTTGCATTTTTTCGCATTTACATCAATATTAAAATCTCCTGTAATTATCATACATATATGTATTGGGATTAAATCTTTTTACCTTTTCTATTATTTTATCCATCACATGAAAATATATATATATGTCATATATATATTATATATATATGTAATAAATATATATATATATCTATGTCACGGTCTGTCCTATAAATATTTATTAATACAATATTTGGATTGGGTATTTCTATGGCGCAACATTCTATGACATTCTACAGTCAGTTCTTCAAGCTCCACTCCGCCTTTGCGGTAACGTCGGTTGTAAGACGCGGCGAAATCGTAGTTTTCGTGGTTTGAGGTTGTATCATGTTTGATTGTTGTAGGTATTATTGTTGAGGTATTCAGCCTATTTGCATCTGGCGTTGTTTGTTTCCGTTTCATTAGCGCGTTGCCACGCGGTAGGATTGTGGAGCGGTTTGATTTAATGACGATTGTTCGAGACACCCCTTCCCATCTGCATACAGTCTGTTATTACGTATTATCGCATACTTTCCGTTTCGTCTTTGCTCTTGACAAATTGTTTGTAATTTTTTTCTCTCTTGGAGGGATGCCTCGTCTAGTACCTTGGAAATTGATAACCCGGTGTCTTTGAAAAACCGCGCATATTTCGCCATATTTTTATTGATGAGTTCTATAATGATAGGCCTCCGAATTCTTTGCCTTCCAATTCTTATTAAATCTTTGATGTAACCGATTAAATTCACATTTAGTATATTTTAGAAACTATTCTATAAACTATAATTCGAGCTTGTAGTTCCTCTTCTGTTTCGCGGTGGTATTCTTCAAGTCCGTACAATACAATTTTTTTAGAAATATCGTAATCATAATTCGGATTTGGATAGCTTATAGAGGATAATTTTTGATAGACATCTATCAGTTGATTTTTTAGCTGTGCATTTTCAGTATCAAAGATTTCATTTTTTTGGTGATTTTGCTACGTTTCTAAAGCATTGGTATGGTGTAATATCTCCGAATTAATTTTGTTTATATAAATCTCTACATATTTTTGGACAGAAGATCTAAGCGCAGTTAGAGTTTTCGTTTAGTAATTTACTTATTTGTACCTAAGTACAAAATTTGTCATAACGCAGTTATTCAGATTTTTGCTATGTTTTGAGTCTATGTTATCGCCTAGAATGCTCTGGTCTTCGTGTACTAGCTCGTCAACAGATGTCATTGTGTCTTCAAACGCCGAACGCTGGATTTTTACTGGGGTGTCATCGCGTTTTGGGCGTTTTATTATGATAGCGCACTCAGGACATGTCCACTGGGGTTGTAATTCTTTCATTTCGCACTCAAGTTTAGCCTTGTTTATGCCAATACATTCGTAGTGATATTTTCCTCGGCATCTAGCGCATTCAATTAAATCACCAATCGTTATATATGTGTCAGGCAAGCTAGACACGACCTCATTTTTAATATTCTTTCTTTTTCTTTTCTATGTTTATTCAGTGTTCTCAGAAAGAAGAATAATTAGAAAAAAGAAAAAAAGGTATGTTAATAATATAATAGTAACAACAAATCCAAAAAAACAAAAATAAAAGAAGAAATAGAAATGGTTCAGTTGTACTGGGGTTTGAACCGCGGTTCACGACTTGCATGTTCGGTACACTCCCCAACACTCCAAGTCTGCCTTTACGCTTTTAGCGAAAATTTTGCTATAGTTGCATTCAAAGAAAGCTGGTTAGTGACGTCAATATACGGTCGTTTGCAGCCATTCACCCGTCCTTGCTTACCGGTTTCCGCGATCTGCTGTTTATTGCCGTTGGCAAACAATATTTAAACTGATTTCACTTGTTAAGATTGCGATATGATATAAAGAAATGGAATGTGGACTTTTGTTGGAAATTTTTTATACTTTTAGATGGCACAAAATTAATATGTAAAATTTGAGATTTACTATTTTTAAACACAATGAAATCGCGGAGCAATCGAACAATAGTTCAGTAATTCAGTAACGCGCTCTCTCTTATCCTCTACGTACGTACTTCGCGTGCCCAAAGTAAGTGTACGTTGGGCACGCGAAGTACGTACACTTGTGGCGTCTATCTAGATATATGTCTGTGATACATACCTACTACTACGCGATCTAGTCTATGTAATAAAATATATTGGACATTAAACTTCACAACTGTATTGATATAAATAATTTAATTTTGTTTTAGTTTCATATTAAATTTTTCAGATTATGTATATATTTTTTTTGTAATATGACACTCTCTCAAATGTAGCTAATTGCAATGTCCAGGGCTGGATTTACAATTAGGCCCAATAAGTGGGCACAGTATGTCAAGAAATGCACAATAAATAAAATATTAATAAAATAACAATTTGACAAAAATTTGAATCTTTCAACTTTAAATTTGGTCTTGACAATGCCCCAAACAGGTTCGTATACTATCACTGTCATAATAAATTAATAAAGAAATAAGCACAATACGGTATTTTTACAGCCTGCGAACCGACTAAAAGGCTTATGAAGCCATCTAGAGCACTAGAGATGCCACAATAGTGATTTGGCCGAATACCGAATATTCGTCCACGCTCAAGGTCGAAGCGCCGAATATTCGGCTGCCGAATGTACGGCGACCAGAGGTAACGGGGTTGGATTATTTTTGTTGAAAAAAGATAAAACGATAGAATCAATATATGACGTTTTCTAAACCTGTTCTGAAGAAGTCGCTACAGATAATATGCAAAATGATGAGGATGTGGAGAAAAATTCTATTGCACACGAAATATCTAAGATTCTAAGTCTTCTGTACGTTATTCAACATCTTCAAATTACGTTATTACAACAACGCTGACATCTCGCTGCTCACACGAACAATAAAGGTCTACAGAGAAATTCTATGCAGGACTTACATTAACATTTAAAGCAGATTGGCCTTGACCAGTCTTTCTAACTGTTTCCGAAAGACTTCTGCTCGAGTCGACTTGTTTCGGTCTAGTATAGATGGATTCTTTCTGTGAAACGTGCGAAGTAAGCTTTAAAATAATCTTGAAGTCGAAAAACGTAATTTTGCAATGTTTATTAACACGCGTTCTAATTTGGCTGTAAATAGCAATGACGTAGGATTTCTAAAATTCCAGTCTCGCGATTGTTAAATTATATTCAAATTCATTTTCATCACACTTGCACGTAAATAACACAATTGCATGCAGGCTAGCCTTTTTTTTCTCATTGCACGACCATGGCTGTAATGAGAAGACAAAAAGGCCCGAGGGTTACATTTGGGGCATTATAGTCAAGATAGCATGCATGCAATCATAGTTGTTACGTGCAAGTGTGATGAAAAACATTGTATGTTTCACGGGCAGTAGGGGAATTACAAACCTCGACTCCGAAGGAGGTCTAATAGAGTCTCATTCGTAATTCCTTATATACCGCCCTTAATACACAATGCACAATTATCTTTATGTGATACATAGATTATAATGGCGTTACAAGAAGGCATTTTGAACCACTATGCTCCGCCTTATTGTATACATAGTTCTAATTCTCATGATTTTGATGTAGGTACTCATGCAATTTGTACACTCTACTCATGCAGTGTAATGAATCACGATAACGATAAATTAACAAATCTGTCCAATTCAAAATTAAAATGTATAGTTATGTTGAACGAGTTTTATAGTACAAATCTGGCCACGCTGTGCCTAAGTTCTGATCAAGACTGTGACACTTGAAGAACAACAGAAAAACTTACGTGTGCACTGCTGTCACTCTCATCGCCGTCGTCAGGAAACTTATTAAGCCGCGGTTTAGGGCTCGTTGTGGACTGCACATCCCTTGCGTATAGTGACATTTCGATGGATCCCACGGTTATGAAAAGCTCTAAATACTCCAATGAGTCCGACCTGCACAAAAATACATACCTACTTATGTACATATTACTCAAGCCTTTGAAGTCTCATTCTGGTAGGCAGACGTAGAACGCCATTTTGCACTATGCCGACATACCTCTTGCTTCACTTACATTCATAATTTTTTCACATGCACTCCGTCCTTTTTAAGTACATTCTGGATTTACTCTGAGAACGTAATAAGTGGCCGTTCTCTCCCAATGTTGCATTCCAAGTTGATTCTATATATCTCTTTCACCATTCTACTTTAATTCATCCGCTCAAATTGATATGTCCATCCATGTGCTCAAACTAATTCAAAATTATTTTCTCAATTTGTTGTCAATACATTCTCTCTGATGTGTAGGTTATGTGTTTCCTTTTTTGTCTCTGCTAGACAATGCTACAAGTCTTCCCTGATGTGATCGTCACTCAGGAACTTAGAATGTACGAACATATTTTCGGAAATTCTTTATAATAACTGGGAACGGATTTCGATAAACTAAAATAAACTTACCCACTTTCCACGAATCCCACAGACATATTGGGATTTTTTAAAATGGAAGAAGCCGCGGTAACCGACGAACGCGATCCACTCTCCAAGCCGGAGTCTAGGTTTCGACCAAGTTCTTGGCCCTTTGTGACACCTGAAAACCGTTTGGTGTCATCAAAGCACCAGTTTTTTTGAGAGCAGGACATCACTGTAGCTCCGTGCAAGAGTCAATCATGGTTGACTCATAAACACATATAATTAATTAAATTAAATAAAAAAAATAAAAAAATATATAATTAATTAACGAAATATAATTTATACCTTAAGGACTAATATACATACAATATAATAAAACACTATTTCTAACTACTCTACGGGTCGTATTCTAGAATTTTACTCAATGCTCAAGTCAGGATTGCACTGGAAACACAAGCACTGGAAATAGGACCCTAATGGCAGGGACTTGGGTATGATTTCGAGTGCTTTAAACCATACTCAAGTCCTGACTTGAGCATTGAGTAGAGTTCTAGAATACGACCCTACACGAATTACACTTGTCGGCGACGTGTGGCGCAATCTGGTGTCAGGTAACCGGCTGCGGAATCGCCGATATAAGACACCCTTCGGCCAAAATTCTTCCTTCATGAAGGTCGACAGATGTTCGGTCGGTACTCTCACCACAAACGAAATGAAATTAATATAATTAATATTAAAAACCGGAGAGGAGCGTGTCGGACGGCTCCTGGTTAGTGTAACGTAGTTGTTACGTAACTTGTCTTAAAACTAAATGACAGGTTTTGAGGGGTAACCTATCACAAACACCAACTTGTTTTTTCCGAATCTCTTTATTCCGAACACATGTGATTTTTTTGTCATTAGTGAGATTACTGTTTTGGTATACGTTTTTGACACAGAAATTTGTTACAACAGAAGTCGCGTTTGTCCGAAAAGCTACTATGAGAACGATTATTACATATTATTATTTTTATTATTTTTTGATTATTACCTATTTAAACGTAGTGACATGTAAAGGAATATGAAAAAGCTAAAACGTTGAATTTAAATTGTAATGTCATCGCAGTACTGTCTAATTTTGCTTGCTTCGCTGTCAGTCGAACAAACGAAGACTAAAGCGTGAATGACGCTCTGCCCTATAAGTTCGGACACTTTTTAGCGCGGACCCGACGTCCATATAATCGTAAGTCAATGTTTTGAGTATTCAATAAATATCGCAGAACCGAATCGGAGCATTCTGTAAATTCGGATTGTGACTTTAAACAATAAATTAATGGTTTTGATAAACTTGTCCTAGCAAAGAAATCCAAAATAATAATCCAAATAATACGTAGCAAATGGATCCAAAAGTCAATCCCAGGGCAGGGTTAAACCTGTAGTAGGTTACCTCCCTTTAGTAGGTTAGGTTAGGCCGGGCGACCTGTTACCCCAACAGAGTCTACCGACCGGCTGGGACCAGGTGGCTTGACTTAATTGGCCCGCCTGAATAGAATACAAGGACAATGAAAGTTCCTCAAAGGTGCTGCCGCTAGGGCGCCTCTCGAGCCTTCGCGTGGCGGGAGCATGCAGCCTACCCACCTAACGGCCTTCCTTGGGATAAAACCCGCCCTTACCGGATGTAATGGGCTCTTAAGTAGCAGTCTTAGGCGAGTCTGCCGTTCGTTATTGGTGAATCCGAGATGGTGGCATACGTGTTACACGTCTGCCTCTTATGACGACTGACGGGGACATAACATGTCTCTCCAGAAAGCAAACGAGGGGTCGACTCGGTCGGTCACTGTTTGTGAGAGTTGCGGAAGAATGCAAAAGCACCACAATTTTAACTTAAATTATAATTAAGTAAAACTAACCTAAATGTATATGATTATGATTATATTAGAATCCACCTTGTACTAAGAATTATATACTTTATGTTTTACTTAGCCACGCAGAAAAATCAGCGGTCCTCGCTGTGATGAGCATCAGATCATGACATCGAGGTAGTCATTTGATTAGACCATGTGTTCGAGTACATTTGTTTCCTAATCGTTAACAACATTAACTCACCTTCTGCTAGGTACGGTTGACTAGAAACAGGGCTGATGTTAGCGGGAACGCGCGGCTTTAGCTGCTCCATGTATGGACATACTTCGAGTTCGTTTTCATAATATTCGCTGCGGAGACTGCAATACACGGATTGGTGTTAAGAAAATAAGCATCCATAAAGTGAAATTAAGTTGGGCAGGCCATATTTCGAGAGTGGTGAGTAATAGAAATCGGAATAGGACATACCGGAATTATAATATTTTTTATGTGTAACTAGCATCACTACGGTGGTGATTCAGATTTCAGAGAAAGACATTATCCATTCTACGTTTATTACTTGAAGTGACAACCGAATTGGGTCATGACTTCATGGCTATAGTAGTGTTAGACGTCCTGGAGCAAGATGCGGGCAATAGATGAGTTAGGCTATCGTAAGATCGTGGGGAGGCACAAACTATTGGAGGCCTATACCAAAACCCTCCGGCCTATACGAACATCATGATGATGTAAAATAAGCCTCCAAACGGTTAGAAATGGTGTCACATAATGGTTAACAATTAAAAAACCAGTAATTACCGAAGTTCGTAGTAGTACTTCATGTCTTTACATATTTTATGCAGAAGAGCAATTTGGTCCAAATTTATGTCGACAAGAGCGTCTGATGTTAAGTTGATTTCTAAGCCTGCACCGCACTGCATAGCTAGGCCTATGTACAACGGCGGCGCGGCGACGCAGCTTATCGATATTCTAAAACAAAATAATAAGTCAAATGGGCAAATGTCACTCTTAGTACTACAACTATGCGCCAATTTACTGCAAGTAAGAGTCGTCATATAAACAGGTACAACTACACAGACAAAATGGAAGTGGTTTCAAACATGATAGTGCTGGCCTAAGACGTCAGAGGTATACAAGAAGATAAACATCTCGACCATCTTTTTTCAACTTTTCAATTTAGTTCCTGCCTCACCATTTCTCTTTCCGTTGACTAGAAAGTCCGGACCATTGTACCTTTGTCATTAATGTGACGTCTGTCACAGCGTCGCATAACATCGGATACATAAAGAAAAAAAAAACGATGTGATCCGAGTTTAGCGAGATCTGTTCTCCGCCAAAAACAAACAACAGAAAAAGAGTTAGTAAAAAGGCATCCCCAGGAAATAACACATTTTCGTCAGCAGTATAACAATATTAAACCTCTAAGGCCTACGAGTACTAAATATATTTTCTATTACGGATTTACGTTATACAAACTTGAAAATGTTTTTTGTAGCAGCAGTGCACCTTGTGAAAGAGTACCTCACGGGAAGTTCTGCCACCTTACTTATTTCTGCCGCCAAGCAGCAATGTGAACATTACTGCATTTCGGTTTTGAAGGGTAAGGTTGCTGGTGAAATTACATGCACGTGGGATTTGACAACTTATGTCTCTGAGTGACGGGCGCAGTGACAGTGCCCCTCAGATCTTTGCGATTTAAAGTTGAAGTGCCACTCAGCACTGCACTTGTTCCGTCACAAGGTATTATATAAAAAAAGATTCCCGTGCGCTGGGCACATCCGTGCAGTTGGGTCTACATACGAATGAAGAATCGATGTGAGTATGGGGCCTTCGCCCAGCTGCTGGCTCCACTTGCGAGCGGGGTTTTGCCCAGTGGTCGGATGTCGAGAAAGGTGTTCGCTGTCCTAGAAAAAGGAATAACGGTTGGTTTTTGTAAACAAAATTAACAGATATTCCAGACCACAAACATAACAGCTGTACATGAATCAAAATATTAAGTAGATAATAAGATAAATTTTGCATTGTTCCGCAACATACTGGTATCTAAATTAAGCAGAAGTCGGCATTATAGAATACGTTACGACGACGTTAGGCATATCGCAGTTTATGAGCATTTAGAATAGGCGATAAATGGGATGTTGTAACTTTTTTATATTAATTAATATTATACAAAGTACAAAAATGCCGTATGTCATTGAATTGTGAAATGAACTTAAGTAAAAAGGAAAGTTTCGTGTCATCGTTGTGGTTCCGACGTGGTGTTGACGACACGTTACAGATTATTTTAAATAAGTAGCTATTGATTGTATTTATTTATTTAATAGATTTGCCAACGTCTGTGTACAATATAACGTCATATTGTACACAAACGTCTAATTATACAAGCAAACGTCTAATTATACAAGCAATTTAATGTTACAAGCAATGTTACTGCCACACACACTGTAAATAAACACAATATGCACTAAAACATAACTATGTTTAACTAAAATTTAAAAAAAAACGCAATATTAAGAAATAAGAATATGATTGGAAATTGATGCGTACACTACTTTTACGAGATGAATTATTCGACTGAACTTAATAAATTAAGAATTTTTTTTACGGGTCTTGAGAGGAGAGTCATGGTGAACACCAATAATATCAGCTAGGCTGCATAATTACAAACCTTTTGGCATCGAACTGAGAAAAACCAATTATGGTAGCATGTCTCCACCTTACTACTATGAGAAAATACAATGTAATTTTTCAAAATTGTAAACTGGATATTTTTAGTGATAAATATCACAGCTTCAGGAATGTCACCCTAAAATATTTTACTAGTGACGTCAACAGTCTTTAGGGAGCTATCTAGCTGTTTTTGTCTTGCTTAGTTTTATCTGTTTTTGTTATTTGTTACAAATTGTTGAATGCAAATTTGATTGCATAGACAAACTGGTCATACTCTCGTGCTTCCAAAATAATACCTTCACGTAATGCAGAGCATACGTTTAATTTTAATGCGTGCATAGTACTAGTTTTAAATGTTCTGTTTTTATACATATTTAAAGTATTTTCATGTATTTAGTTGGTAAGCCTTATTCAATATAAATAAATAAAATGTCACTGTAACTTTCTACCGTTCTGTACAACCTTGCAACTGGCAAATTTGTGCCAAATACGGTTTTGCGAAATGGAACACTAAATGTAGTAATTTTGTTACGAGGATAACACGCAATTTGAATTTTTTAAGCAACTGAGGACAATCCACCACATGATGAAACATTTTTTACCCAAATGACATGTCCAAGAGAGTTCTTCGATTGTCGAAAGACATAATATTGAAACGTAATAATTGCTGCTGGTGCGGTGATAGTTTTTTCTTGGTGATACCACAGTGTAAGTACAATACATTAGGTGTACTGTGTCACGAAAAGCCGTTTTTCTTAACGTGGAACCAAATCATGAAGTGGAAAAATTACTTACCCCTATAAAGAAACTGAAAGCCACTGACCTCTGCGACGATGATGCGTTGGAATACTCCAGAATTTATGGTGACACTTTTGATCTGCATTTCATACTGACGACCCTCGACGCCGTCGGTTACTGGCGTCCAAGCAGACTCCATGGTGGCGTTTATGGACTTTCTGTCGAAAATTATTGACTATATCTCTTCTTATATATGTCAGCAATTTTTCTAAAACATTTATTAATTCCCGTACACCTACTAATTTTATAATAAATTGCAGTATGTCATTTGTTATGAATTAGTAATCGTGGACGTCCTCACTAGGGATAGCCATTCGATCACGATGGTAGAGGACGTCTAGGATACTAGGTCGTAATATTATCACTTATGTTTTGAAACAAGTACGTAATTAATATAAATGGTTACGAAATAAAAAAATACCTGCATATAGGATTATCTGGATGAGGGTTGACTACAATCTTGCCCACCTGAAAGTCGTAATAAGTCGTTGACAAATCATAGCATTGGACACTTCACTATGCGTCCATGTATTTCATGAAAAGGCATCACTATGTTCTTGTCCGTATTGTAAAAAGGCGTCAATTCATGAAATGACTGGTCTCTTATTACTATGTATTATATCACATCACAACGTGGCTGTGTATCTCATGAAATGGCGCCATGCTATCAAATGATATATTACGTAACGATGTGCCTGGGTATTTCAGACTTGACGCCGCTTTTTCAAATTTCTTTTAGTTTATCTTTCAAAGACACTCTAGGCCCAGATTGAAAATTGGCCTAACCGCATGTTTCTGCATGACAAAGATTCTATTAATATCGGTGGCATTATTCCAGAGTAAAGTGCCGTATGTCATTCACTATGAAAATAGCTGAAATAAACCAGTGTAGCATTTTTAAAAAATATGTTTGGACGTTTTTTTTAAATGAGGAATTGTATTTTCCTCAGTTTACGGACTGAAATAAACAATTATTATTATTACTAAATGTCTCGGCGCACCACGATGTCTGTAATTGCAAAGATCAACCTGTGACGTGTACATATGTAACGGTACCGCGCAATTAGATAATAATAAGTTCTATAAATTGTATAGTGTTGTGACAGGCCACAAAATAATAAGAACATGCAATGTACCGTTTGAGGTACGTACTACATACATGAGAATTTTTTTTATATGTGTGTACACTATTATTTGGGACTTGTCGGTATACCTTTGGATACGAATAGAGCATAAGAGCCAATCGGCTCGTTGCGATATCTGCCACCTGTACAGCGTATAAAGCCACTATTGATACTTTTGAGTTTGCAACAGAAAAGGTTAAGTTACATTGTCAAAACAGCACATTTATTTACAAACAGACATTAAGAAATTACAATTAAGACAACTGTTTGTACAGCGTAAGACTGTACACGGAATATCAGCTATTCATAAGTGATATTGTACTAATAAATTATACGAACTGTTTGCATTTGCGCTGTGCAACAATAGTCTTTATAGTATTGGTGTAAATAGATAAAACGGTTACAAAACGTACATTTATGACAAAAGCGTCATCCTTATCGGAGCTCTCCTTCTCTTCAGTAATTATAACTCTGACACCGCCTGCTGTTATGTACACGAATGGCCACATAATCATCGGTTTTCTGGAAATAGAAATAAATAAAGATTGGAGAATTTTGATTGTAAATACGTTAGCTAATAATTGCACTAAATAACATTAGTTTATTATCATTCGCATTGTTACAGTGCACCCCTCATGGAAGAATGGCATAAGTGGAGTTAAGTCAAAAATGTTTATAGCTCCTTCCTGTTAAGTGCAGAAAAATATAATCAAAGTCCTCTCCAATTTTTATAATTCTATCGACTAATATTGTAAATAGAGTTACAAGAATTGGAGAGGATGTGGGTTATATTTTTCTGTATCTAACGGAGCAATTATGCCATTCTTCCATTAGGGGTGTGAGTAAATTTTATTTTTTAACATTGTAATAATTTAAAACTTTACAAGATATAGAAAAAATATTGAACTTTTTGAAAACACATTTAAACTACAGTGAGCTACTCGTACTTGCGTGTTTCCGGGCTGACGGTGCACGACGCATGGATTGTAAAAAGACGCAACATTCGTAGGAAATGTTCGAAAACTGACGGCTGTATTATGACTTCTATTGGCATAATGTTCGCATATATCTCCCACATTAGATCCGGATTCTGCAAAACGAGACATATTATGTCAGATGAAATCTCACGAATAATTTTCACATTTCGATACCTCCAATGAACAATACGCCAAGTTTACTTTTTTGTCATTTTCTGTTATTTTGTAAACAGCCATATTTATTGACTAGTATTATGCTCTTCGAATTTTGTAAAAAAAAATAAAGAAACAAAATATGAAATTAGAGAAAAAAAACAGTAAATCGAATTTTGTGAAAAAAAAAAGAAAAAGAACGAAATAAAAACAAAACAGGTCCAAAAATTAAGTTGGCGTAGCGTTCATTCGAGGTGTCGATTTGTTATTTCTTAAGTATGTAATGAGGCGATAAAATATTTGCGAAAGTTAAAGTGATACTTACTATTTTTGTATCCAACAGTTTTGGGTGCAACTCTTCTTTCCAACTGGGTGGTATATTAGAGAGTCTAAAAACACATTTTACTATTAAAAAGTATTCCCGTTAGTTACCCAAGAATAGTACAGTTGTGCTATAGTAGAACAGAATAGTTGACGTACTTAAATTCAACTTCATGCCGGTTGCCATAAAAACTGTCCAAAGTGTCAAGCTAACTATCGCGACTTGGCACCTTTTAAGAATGTTTTGTGTTAAGTTAATGGCGTATCTTTCAATAAATAAAAATAAAATTAATAAAAATGTATTTATTGAGATGTTTTGTAAAAGAATTTCACTAGTTTTGTGGATTACGAATATGAATACAAAGATCGAACTCGCAGAAAAGTTCGTCCACACGTTGGGACTTGAACCCACGTCCTTGCTGCACCGTAGCACTATTCTAACCATCTGAGCCACGGGTCCAGTTGCCGAGTCGTCGAAATTCTCCTATCTATTTTTGTTAGAGATCTTTGTACTGACTTTCCGTATTCATGCCCGCTAGTGACATCTAGTGAGAGGTTTTGAATAACCTTTTCACCGCAGCCGGTATCTATATAGGTATCGCGACAGACACAGATGTCCCTTTTCGATGAAATGTGACTGTTTTAAAAAGTAAGTATAATAGCTTACGAGGCTTGTGTTATTGTAAGAGCCAGAAAGTGGGAAACCTCTTGCGCTTTGGCCGGCTCTCGCACTTCTATCACTCGTCCGTTTAAGGGGCCAGCGACCCATTCGTCATTCTCGTTCCTGGTGAAAGTATAAAGTACTTATTATTATATAAATTCAAAAATATCTTTTCATTACCCTTGCACGTAAATAGTATGATTATATGGAGGCGAATTTGACTATAATGCCCCAAAATTAAACCCTCGGGCCTTTTTTTGCTTCCAATTCCAGACCATTTTTTTTACCACGACAATATCACCGCGCTTAGGGCGCGTGTACACGCTAAGATATTCGACGTGTCTGCTACAGAAAAGATGAGAATGGACTTGTACACGACAAAAACTTTGTTGGATCTAGCCACGAAAACATGTCGTGTCTGTTGCAGACGAGAAAATGATGAGTATTTACACGATACGAATGCTTTCGGACAGACGTGTGCAGGGTAAAATGTGTCAGTGCATTACTAGTCTTCCAGGTAGCTGTCGTTTTACTACCAACTGTGGGAAGAAATATGTTGTTGAATATGTTGACTACTAAGCAACACCCGGCCACGCGCAGAAACGTGCGTTTACTGACAATGCACCTCACCCTGCCCCTACAATAGTGGCAGAGCGCGTCGTGTCGGGGGTAGATAAGATATTTTTCTTGACCGGCGCCGAGGCAGTGTATCAGTTTGTGTGGAGAAACGAAACGAATTCATGCATAGACCCGGCGACTTTTCTTAGCGTCAGTTCGCTGTAAGCGTTTAAACACACCCACGAAGTTTGGTAATTCGCTTACAACGTCTTCGGGGGTGGGAAGAATGGTTCAGTTCAGTGCGACCACGCGTAATCATTACACGTGAACACATTGAAACACGCTGTCAAAAATATCTGAATATTGTTTTGAAAGTAGTATTCACTTTTTCTCCACAAGATATTATCAATTTGCTACAAGGAGAACGCTATTTAAAAATAGAGAAAGAATACAATGCGCGGAGCGATTGTTCCGTGCACATTATGGAACTTTCTCGAAAAAACGAGTCAGATCATCCAGCGCTCGTGCAAACCCGCTGGAAGCGAATTTGGCCGCAAGTTGCAGCGCTATTTTGTAACCTTTTATGTATAAAATTAAATATTTGCAACTGACGCTTGTATTAATAAGCGAATTCGCTAGGAGCGTCGCTCTCGCGTCTTCGGGTTACTCAAAATAAATTTAAAAATCACAACTTTGTACTAGCGAATACTCTTTAAATTAATCGATGACTTTGTGAAGATTACTGTCAAAACTATGAAAAAGGAATTACCGCTGATGGTATAGAACAGATAAATGTTCGATTTTCATCCTAAACTGATTGTAGTGCTCCTGTAAATCTATGGTGGAAATGATGTCGTCTATGTTCACGGTAATCTTCTCTTGGCACGACGTCACTGCCATCGTCAAGCGACTTATCACCCATTGGAACCAGACGAAAGTCTTCAACGGAGCTGAAAGCAATGTATTTTTTTTTATCTTTAATTATTGCATATTTAAAAACCATTTACACCATTTATTCACCACACAAAATATTAAACGTAACTTATTCAATGACATAAAAATTATAACAATTACAATAAGTATACAACCTCAACAAACACAATTATTGTGTGACAGGGGAGCAAGCTCAGCACACACTGTGTAGAGCATATGCTCATACACTGCACTGATTTTCAGCTTGTCCCCGCTGTTGTGGAAGCAGATATATAAAACGCGCGCACAAAAGCAAAAACTAAAATTAAATGTAATGAAATTCACAACACGCACATTTAAATTAGTAGTAATTCACAATAGAGCTACTAACTATACACACACAACTAACTATGACACAGACAAATCATTGTAATACTAGTATTAATACAGTTTACTATCGGCTGTAATAGATTAATACTAATGTTAGAAATAAAGTAATACTATTTCCACTAGAGGCGTGCTTCCTTCCTTTTGCGACTTAAAAAATAAACCCTTAAGTTGCGAAATCAAACACGATTGGGACATTTTCCCTTACGTCGGTAAGGGAGGCGGGAGATCATTCCACATTTTTGTAGCTGAGCATTTGAGCATTTGTACAGGTAATAAATAGCATAAGATTTGCCTCCACTCTTCGAGTACTCCTCTCCTGGAAATCGCTTGGGCAATTCAGCTTCTCAAAAAGATACTTCGACTTTCTGTTAGTTGCGACCCTATGCACTAAAGATGTCAAATGAAGTTGTCTACTAGCCTCCATTTTCAGCATGTTGTGCTTGTTCAGGAATGGTGTCACATGAGCTTCTTTGGTACAGAAAAACAAAAACGCGCACACGCGTTTTGTATCCTTTGTATTGATTTCTTTGTTCAAGAAGTCTTGGACTGTAAACTGAATCGCAGTAAATAAACAATTACTTTAGCACCAAGGATGCTACTAAAGGCACCCTAATGAACTCTGATATATACTTACGTATACCATATAGCATTTTTCAGCGGTAAAATGCTTGTCTCACTTTCATATTTATATGCTCTTTGTATCGCAACTCACAATCCATAACTAAACCTAAGTTTCTTGCACTGTTACATCGTGAAATACTTTGTCCGTTTATTTTTATTGAAAGATTTTTCGTGATTATTGTATTGCACTTACTTTTGGTACCTACAACCATGGATCTTGACTTTAGTGGGTTTAATTAACGCGAGTGCATTTTTTTCCGCCCACTCTGCGACACACTTTCAATCTTCATAATTTTTTTCAATTGCTCAGTCCGTATTCTTAGTATTAAAAGAAAAATACAATTGTATGTCATCGGCATAAAGGTGAATTTTACAGCGCCTTATCACTTTGATAAGGTCAGACGTAAATAAAATAAACAACAGGGGACTTAAAACTGTGGAATAGGGGTACCTATTGATAAATGCAGTATCAGATTTAAGTTTTTCGCCATAATTTGCCTCTACCTGTACGTATTGACTTCTATTTGACAAATACGATCGAAACCAGCAGCATGTGTGATGAGATGCACCGTAATATGATAATTTAGCCAAAAGCAAGTCTATGTTGAGGCAGTCGACTGCTCTACAAAAATCCAGCAGAACTAGTATACTGCTCATGCCATTGTCAGCTGCCTGAATCATGTTATCCGTAATGTAAGCATTGTGTCCGGCACGAAATCCTGGTTGTACTTCTGGTAAGAGTTCTTCATTTTGAAGGTAGTTTGTGAACTGGGTGCATACAATAAGCTCCACCTCTTCAGAAAGGACTGGCAATACACTTATCGGTTTTAGATCTTGACAGGTTTCCAATTTTGTACCTTTCGGAATAGGTCTGACCTTTGCTAATTTCCATGAATTTGGAAATACACCGAAGTTGATACATTAATTTACTATTTCAGTTATTATAGGTAGTGTTACAGGCAGAGTCATACGAAGCATTTCTGCTGAGATGGAGTCGTGTCCACACGCATCTGTTCTAATAGTTGAGACAGTTCTTAGAACATCCGACTCAGTAGTGGTGGAAAATCGAAAAGTAGTATCTGATAATTTGTTTGTTTTATAAAAGTCTAAAGTACAGGCGTCTATCACACACATCAGCACATCTAGGAAAAAGTCATTTATTTTATTCGGATCACTTATAAGGTGTTGAGGAATAGCCATACTGTCCGCTAAAGAGCCAGTAATCGGTGCAATATGCTTGAGACGTTCCCACATTTTTTTGAGTTTTCTTTTTTAGTTAAATTAACGAAGAAGTTAAAATATGCAGATTTCTCTCTTTCCAGCGCTCCACCAACATAGCTCTTTGGTGATTTATAATAATCGCGATCACTTTCAATTCCAAATGCGCGAGCTCTAGATAGAGCGGCGTCCCGCGATGACATCATTAATTTGATGTTATCCGTAATCCACGGCGCTGGCCAAGAGGAGACCCGTATACGCTTTAAATGAAATGAAATGAAATTTTATTTGCTTAAAACATGGTGTGGGAGCTTGGCTCTCAAAAAGGTACAAACCTAAACTATTGAACCATTCCACTTTGTCATCCATATCTCGCATCAGAGACACCTCCGCCCATGGCAAATCATGTAAGTCTTCGGAAAATTTGGTTCCATTTATCTTGTCCAAATATCGTTTGAATATGAAGCGGGGTTTCTCTTTGCATTTATTAATTTTTAGTTCCGCTAAAACTAAAGCGTGGGCGCTGAGATTTGGATTATGATGCACTTCAATGTTTTGACAAAACTCGGGTGAGTCCGTTACTATAATATCTAATAAACTAGACGTCTTATCAGTAACTCGTGTAGGTTCATTTAACAATAAATCCAATCGCAGTTGAGAAAGAACAACTTGTACTTCGCCTGTAGAACGTTCATTTGGTTGAGACATTGAGACCAACATTGAGATCCTTTAGTATGAAAATGTGATTAGAATAACTGAAGGAACTTACCGACTCGTTGAGCGCATCGATTGCAGCAGTAACGGGCACAGACTCGGGTCTGTAAGCCGCGCCAATCGCAAAACGTCCTCTGCCCGGCAGAGTAAGCTCCAACCACATTTGTTCAAGCGAAGAGATGGGATGCTGTTTAATTTGAATATGTAAATGTTGCTTAATATAAAAACCAACTCCTCCTCCCCTTGCATCCAATGGTCGAGGGTTTTAGTTTTAGTTGATAGCCTGGAATTTGTGGGGCATACTTTTTTCATCTTCTTTAATCCATAAGACTTGGATTAACGCCAATATATCCGGTTGATATTTATCCATCAATAAATTGCAATTCATCTCTCCCTGTATTTAACGAACGTACGTTAAGAAGTCCCAACGTCAAACTTTTACATCGATGGATTCATCACAGCAGCTTTACTAGCAATATGAGGTGTTTAAGTCGGAAGCACACCTGTAGCATATCATAAAAGAATCCGCTCATTAATTTACGCATTTGAAAAGTTATTAAAACAGAATGATTGTAAAAATAACAGAATATTTCAGAAAAATTGACACAAATACCTAAACATACTGAAGAATGGTCCACAAATATAAAAAAAAATTCTTATTAATATCGTTAATGCCAGGCCCAAACATATCCACTCCATAAATTCTGCTCAGGTCAGCCTCAGAGCGAACACAGTGGCGATCTTTGCCATGCTCTTGTGTAAATTCTTCCTTCACGCAACATACATACTTTCATTTGCAACGGTTTGCCGCCTCTCGGGTTTTATGGAACAACTGGCGATTATACTAGGTGAGGCGCTCATTGACGTAGAAAGGTCGTAGAGTCCCAGACACTCCCATGTCAGAAGGACTAGCACCGCGTCTCACGCGCGCCGCGCGTTGAATGCGTGGCGACAGTCGTATAACGACAGGCCGCGGACGCACTGGAGTACCGCTCTCAGGGGTTACGCGGGCAGGCCCTGCGCGCACAGCACTGACAATATCCCGTTCTTCAAGTTCTAACCCAAGTTTTTTGGCAGCAGCGAGTACTATGTGGCCAGCACTTTCAACGCTAGCATCTGGAATATTCGCTATCTCGACATTGTTGCAAAGCATGTCTTGGTCTCGTTCCCGTAGTTCCGCTTTTAACTGCAATACTTTTTTGCTCTAGATGTGCAACATTGAGGCGACTTTTCTCATGTTTGTTTCTCTAACATTTCAATTCTGTCCTCCAGTTTGGCTATTCGCTCGTTTTGCATCTTTACAGTCACGGTCAACTCAGATACAGCACTATGGAATTTACCCATCTCAATAGGGACTGCCTGCAACTGACTCAAGAATGTTTTAAAGTCTGCTGTAGAATCGGTAAAAAAATCCAAGCGCGGGCTACCAGTGTCTGTATCTAATTCTTGCTGATCAGAGCTCCTTGATGAAGTTTTATTTCGAATAGTGATATTCTTCCCTTCAGGAGTAATGTAAATGGCGCCGCGACCCGGGTAATTCGCACAGGGGTATTTGAATTGTCGCCCCCTTCCCTTCTACTACCGCAGCAAACAGCACAGTTCCATATAGATTTGTAACTATGTGTAAGGTTTATGAATTCGTCTGTAGTCATCCGAGAACGTTCCAAATCGTAACATTTATTGCAAAGAGAACATTTTAAAAAGTAAATTTTGTTCAGTCAGAAAACCCGGACAGTGAAAAGATTTCGACATAATGTTTGAAAATAAAACTCACAGTAACAAATGAAAAAGCAATAATAATAACAATAATAATATTAATAAAAGTAACAATTTCTAGTGGGATTCGAACTTGCCACCTAGTTAGTGCGCCGCAGTTGAGTCTCAGAACCACTATACCACGCTTAACGATTTTACATTGGCGAAAAAACAAATGCTATCGGCGATATTTGCAAGCTGCTCAATCGCTAATGAGTTCAAGGTCGTTTTTTGTTCAAATACGTTGCGACCATACCGCCACTAAACACAGTTAACTGACACTCGCGATTTATTTTTAATGTTATCTTCCATTACAATGCAAGATAGTTAACTTTTTTAGCACTATTTAAATATTCACGACTTAAAGAATAAGCTGGTGCAAAACAGTACAAGTGTTCCGAATTTTAGACCACTGTAGAAAAATAATCAAATAGGAGATCAACAGATACGTGTTGTCTTGCCGGCGATCGCGTCTACACAGATGACATTTCGTGTAATTTTTATTTCATTTATTTATTAAAGAAAACTGCCAGCCTGTTACATCATCTATTCTATTTTATCAAAAGATATATAATGTTATTAATATAAAACAAAATACTATAAATAAAAAATAAAAACAAAATATTTTCAAAAAATACAGCGCCATCGAAAAAAAGAAAAATTAAAATTCTACAAAAGAAATTCCTCGACACTATAAAATTTATTATTCAATAAAAGGAGTTTCAGTAACTTTTTTTTATATTTGGGTACCTACCCAAATGAACCTTCATAGAAGAAGCTTTCCGCGTTTCGCAACAATCGGCCACCACCAGCACATCTCGCTCGTGTTTCAGTTTTGACGCGCCTAAAATGGTGTTCTTTAAAAAGGCCTCTGCAGGAGTGACCATTTTCATACCTACTGTAGTTCTTAGCGCTCGCTTTTTACGCACACCCTATTCGACTTAATTGAATTACCCCATAGTGCGCTACCGCATGAATTCAACAGGTAAAAAAAGGCAAAGTAACGTCTGCCTCAATACCGTATCGGAAGGAAGAGGACGCAGTTTCCTTAGTGCGTAGTACATTTCCGAGTTTTTCGCAGAGACCGTATATGTGTTTTTTTTTTAATAATTAGCGTGTGTTGCATAGATTAATGGTATTGTTTCTTTCGCAGCAATATAAAAATTAAATACAATTGAGTCAACAAACGACCTTCATGCCGCATTGAAACCTTGTTAGATTTTTTTTTATGAAATAATAATTCGCCGATAGCATATCGTTGTATGTATGTAAGAAATATATAAAGTAAAAATAATCTCAGCACAGAATACTAAAAATGCGACCTCAAAAGTACGTGGAATTACATATAATTACCAAGTTTTATTGAAATCGGTTACCGGCAAGTGCGCAAACCCGGATTCATCCCCTAGTTCGCCACTATATGGAATTTGACATAGGAGATAATAAAAATCGGTTCTCTCTACTCAAAGTATATTGAGAGAGAAAAACGCCTTGAATTGGAGAATAGCAAAATCAACCATTAAAATAATTGCTCCTTATAATAAAATTTAGGCGCTATTTATAAAAATGAATCTTCATGCGTGAACGGCCACCCTTAGAGGTGGAAGATTTTCTTCAAAATGAAATGGGTCCACTAGGGAGGTACCGTCTTTTCAACAAAAAAAAGAAAAGAATCATCAAAATCAGTTCACAAATACCGGAGTTATCGCCTAACATACATATAAAAAAAACAGTTGAATTGAGAACCTCCTCCTTTTTTTGAAGTCAGTTAAAAATACGAAAAGTAAGGAATGTTGGTGATTACTTACCATCGGATATTTCGTGGCGAGATTCAAATATGGACACGAGGTCAGATTTGGTTTCCTCTTCTGATTCTGACAGCAGGTCCAGCTCGTTTACATCCAATCCACTCCTAGAATGTGAATTCAAATTAGCCTCGTGTGTTGCGTCAAGTGCAAGTTTAATAAAAGTGAAAAATGAGACATTTGATAAGTATGTCCCACGTTCAAATATACAGCCTGTACAGCGCTGCTCTTTAGCCGAAGGACAGTTTAGCTATAGTCGCTGGCATGTTAACATTTTCTACAACTACCTGAACCCCTCCTATCAATGAGTATGACGCTATAATTACATTTAAAAATGAACCATATATTAAAAAAAATAAAAAATTACAGTTAACAAAGGACATGCGTTAAAGAAATATCAGTTCGAGTACGAAAAAAAGTGTTCCCATAGAAATGGTAAACGAACCTGACAGTGTACCCTATGATATAGTATTTTGCGATAATCATGCGGTACAAATTGTACTAGATCCTAAGTTTCTGTAGTGGTTCCTGGTGCCGTGCGTGAATGCAAGACTACTTTATACATTTACTTACACGAGAACATCCCTGGAAGATGGAATTCCTACGTAAGAAAATCCTGGATGCCGCGACATCCGTAAGGGTGCGACTTTGAGCAATGCGACGAAGTGTTGAATGCAATGTACCGATGTCGAAAATATGTTGAGCTATAGAAAAAAATATTTTAGGAACAGTTAAATAATAATGTAAAACTCCAATAATGTTGAAAACTCTTTTAATATTCGTACATTACACGAGATAAATATTTGTATGACCTACATTTATTTCTCTAGTGAGTTTGGGTGTAATTTGTGGTTGTACACATATTTATGTGTGTCCATGGCACCCGCGATACAGGATTTTCCCATTGCGGGACTATGAGAGTGTGGTTATTTATTATTATTATTATTATTTATTTAACAATAAATAATCTCACACACTCTATGGGCTATGAGTATGTGCTATTTATTATTATTATTTATTTAATAATAAATAATGCACATAGTCATAGCCCCGTACACGTACGCACACACGCACGCACGCACGCACGCACACAAGCACGCACGCACGCACGGACGCACGCAAGCACGCACACACACACACACATACACGTAGGTGGACACCCAAACTCATGCGAGAAATAAATGTAGGTCATACAAATATAAAGCCACTGAAGTACAGGTATAGCTATATGTAATTTGGATATTCGGAAGGTCGCATTTTGAATATCGGTAAGCTTTAATGTGTTTTCGGTTTTGAAGGATAAAAGGTGCTGGTGAAATTTGTAAAACGTGGCACATGGGACTTATCAATTTTATGTCTCAGGGTTAAGGGCACAGTGGCAATGCCTCTCAAATTTATGCGATTTAAAGCTCTGAGTGGCTCCGCAAATCCATTTGATTGGTAAGTCACGTAAATTTGCCAATATGCATGTGTTCCCAACCCTAGAAAAGCATGTGAAGTCCACAACCCACGTTGGGCTATCGTAGCAAACTATGGCCTAAGCCCTGTCCTTAGAGGTCTGTGCCTAGAAGTGGGACGAAAAATGATTTTATTTGAATGAGTATGAGTAATAACAAACGCAAAAAACAATGTGAAATTGAGAACCATGGTAACATAAGCAACAAGTTACCTGTTCTTGGTCCAGTCTGATCATGATAGGTGGTGTGTCAGCATGCCAGTGAAATCCAATTTGGATCATGGGCCCCATTATTATTTGCTCTCTATGAATGGGGCTCTTTTTCGTTTCTTTAAGTTTTTGTGTCTGCAAAATATACACTCATAATAAAAATATAAACTCACATACACTCATATTTCAGTTTCGTTTGACTCGTAATATCGATACGACACATAATTATTAATTCCCAGAGCGTGCTCAATGTTTACAGACATTATAAAGGAAAGATTAGAAAAATATACTACGACATAAAGAACTTACCTCAGGTTCCGACTCTTCTTTTTTACGACTGAAATATTAAATAAGGTTATAATAATTATCAAAACTTTCATACACAATTATAATTCATAGCAAATATCTAAAACACGCAACAAACAAAAGGAGAGTAAAATAAATTAGAAAAGCTGAGAACGATCCAAAGCAGTAACATAACACGGTAGGTACCTCGTCGGGCCTCGCATAAACTCCACAAACGATTTTGGTTTAAAATCCATTCCCGTCGAAAAATATTTCAAAACCTGTACATTAAAAACACAAAATGTATTAAACACATCTTTAAAACTGTTTAAAGACAGTAGGTTAATTCTGTAACCAGCACAAGCTAAACATAATAGATACAGTTCAAAATGAACCCTTCTCTAAAGAATTGGATTCAATTGGTGTTATTTAACATAACATAACATCATCACGCTAGTCTCCTATTGGGATGGGCAGAGAGCGTGAACCTACACTCGTGGCATACGTCATCGCATCGGACTCTTCATACATGCCCGATTATTATTGGCACTTTTAACTGGCCTTTCTTTAAGGACATGCCCAATCTGAACGAGATTGCACGTAGTGGTCTGCCTCTCTCCACTTTTCCATCTACCTTCGCTCTATAAATTTATGCCGTCTAATACTAGCGTCCATGTTTGATTTAACCTCTAATAGTTTCAACAAAATCACAGTACGAATAAAAATCTCTATATTGATAAAACTAAATTACACAACCAATTAACAGGATGTTGAAACATAAAGTTTAAATTATTCTGCAATATATATGTATATAGTTTTGTAGTGGTGACTTAACGGTTTAAGAGCACATTTCGGCTGTGGCTTTAGTCTATTTAAGTTAACGACCTAATACTGAGGAAACACAGGCGCACGACTGGTTAAAAAAGAAGAAATATAAGAAATGTATGTACACACGCCAGCACATCAAGCTACACATTGACGCATCTTGTTCCGTTGCACAGGATGCGATTTTCGAACAAAAATGTAGTCTGATGTGCCGTTGTCCGTACAACAATAAATATTTTTCTTTATTTTAAAAATCTTTATGCACGAGCCCTTACTATTGTAATGCTTGTTAACGCCCACTTAATCTTGTGCCTATATCGTATTTCCTTGTAATTAAAAAAAAAGTAGTGCGAAAGAGAGTACTCTATACTAGGTCGTTAACTTAATTAGTATTAAGTCATCTAGTAAAACTTGTTACATAAATGTTTGCTACGCTGTTTTTTGTGTTTATTTTGCGTTGCAATAAAAGTTTCTATTCTATTCTATTTAGAATCAAACAGGAAGGAATAGGTAACGTAATGTCTTACCGCTTCTCCCTTAGGAGGTTCGGCATTGGTCGAAGTGCCTCGATTTTTCGGGTTGTGGACAACATATTGCAAAGACTTTGTCAGTACTGAGAAGGTAACGGTGGTGGTGAAGTGGTCCACTATCGATACCGGTTGGACGGTACGAGTTACTTTCAGTCGAGATCGCAAACCTGGCGTCTTCTTGACACCAGCTAAATTCAGATTTGAGACGAACGTGTAACAGGACATATCTGCTATTGACATCTTCCACGGGAATGATTCGTCGTCTGGCGTTTGAAAAAGAGAAATACATTTTTTAATATAACTTACCTATTCTGTACGGAACGGTGCATAAAGTGGGTTCTCTCTCAATATCATCGGCAACCCATTATACGTGCCGGGCCACTGCTGGGCATGGCTTTCCTCTAAAGAGAGGCGTTAGGCCCATATACAGCACACCCCGAACACTCCATACAACAGTCGAAAGTTATTTACATACTACTATTATGTACATAGCAAGCTCATTTGCTCTGGTATGCATACTACAGGGATTTTCCTAGTTTGAGATCAGGCAATTGGTGTAGTTGCATAGCACATGATTACTATTCCTTTTATTACGTTTTCCTAGGGTTGTGAACCTGCGCTGACAAACAGATTTTGTCACGATATTTTCCTTCGTCACCATTAGTATATAACATATACCAAGTTGCCACAGGGATTCGAACCGTAGATCTCTCAGTTCAAAAGCTACCGTTCTCCCAATAAGCTACCACCGCCCTCTGTGTACCTCAGGAGGTATATTACCTTTAGTTTTTACTCGTTCATCAATATATACTCTTTATGTCCCGTACACCACATAAAGGCAAGGTGACAAGGTTCAACTGGTTTGTACTCACCGGTTGATTTGGGGTCAATGAATGTAGGGCCATCGTGTTTGATTTCTTGCCACAGATACCTTGTTGTTGAGTTCGTGTGGAGGGTCCACCGACCCAAACTGTTGTAATAATTCAATTCAATTTAATGTTTATAATGACCAGTGATTTGAAGTGAAGGAGTTATTTTAGTTAAACTAAACAATAACGTGGACGTTCCCTTCTACAAGTCCCGGGACTGCTCAGAACTGATTATATTTGAACGTGCTTATTATTTATTGAAATTTGAGTACATTGGCAACAAATTGTTATTTCCTATTTAGTATTTGCCATAAATTATTGTCTCAAAAAATAATATTGTAGTGTGTTTCCATGGGTACTTACGTAAATATGTAATACATATAAGTACATGTATATATTTTTAAATGGCTAAAGTATAATAAATATTTTTTACGGTCCAAGACACTGACACGGTCAGACACATGCAAGATACTTTAGCCATTTAAAAAATAAACATGAGACAACCTATATTTTGGAATGCTTAGAAAATAAACAGAAAAAAATTTATACGCGATGACAACGAGATGGGCGCGATGACAACGAGATGGGCGTGTCCACACTAATAAAACCTTCATTCTTCAGATAAACAAACTCTCTCAATTCCAATCACTAATAATGACCAAAAAGGCGAAAAACAACCTAATGAATATTAGTTTTCAAAGCATTTTGTACCTTAGTACTTTGTGGCAACCATATAATATTGACGGGATATTAAACATTAAACATCGGGAAAGCTAGACAGCCAGAGCAAACACGAACGTTTCCGAACGCTGATGCCGCGTCTATGCAATCGTACTAATTAACGTCAATGGTGTTAGATATTGACTAATAAAGTTTCGTATTTAATTGCCATAAATATATCAGTCAGTAATAGATGGACGAAATAATATAGCGCAGCAAGAGCGTTAAAAAATACTCTTGGTTTCCGAGTGTTCCCGACATTCAATGTTTATTCACTACAATTTGTGCAAATATATAAAACGCAAAAGGCAGCCTTATTTCAAATATATACGAATAAAATTATTTACCAGAAAACTAATACTTGTTGATCTTCACTGGCATGTTGTTCCATGGCCATAAGCACAGTGGGGCAATTCTCCGCCGGCACAGACGTCGTCGTCACATACAACTGTATTATCCCAGTCTCCACGCTGATAAGCAGGTGTTTCAAACGGGAGTGCAGTGCGAAAATATGTTCGTCTCTCCACCAGGGTAGTTTGGCCTGTAAGCAGTGCTGTCAACTTTACTAAGATTTTTTTCCAAAATACTTTGTTCTATATAATATTTATGAAACAAGTTCCGAACTCGGAAATCCGAAGGCGAACTACGGTCCAAGACACAACAGATCAGCGGATCAGATTTCAACAACGGAGCCACATTGGAGCTGGGCACGACATTAAGCGAGTGGTGACGAAATATGGAATAAAGCGACATCGAAATTGTGGTTAACAGGGAGCAGAGGAAAAATTCCTAATCTTGGATTTGATTTTAGAGGGGTATATCCACTTTAAAGTTAAAAATAAAATATTGTATCAGTAACTACACGATATATTCAAGCATAGACATTAATCAGAAAGATAAAACAATAAAGTTTCCTCGATAGATAAAAATCACGAAATGACCTTTAATTTTCACATTTTTTCGATTCATCCTCGAAATGCTACAGGTTATTAGGACAAAAATTAGATAATTATTTATATTTATGCATGATCGACAACTGTCACTACGGATTTTCTTATAATCCCTTTAGTTTTAGAGTTATTCCGCTAAAACGAATTTGGTACTTTTAACCTTTGGTATGTAGGACGGGGCCGCACACTTATACCCGTCGTCTGGCGCGTATGGCGCGAGTAGAAAGAGCACAGAGCGCACGTTAGAATTTATTGAAATTCAACAAATAATTGTATGGTAGATATGAAATAACTGATTGTATTTAATGCGCAAAATTCAACATCTCCTGTCGCATGTCACGCGAACTTCAGGCATATATTTGTTTCACTAAATTGGCATGAAACGTGATAGTGAAATGATTACAGAAAGCTCCAGCGGCAAAATGGATAGGCAACATGAGTAGTAGGGTAGATGAGTGCGAATAGCGCAAGATCTAAACCGCGATAGGCCTATACCCAAGGGAAATCAGGTTGTTAAGTAATACTAATTAATACTACCTCCGATCGAATTAACCTTTTTCCCGCACTGTATCGGTTCTATTGCGCGGGTCGAGCGGCAGGGACTTTATTTTTGTACAAAACGAAATTTAAACCATTTGCAAAATGTATATCGTACACACATCAAAAAAAGTTTGCGATCAATAGCATAAGCTCCTATAATTCTTTAAATTTAACTTTATCAAGAAAAAATCTATGTTGTATGCTTTCTTTAAATAGGAATACCCTGTTTGAAATTAAAATATAAAACTATTTTTTATTATTTATTTTAAAAATTGAGTCATTAATCATAATGTAATAGTGATAGAAATTTCATAGAAAGAAAAAGACTGTTTAATTAAACTTAAACAACAATTTATTATTAAAAGGTGTGAATTCAATATAAAATAACTCCTCCCCTGGCTCGAATACATGCGAAGATCCTCCTGGGCATGCTGAGGATCATGTTATCCAGCATTTCCTGGGGTAACCTATCCCATTCTTCAATAGCGACTTCCCTGAGCTCTGGAACTGTCTGGGGACGTGGCTCACGGTTCCATACTGCTCGTTTAAGAGCATCCCACGCGTGTTCTATTGGGTTTAAGTCGGGCGAGCCGGCAGGCCAGTTTAATCGTGTGATATCGTATTCTTGAAGAGCAGCATTGACTCGTTGAGCTCGATGTGCGGGCGCATTATCATCGACCAGTACAAATTGGTGCCCATGGTTTACTCGGAATGGTCTGACGATATCATCAATAGCAACTGCTTTGTACATGTGTGCTGTCATGAAGCCCCGATACGGGATCAAAGGCGTTCTAGCTCCAATCATAATGCCACCCCAAAAGGACACCGATTTTCCGCCTTGCTGAACTGTTCCAGTGGCAGTTCTTTGTCTTTCACGGTCGCCTGGTCTTCTCCAGACACGGACACGTCGGTTATCTGGATGAGTGCTGATTCGGGATTCGTCAACGAAGAGACAGTTTTGCCAAATGTTTTCGTCCTTACCTTCTTCATTTTGCCGAAGTCTAGCCCACTGCAATCTTTGTTGTTGACGTTGCCGGGAATTGAGCGGAGCTCACCAAGACCTCCGTGCTCGTAATCCAGCCTGGTGGAAGCAATTGCGAACGGTCTGCGTGCTAACTTCAAGCCCAGAGGCGGCCCTGACTTCTGCTTTTATTTTAGTGGCGTTGATTGTTGGATCACGGGCTGCCAGCAATCTAATATAGCGCTTTTGGGCAGCTGTCAAAACAGTTGGGCGACCGCTGCGGGGTCGGTCAGCTAAATTCCCCATTCCGTGATACCTCTGCAACGTAGCCACGACACAGGATTGGGATATAGCAAGTCTGCGTGCTATTACTCTCGTGGTGTATCCTTCTTCCCTCAAAGTTACTATTCTAGCTCGTAAAACCTCTGATAATCCTCTTGGCATTTTTTCAATCACAACTTTCCGCGAAAAATATCTTGAATCGCTTATAATTGACTAAATCAGATTTATGAATGAGCGTAAGCTAGGACTGAAAGCCTTTTTATATGAAAAAACAATTGAACGGGGTCATTGTTTTATGTTCTAATTTATTTTTAAATAAAGAATCTAAAAAGAAGAAAAAATCATAATATAATCTACAGTAACAAAAAAGATTTCAGTTTTTCGAAGTGATCGCAAACTTTTTTTGATGTGTGTATACTATACGTGTTCTATTTAGTCAGTTGATATGAAAAAATATCATTGGTATATGTGAAGTACCTATTGAATACAGCGGTTTCCTTGGAAAATTTCGAGACAAGTTTGTGTTTTTTTTGTATCGTGAAACTTTTAAGAATCGTGTTTTCACTCCGTATACTAATCAATGCATATTAGTATCCTCAATTTTACTATATACATATTCCAAAGTAATTGTTTCAACACTTTCGCTGTCATACGGAACGAACCAAGGCCATTTGAGGATGTATCGACTCCTACGACGATAATGACGATTTCTTACAATAAACAATAGTTAGACTGTACTTACTGGTGGCGGCTTGTCTTTGGAATTTCGTTTAGGAGCCTCTTTCTTCTCACTAGGCTCACTGCTGGAGTCCATACTTCGCCCGCGCATGTGTACTTGCTCTTGTCCGGAGCCAGTTCGACTACCCCCGCGACCGCTTGACGACTATGTGCGCGAATAAACAATAAATATAAATAGTCGATCCTTATAGGATTCTAGATTATTAGACCAAGGTAACCTAAATAACTATAATACCGCAAGAAGGTTATACAACATAGCAGCCATAGCACCGTTTAATAAATTATCGCTGCTAATAGGCTTGTTTACATAATAGATTTCTACTTAGAATTTTCCTCTTTGTTTCATCTCAATGCAAATGGTATCGAAGTTACTCGTTATTGGTTCATGTACAGGTCTACCGCTTAACTGAGTCGGTTCCTGGGATAGCAGCGCGGTGCAGGAGGAATGACAGCTATGTCATGTTGCACACGGGATTATTTCGACAAGATTTTTCTGACGATATTCAATAACAAGTTGTTTGGAAAAAGAGCCTACCAAATTACTCAATCGATGTTATGTGAAACGATAATAAAAAAAAAACTATTTCCTTGATAATTGAAATGAATAGACAAGTAATTTGGCACATTTTTCAATCAACTTGCTATTGAACATGGTCAGAAAAATCTTGTTAACATTATCCCGTGTGCAGCGCAACATAACTGTTAGGTAAACTGTCACTCCTCCCGCACCCCGCAGATACCTCAGGAAGCGCGGTAGACCTATAGCGGACTTATTAATTTGGTGAAATTCCTTTCAGAAGGAATTATAACAATATATTATTACAATAATCCCTTAAAAGGAATGTTACACGGTCTTAGGTTGTAGCGGATTTATGGAATCAAATTAGAAAAATACTGATAGAGTATTTTATTTTATTTTATTTAACGTTTACCCAATGTAACTAATGCACCTTAATACTTTTTGTAACTACAAACTATTGTAAAAAAATATTGTTTCAATATAATCCTTGTAAATGACCAAGCACGAAGTACAAAAAGCATAACTCACCGGTGGTGTGATTCGACGGCGACTCATTAAATACGATGGCGATGATATCGTCTTAGTATAAGTAAACTGCTGACTTAGGTCTGTAACGTCAAAAAATTGTTCACTTATTACGAATCTTGTTTCTATATTAAGCTTACAACATGAATTCTTTTTCAACTTCGTGTTGCGAGATTCTGGTAGAGCAGAAATGTAGAAGGTACACGCACCGGTTTGGGGTTTCAAGATGGGTCTATACGCAAGCCACTGCACAAAGAGAGGGTCCATACTGAGAGCTAAGGGCTCTAGCCAAATTCCTACGTAGTCCAGCGATGTGACCATTGGTTGAACGGCCCACTGAAATGCAGTGCGAAGGAATGGCCTGAAAATAAATTGGTTTTTAAAATGAACATGTTTTTATTTTACTATACTGTTATAAAATGGTGTAACAGAATAGTGTGATCATGTTTCAACTGTTGTTTATACTAATAAAAACTAACGTAAGGGCCGTATGACGTAACATAAGGGACAACACTACGTAAAAAAAGACAGTACTTAAGAATAAAATTATTTTAAATACGGCAAAAACAAGTTGATGCTGTCATAGTAATTGTGCAATGACAATGCACATGGGACTTGGTGAATCGAAAAAAAATGTTCGAGAATAAGAAAATAGCTGTTTTAGATTAAAGTTCATACAAGTAGCCAGTTGATATAGATATGGTCGTAACATGTATTTCAATACTTACGTAGTCGTGAGGTGATCAGGCCCAGAAATGACCCACGCTTGTTTGCTTTCACGCTCTATAAAAAGAAATATACATGTTTTTATCATTTATAAAGTGTTTTTATATTTCTAACCATATGACAAGACTGTGCCGAACCTATACTGCGTTTTTTTACATCAGACGGAAGGAATTATTTGCATGGCGAATGTTAAAATGATAAGTTTAAAGTTTGTACTCATTACTAATTTGAAATGATAATCTCAGTTGTTACAAGTAAGCGCGGCAAAGTCAAAGAAAGGTCATTTTCCTGACTAAAATTATAAATTAAATGTTAAATTTCATGGTCTTTCTTTTATTTAATATGCTATGTTAGTTAGAAGAAACAGTCCTTATGATTGAGGCTTTCGATCAGTATAGTAAAATTATAGGTGTTTTTTTCTTCACATTTGGCGGGTTCAATCCCCGTTGAGACAGGCGATTATTTAAAAATGTTTGAATGCAGTTGGAATTGTTTTTAAAATAAAAATTAATTGTTCTTTCAGTAAAATGTTCCATCTACGGTATTTAAGATACTTTCCCTCCGTGTGGCATAGCCGTGAGACGCCCGGTACATAATGTTAGAAACACGCGTATTAACAAGAGTCGAAGAGAACGACACACGCATACGCTTTTTTGTGTTGCCGTATCTCTCTCTAGTCAGATTAATATTCATGGGAGAAAGAGGATTAATTTTTATGTATTATTACAAATGAGCAAAAAAACTGTTCATACTTTATTTCCTTAATTTATACTCTCGTTCTGATGACGTTCACTTTGAATTGACCGGTTTCCATAAAAAAGGAAATACTGCAGGCGCCATATTTTGGCACAATATTGAAATACGTCATTGAGAGAGATGTCACTTGAGCGTCAAGAGTAAAACCTTTTATTAGTAAAATAATATAAATTGTCAAATGGCCACGTGCCCACGTACGTGGACGTAAACGTCCAGAGGTTCGCATAGTTTAATAAATATACATATTGTACGGGACTTAACGCAGGAGATAATAAAAATCGGTGCTCACTGCTTAAAGTATATTGAAGGAGAGAAAAGCGCCTACAATTGGAACATAGCAAAATCACTAAAATAATTGCTAATATAAAATAAATCTTCATGCGTGAACACATATTTAAAATAAGCGTGATCACGTATGTTTATATTTATATTTATTATGTTTATTGTTACCATGCCGGAATGCCACGCAGAGGTCCCAGGTTCGATTCCCGGGCCGGTAGAAATATTAGTATGGTCTACATTTATTTCTCTCGTGAGTTTGGGTGTAATTTGTGGTTGTCTATGTGTGTCTCCATGGCACCCGCGACACAGGGTTTTCCTGGTGCGGGGCTATGTTGAGTGTGTGCGTTATTATTATTATTAATTTACCTTGGCCATGGATGACAGTGGAGCGGAGAGCTTGCAAAGTCAAAACTTGAGTAGATATAAATTTCGTGAAATAACCTCGCACTACTATTTCCTCGAATGTAACATCCAATACTACTTCGCCTGTAAAGAGGAAACAAATTACTTACTGTTAAGGTACTATATCACCATGTTAGTGTCTAAAGTCATACCATTTATAAATTGATAAATGCTGTTTAAAAGACTTGTACCGAATTAGTACGGAGCTTGGTACCTTACTTACTCCCAGAAAAATGTAACCAGTCTCAACTTTCTTTTTGCTAGATATAAGCTTGAAATAGACAGCATAGCAGAGTAATAAAAATATATTGTCACCTGCATTTTTTAAATTGATTTAAAACAAAAGTGTTGTAGACATGTATCAATAATTGTCAGCAACACTACGATACTAAAAAAAGTCATAAAAGCCGCAACATTTACATGCTAAAATATTCAAAAACTTAAATCAAACGGAAGAATAATGACATTGTTTTAAAAATCCTTAACGATTTTCTGGAAATTGCAGGTAAAAAAAAATTGTTTTTACTTCAGAATTTTCAGACTCTGAAAGCTCTTTACAAAATACCAAGTGATATCCTGGTTAAATTTTCCATTTATTTTAGTACCACTAACGGAACAACTCTTTTGCTGCATAAAGTGACAGATTGCATAGCTTGAGTGTGAGTAGTGTGACACAATGTATAATGAATCATAGTACTTATGAACTGAACGAGCGAGATCATTTAGACTAAAGCCAATAATTCGCTACGAACTACTAACGTTGAGTAAACGCCGATAACCAGCAAATATGTCACCTATTCGCAATTTGCTTCGGCTTTCATACGAAGAAACACTGAAAGTTCGATATTAATATAAATGCGTAAAAAAATAAACATGTTACGAACGTACCTTCGTCGTTAAGAGCGTCTTTTGCTAACGTGGTCTGCCGCAAGTACAGCGAACCTTTCTGTTTTAAAAGCGATAACAGGATTTGTAAGCTTGCCTGCAAGCGCGCTGCCGAGCCCGATATGTTCAGTTCTCCTTGAATGTATAAAAGGTTGTCGTAATGAGCACAACATTTGGTTGATGACAGCAGATTGCAGCAGAAAGTGGGCGAAAATACTTACGAATTTGAGCCGAGTAGCTGAATGTAACGCTTTGTCGCTCCACAAAATATTCCGGATACAAAAGAGCGTGCATAACACATCGCAAGTCCAAGCGGGCACACGGCTTCGGCTGCTCTTCGTGAACCGGACAAATCTGAACTTGCACAGCGCTACAGGTGATTGTGATGTGAAGACGGGCGCCTAACCAGAGCGGGCCAGAGTCTTCCGGCATTTGGCAAGCCGCTGAACATACCCTGAAATTGTATATAGGTATTATATCAGCAATCAGGGTCACCACACTTATAGACACGGAACCTTATTGAGACGGCCGGAGAATATTTTATATGCACGTAAAGAGAGCGAAAAGGACTTTCGCTATTATTCCATGAACGTAAAGCTTTATCTGACCAGCTCAAGCCAATTTCACGTTAATAAATGTGGTGACATCCGAAAGAGTTTGGTTTACCACTGCTTTTTCATTTCGTTATAAAATAATCAGTCCTATTAAGTCCTAATTATTTCTATTTTTATTTTTTATTCATTTACCCTTTAAAACGTAATACACAACAATGTGTCTAGTCGCATTTTATCGCATTTTAAAGCACTAAGGTTCGTACTAATGCGAACTGTATCCACACAATACATATGTTCAATTTGCTAACAAAAAAGTTTTGCTAATATTTAAGTAATTTGCATAAATAATCTATTATTAACCAAAAGGAGTATACAGAAATTGGATAAATACATTTAGAAACAATCAAATTTATCGCAATTGATTAAGCTGTTTACAAAGTAATTTCAAGATTAATTCAAAATATTCTTGTAAAAAATCCGACATTCCTTCCCATATTTCCTATAACATAATTAAAATTATATAGTCTGCCTTTTTTCTAGACGGAGTAAAATGACATATGTAGGGTTGCCAGTTTTCATAAAATTTTAAAGAGGCATGGAGTTGTTGTCGACAGTTTTATAGATATACTGTGAAAAAGGTTACATTTTGTCAAAAATGTCTGAATTGTGAAAATGACTCTGTTCTAATGATTACTAATTGCGTTATTGCCTTCTTTATAATAATAATAACGCACACACGCAACATAACATATTTTCACCGTTGCCCTACTATTTCCCAAATCCGTTTTTATTTATATACATTTCAATAAGGACAGTCGATTTTGATTATCTATAAGTTATAAGTTTTTGGAAGAACATGGTGTTTTATCAGATGCGCAGCATGGATTTCGACCTGGCCGAGGCACGTTCACGGCATTGGCGAACTTTACGGATGATGTTAACAACTATCTGATGCCGGAACCCAAGTTGTGTGTATTTTTATTGATTATAAAAAGGCGTTTGACACCTTAGACCATGACGTTCTGTCGAAAGCAATCAAGGAATGGGGTATTCGTGGTCCAACAAATAACTGGTTTCTCGATTACTTAAAAAAATTGGCACTGTTGTCGGTGACGAGTGTGAGGTCGTAATGGGCGTCCCTACTGGCCCAGTGGGCTATATCATGCACGTAAACAGCGTGCCCAATGTGGTCAAATATTGTCGTGTGTATATGTATGCTGACGACACGTGCCTACTTTATTCATCAAATGACAGTACGGAAATAACGCGTTACCTGCAAATCGATCTCGACAATATCAAGTGCGCATGAATTCAATACTTATTTATTTCATACAAACTAGGCATACAAGAGAACATAACATATTTTCACCAAGTCGTGCGAAAACAGTACTTCAAATATGTTTTGTCATATTATATAAAGTTTCAATAAAATTTACGTATTTTTTTAAAACTCAATTATGCTAATAACTGTTTGTTTATTGTTTCGTTGATCGCATTCAAAGTTACACGCTATCGCCTTCTTTAGCTGTCAAATTTGGCCTCTTATTTGGTGACGACTATATACTATAGATTAAATCGACATTCAAGATCTATGAAAAGGTTTGGTGACTGGAATATCATCGGTTCAGGCGTCAGGAATCCCATGTACGGTAATTACACTATACTACACAACTACTAATAAAATTAATTATTAATCATACCTGTGCGCGTACAAAGGCCCATTAATAGCACAAGTGGCTTTGGGTACGACCAGGTCAAGCAATATGGGCAGCTTGAGCTGTTTCTCGGTCACCAAATGGTCCCATGGCATGATCCGAAGGCGAAAGTCGCTAATATCAATGTTTATCCGCCGTTGTGGCAAATTCTCGTGGAGTGCGTCACATTCTTCGACGGTCAGTGTTCGAACGGGTGGATCACCTAAACAATAAAATAAACAAGTCAAAGAAAGACACCGCACAGAGATACCACTTTAAAAATAGTAATTCTTTGATATTGTGAAAAGCGTGATTGATATATCAAAGAGGTTTTAGCTGTCGCTTGAATTCAGCCATTCATAGATACACTAACTAGTGGTTACGTCCGGTTTTATGATTCTAGTTTCATTTGTCACTAGTTTTCAAATTCAAAATAATCTTTATTTCATAGGTAAGCATTATTACACTTGAAATCGTCATAATGGTTAAACTCTACCGCTCATTTGTAAGGCAGATTCCCCTGAGAAGAATGAGCAAGAAACTCTAGGGGTTGGGGGAGACTACCTTCATGTGCTAAACGGGTTACTACCACGGATTTTTTGTCAGCCAAGTACGCAGAAGTTGTATAACCTTTAGCGTGAAGGTTTTGTTTCACTATAGTTTTAAACCTCGTGAAAGGCAAATTTTGTATATCAACCGGAATCTTGTTATAGAAGCGTATACATTGCCTCTTAAATGATTTTTTGACTTTGTGAAGACAACTATCAAGAAAAGCTAGTTTATTTTTATTCCTCGTATTAATGTTATGTCTGTCACTATTTTTCATAAAGAAATTACTATTCCTTTTAACATAAATTACATTTTCATAAGTTTGTATTTATATCTAGTGTTATGTGTAATGAGCTGTATGATTAATAATAATAATAAATTATTTATTTTCTCACCAGAATATAATACAGTGAACATAATAAAAGTACAAACTATACTATGATAAACAAATATATTGTGGCATCCCTAAACAAGGCTCACAGTCTGTATTTCATTTTATGAGAGACGGCCGAGACCTCGACATGAAATTGATAACGACGATCGATCTCGGCTGCATGAAGTCGTTGTCCGAGACTTCGACTGCATGAAGTTGATAACGACTTCATGCAGCTAAGGTCGACCACATGCCGTAGTTTTGGCTGCATGAAGTTGACTACGACTTCACGCATCGGGGACAGATGCCCAGAAGAGCCGCCGAACGATACGTGCTGAATCGAGCAGCTCGCTTTCTAAATTTGTGCTGGAAGCGACATACAAAATTATTATTATTTATTATAAGTATTTACCTGCAGCAGGGCTTAGCTCTTTATCAAAAATTCCTTTAACAACCACCAAGCGGTGAATGACGTCCATGCACAATCGTATGTCCAATGGTTTAATGACCACTTTTACGGCGCATTCTTCTTCCCAATCACTGAAACATTAATATGTTGGAACAGCCTACGTCATGATAATACGACTCATTTTGTTTGGGTCGAGTGGCAGGGTTCTATTTCAGAAATATTTTTTTTACAAACGACATTACAGCTATTTGAAAAATGATGTGTTTATTTATTTATTTATTTATTTATTTATTTATTTATTTATTATATTACATATTGCTTACAGACATACATCCAAACGCAATAGCAATCCTAAAGCTAAGTTTACAGTTTATAAGTCTTTTAAAATAACAGTGAAAATAATAATAACATTCTTTATAAACAAGGAACAGGAAATAATAATAAAGTGTAAATTGATGTAAATAAATTGATTAAAATTTTAACATTCTCAATTAAAAATAATAATAAAAATAATTGCCAGTAGATATATCATAAACTTATAAACAATGTAATACACATATAGTCCCTGAATTACAAGACACTGCTATCTCTGGTCATCGACTCAAGGTGTGTATCGGATAGTATACGTGTTCTATTTAATTCATGCCTTTACATATGCAAATTTTAACTACAACTTTTAAAATTTTACAAGAAATCCGCAGACAAGCGATTTTCTTGTAAAATTTAGAGGTAAGTTTGTGTTTTTATCTCTATCGTGAATATTTTTAGGAATCGTGTTTTCACCCCGTATACTAATCAGTGCATATAACTATCCTCAACTTTACTATATATATTTTCCAAACTGATTGATTCAACACTCACTGTTATGGAGAATCAAACAAAGCCAATTGAAGTTGTGTAGACTCTTAAAACGAAGTGAGTTTCATTCAGTTTTTTACGACTTCTAAAGCCCTTTGGTTAACACTGGGTGCTAGATGACGTGACGGGATCAATTCCCGGGAGGACCAATTTGTGGAGACGAACTGTTCTATTAGTAAAATTGGTCCTGGTCAGGGAGTTACCGGTAAAACTTAAATAAAAAGTCAAAGTTTGAGACCAACTTTTTTTTATAATATCAGGTAATTGATGTAGTTGTCTGGCACTATTACACCGCAGTGTTGCACTTTGTAAGTCGTATGTATAAGCAGAGATCTATATTTACCTAAACTACAAGGAAGTAATACTCATAGCGTGGATAATACCTCTCTCTAAAATTCCTAGAATGACTAAAAATAACTGGCAAATAAACAAAATAGTTTTACTTATACTCATAATTACAAAACTCTTCTTCCAAATACACTACTGTAGTAAAATAATTACTAGTAACAGTAGCATTACTTCCTAGTAAATATACTCTGCATTTTCTAACATTTCGACCCCTCCTACGTAAAGTATCGTATGTCGAAATTGCCAAGTTTACAGGGGAGCGTTTTAAAGTTCTGAATTCACTGAAAGAGTGATCGCCATAGATCATCTAACCGATATCTAGGATTTTATAATACTCTATGTGAGTAATGAGCTTTGCCGAATAAAACTGAGAAATGCTAAAGTCACGTGTTATGTTCGTTTCAGTGAATTCAGAACTTTAAAACGCTTCCCTGCAAACTTGGCAATTTCGACATACGATACTTTACGTCGGAGGGGTCGATTTGATAATGAAGTTCTTTATTTTAATGACAAAATCTACTTAAATATAACTTGTTGTTATTGAAAGAGACTTAAATCTTGAAAACCATACCTGTACTCAAAATTGGACGGCGGATTCTCAAAAGGGTTCATTTGATATAGGGGCGGTGACCTCTCGTGAGAGAACTCGACAAGAAAGAGAGGATTCATTACATGCCAAAGATCTGGGAGTTCTTTTTCGTCGCCTACAAGTTTCTCTGACGATACCGGAACTTCGGGTAGACTCGCAGTTGTTACGGCGTTCACTTTTAGATTACTGTCCTCTAAATGGACTTCGATGTCAGACATTCCTTTCTACAAATAGATTTGTGTGTAATTTGACGATCTTTAGTCGTGCCGGATACATTTATAAGAAATATGTACATTTACATACATTTTTAACCGACTTCAAAAAAAGGAGGAGGTTCTCAAATTGACTGTATTTTTTTTGTATGTATGCTACGCGAGAGCTCACATTTGTGAACCGTATTTGATTGATTATTCTTTTTTTTGTGGGATAGAGGGTACCTCAGCATCGGTCCCATTTACATTTGAAGGAAATATTCCACCTCTAAGGGTGGCAAACTAAGGGATGAATCCGCGATGTAATTCCACGAACATTTGAAGTCGGTTTTTTTTATATAAAAAAGTTACAATTATCTGTGGAATTGTTGAACTTACATTTGCTGCAAGTTTATATGTTTCGGGGTCATTCATATCAACTGATTCCGCTAACTCCACTCTTTCCTTTTTGATTTCGTTTTGTTCTGATTCTGTGTGAGTGGACGATGTGGTAGTTTTAGCTTCCCCTTGAAGGGAAGATTTCCGTCTAATGTCCCTTTTTTCCAGGCGTGGTTTGTTCTCGGTATCTATTTTATCGTCTTCTAAATCGTCTTTTGGCCAATGCCAGTTCTTTTCGGGGTCAAAGTCAGAGCGCTTTCTGCTTAAATATACTGTAGGCATTCCATTGAGCTTTAAACATAAAAAAATTATCATAAATTACGGCTAAATGTCGCTTTTCAATTCAAGGAGGACAGTTACACGTCGGAACATAAATAACTCATGAGAAATTAATATATGAAATTGTGTTCGAGCGCTGGTCAATAATTGAGAAGCAACTGTTCTCCCACTTCTCAATTCTAGAAGAAGGGCCACAACCTTTGAAGAGGTTGTGAAGTCCTCAACCGCATTAGACCAGTGTGGCGGCCTCAGCCCTCTCATTAGACGAGACCGGAGCCCAGCAGTGGGACATACTGGCTCGTTTATATATTCAATTTTACGTCCCATTTTAAGTAACTACGTCCAAATGACGTCAACGAAATTAGGAACGGATCTGAAACTCGTATATTTGTTTTTTCAAACAAACCTACGTTTCAACATAAAACAGTCGTCGAATTTGACAAGTTCCAAACGCTTAAAAGTCTAAGAAGTCTATATAAAAGAGATGCCGTTGAAATCAAAAAAACATCCTAATTTCAACAGGGAAAATGGTTTCTCCGTACCATTATAGTAGAAGTAGAGCTTCTAGTGAAAAAGGTCATCCAGGTTAATACTGCCACCTTACCTATTTCATCCGCCAAGCAGTAATGTGAGCATTCCGGTTCCGTTCCGGTTTTGAAAGGTAAACCCTTACCTGCCTGGAGAAATGACAGGCACGTTGTCAGCTTACGTCTCAGGGTGACGGGCGCAGTGGCAGTGCCCCTCGGATCTTTGCGATTTGAAGCTCTGAGTGGCACTGCAACTGCCATGGACAGGCGTGTCGCTTACCATCAGGTGCACGACTTGCTCGTCCCCTCGTCACTTGACACAATAAAATAAACCATCAGTTAGGAAGCCAGTATTTCCTTTGATGAAAAATTCCAAGCAGACAAGACTGCAAACATGTTTTAATTTTTTTTCTAATTCCTATTATTAACTAATAATAAATTAAATTTAATAAAATTTCATATTTTTAAAATGAAACAAAATATTTTGGAAAATGTACGCACATGTAGCGTAAATTGGAACGTTCTTTGGAACATTAAGAATAAGATATTTATTTCATTAATAACTTTTATAAGTAATCTATGAAAGTTTTATCACCCAGTTAGATATCTTTACAGTTATCAGCCCTGGCGAGAGACGTCGCTATTCACTACATTTAAATTTTTATTGAATTGATATTCAATTTTTTTTTTAATTATTCTACTAGTTTGTTATAATTATTAATACAAAGATCGAACACTCAGAAAAAATTCCTTTGTTCCGGCCGGATTCGGACCGACGTTTCTAGCTTACCGTGCCAAACGCTATACCAACTAAACCACGGAACGAAATATAAGCATATTATAAGTAAGTATACTGAAAAATAGCGTAGTTTGCATTTATATACACTATATACTACTGTAGTACAGACAGCTTAGGTTTTGTATTTAGAATTGTAAGAATAATAGTATGTTGATGTCAAACAGACATCTAAGGGCGCGTTCCCACTACGTCGTCACGTTTTATTATCGTTGGACGACTGTCGTGTCTAGCCTGTTCCCATATCACGACTATATGTCGTGGATGGTTTTTTATCATTGAACGACTGTCGTGACTAGCTGTTCCCACTAGATCGTGACGACAATTTATTGTTTCACGACAGCCTTCTTGCCCATCTCTGGCGAACAGAGGGCGCGAGGTACGAGAGGGGAGGGCAGGGAGCAGAATACGTGCGGACAGTGATAAATAAAACGTGACGACAATAGGAGCTGCGACAATCTGTCGTCACGTTTTTATCGTGACGTTTTTTTATCGTCTGACGACTGTCGTTCTAGCTGTTCCCACTGTGACGACAGTTTGTCGTTGTAACGATAAAAAATCGAGAACGACAGTTAATCGTGTCGTGCTATATGTGACCAACTTCATTTAAATATACAAGTACGACACTGTAAGCTGCACGACAATCTGTCGTCACGACATAGTGGGAACGCGCCCTAAGAGTTCTGGACAAAGCTTTGAAATTGAATATACGTATAAAGTTAAAATTATGATATAATTGTCGTTTATATTTATAAAGTACCTCTCGCTGCGCAAGCCCAAGCTACGTTCCCATGCTATACTACCATCTTAGTCTACCGCGACCTGTTTGAGTCCTAAACTTTTATTTGATTCGAAAAAAAAACCGGAAAAAAATTATATAATTTCCTAATGTGTAACAATTGCAAAAACCTAAGACGTCGTCCTAACGACAAAACCTATTATAAAAAAATAAAATTCACATGTGAAAAATATATTTTTTTTGACACCACGTGACGGGACGAACATGTCTAGGGTCTGGTGGTAAGCGACACGCCTGTCCATAACAGTTGCAATGCCGCTCAGAACTTTAAATCGCAACGATCTTAGGGGCACTGAGATAAAAGTTGACAAGTCCCATGTGCTTAATTTCACCAGCGGCCTTACCCTTCAAAACCGAAACACAGTAATGACGAGTGTGCACACATTACTGCTTGGCGGCAGAAATAGGTGGCAGTACTTCCCTGAACGAACTCTTGCACAAGGAACTCTACTGCTACTAGAATAGACTAGATATTTGGGAAATATCTGGTCTATTCTTTGTTGATTTGTAAATCGTTGGATAATGTTCAGGATTTTTGGTTGATGGATGGTAAAACGAAATTATATGCACGATTTGAAAGCCACGATATCGAGTGAAAAAGTGTATATGATAATATAATTACAGTATTGGTGTTGAGATGTCCGCAAACGCATTTTCCTTGCGACTTCACTGTGAGATTTCGTATTCCGAATTTGGCCCGGATCAGAACCGGTTTCTTAATATACGATTTGAAGGCCAAATAATCCGCACACACGTCTAGAACTCCACGAGGACGTTTTCGGCCACCAATTTCTGTTTCCATGATCTGTGAAAAACGTACAAATTCGTGGGTACCACTAAAAATTGTTTACAAAAAAATTTGGTGCTAATTATTTAGTAAATTTCGTATAATAAAACAATTAATAGGTATAAACTGCTGCAGAGAGCTGCGGTAGGCGCACTTTATAAAATGCAATATACTATAGAACATATTCTCCACTAAATAAAGTATACATTTCTTCAAACAACAAAAAACAAAAGAGTAAAGCCGTGCTGCGTCGCCTACGGTAGGTAACGGTTAGCGACCGTAGGTGACTTAGCGGGGCGCCGCTAATCGTTGATTTACATGCCTTAAAGCGAGCAATGCAACATAAACTTTATCATCAACAAAATAAAGCAACATTTCATTACACAATCACATGAAAACGAGGCTCTTTCGAGGGGCGGCGGGCTGCAGAGAGGTGTGGCAGACGCACTTTATAAAATGCAATATACTATAGAACATATTCTTTATTTCATAAAGTATACACTTCTTCAAACAACAAAAAACAAAAGAGTATAGCCGCGTGACGCGTCGTGTTTCACGACTCCACCCATTTGAATCGCCTCTGACAATACAAAGTGTAACTTAGCGTCTCAACAATAAGGTATATTTCTTTGAAAGGCAGATTGCGTAGTAGATGCAATGTAGTATATAATATTATATATAAAATAAACTAAACAAAGTCGACATTTTTTTGAAAGCCAAGCAAAATCTCTTTTGATATAAGCAGTTTATACTTAATTTAGTAGATAGTATGTTCTATATTACAATGCATGTTGCTTGCTGCATCTACTTTATGAATGAGTGGTCGTGTTTAAGCAATATGTAGATTATGCATGCAAATAATATTGCGTGGATGAGAAGGTCCCGGGTTTCATTACCGGTAGAACCAATTTTGGAAATGTACTTTTCTAACGTGATTTTGGCCTAGGTGCTCTGGGTAAGCTCTTGGTTCCGGCTTCGATTCCCGGTAAGACCAATTTTTGAACATGATTTTTTTTTAATGGTATTAACCTGGGTGTTCTGAGTGGTGCCGCGGAGTGAATTCCGTAATTCTTGGTTCCGAGTTCGATTCCCGGTAGAACCAATTTTGAAAATGAACTATTCTAAAACGGTTTTGGCCTAGGTGTACTGAGTAGTGCCGCAGACTGAATTCCGTAGCTCTTGGTTCCGGGTTCGATTATCGGTAGAACCAATTTGGAAAATGAACTTTTCTGAAGTGGTTTTGGCCTAGATATTCTGGTAATGCCCCTGTTTGGATTCCATTGTTCTGGTGCTCATAAGGAGTACAGAGAGTTCCCTTGTTTGAACCCAGCATGCGTAGCATGGCGGTATATCGCATACGATATGTGGTAAGCCTACCTTTGGCATATATAATGCAGTCGATAAAGCAGTTTATTTCCAGTAGTTCCATATACTCAGTCTCACATGGAGCAGTTGTAACCCAAAAGTTCCAATAACTATGTTTTCATTATTACAATTTTATTTTTTTATTGTGAGTACTGAATCGGTAAAATACCGCACTAGGGCCATTCGTTCTTTTGTTTATTTGATAATGAACACTTGTTATACATTGTGAAGAACAAGGATAACGATATATAATTGCGTGTATAGCTTATCTATGTCATTTAATCATCGCCGGGAAAATCGTAATCCTCTTCATTGCATCGTTGTAAAACGATGAAACAAAAAATCGTTCATTATCAAATAAACAAAAAATAAAATTTTAACAAAGGCAACATAGCTTTATGGAGTGTATGTCACGGGGATGTTTATCACATATTGCATGCGTAATGCTGTCATACTACGTTAGCTGCTTTTTTTTATTGTTTCTGTTTATTTCGTCTGTCGCGCTCAATTTTTACGTTAATAAAATTACCGTGCAGTACTGACACAATGTTTTAAAATCAGCTGTGACCAATTTTGACACTGCGATATTGTTTCGCGGCCATTGATCGAGACGCGCGCTGTGCGTCAAAAATGTGATGTCACGGTGCTCGCCATAATCGCTATAGTGAATAATAAAAATAACAGCTTTATCAATTTAATTTGACAGCTAAATGTGGCTATAATAGGTTTATTGCGGCGTCATGCTACGGGCACTGGTGGTTGTCTGACAACAGATCAGGGAAAAGTTCGTCCACTTTTTTTAAATTTATTTCATCAAGTTAACCCAGACCTCCTAGGCCAAAACCACTATAGAAAAGTTCATTTCCCAAATTGGTTCTACCGGGAATCGAACCCGGAACCAAGGACTAAGGAATTCACTTCGCGGCACTACCCAGAACACCTAGGCCAAAACCACTTTAGCAAAGTTCACTTTCGAAATTGGTTCTAATCGGGAGTCGAACCCGGAACATAAGACTACGAAGTTCACTCCGCGGCACTACCCAAAATACCTAGGCGGCCAAAAACACTTCAGAAAAAGTTCATTTTCAAAATTGGTTCTACCCGGAGTCGAACCCGGAACATAAGACTACGAAGTTCGCTCCGCGGGACTACCCAAAATACCTAGGCGGCTAAAAACACTTTACAAAAAGTTCATTTTTCAAAATTGGTTCTACCGGGAGTCGAACTCGAAACATAAGTAAATATGAAATTCTATACTACAGTGCATCTATCACGCAATATGCCTTTCAAAAAAATATACCTTATTGTTGAGAATCTAAGTTACAATTTGCATTGCTGGAGGCGGAACAAGTCGCCGACGTTTAGTGACTTCGCGCTGCGTCGGCGACCGTTATGTTTGAAGAAATGTACATACTTTATTAAGTGGAGAATATGTTCTATAGTATACTGCATTTTAAAAAGTACGCCTACCGCAGCTCTCTACAGTCCGCCGTCGGTTACTGCATCTTCGTTTTAATTTGTTTGTTTAATGAAATGTTGCCTTATTTTGTTGAGGATAAAGTTTATCTTGCATTGTTCGCTCGATATGAATCAAGCCTGTGTATACGATGTATATATATATTTTTTATAAATACAGGAGTTGGAACACAACACGTCCTAGCTGATTCCATTCCTCTGTCGAAATAATATTTCAAGAGCTAAAATTATTTAATTTTCTAGAACCCAATTTCTTAAAATTTCTAGAATAATTATGTTCTATAACAAATTAGTCTAAACTTGGGCTTCTGTATAGATTTTGAGTCATGTAATTTTGGAACTATATTATACTCTTGAGGAGAATTTTACTAACCACTATCGTAATGAATGTCATCAACAAAGACAAAGTTTCAATGTGTAACATTCAACTAATTTTTTTTAACCTGTCGCACTTGGATGTCAATGTCGGGCTTGTGATGTCAATCCCTGTGGATTATTCTAATCTATCGAGTCGCGTCGCAGTGAGAGGTAACTCTTCACATATGAGCAGAGTTTTAGCCCTCTTCGCCAACAGGTCACCCAACACCACATTTAACTCCGAAACCAGCCAAATATCCCCACATAATGGCCACATACCATCAAATGTACAAAAGATAATAGTGGAGATTCCGCTCTTTTTATTAGATGGTATAACTTATTTAAGGGAAGATGGCCAACACGAAGTCTTAAAGCTAAGTCCAATGCATTTCTAGAAAGTGTGCTGTCAGGGTTTCGCGGTGGACGCAAACTACATAGTTTGTAACCCATCACACCACTGAATGCCAAAGTGAATAAATGCCAAACCTTAAATGTGAGACAGATTTCGTCCAAGTAAGCGCTGAGAAAGACTTTAGTAGCGTGGTGGGAGGCCATTTGGCGGGGCGACTCCCCCATGGTGTTATCACCCCCCCACGAGGGCATCCAAGACCATGCCCACTCTGACCAACTAGTTTCCCTGCGTAGCTCTGTTGATGTTGCAGTGGATATTTCTGCAATATAATATAAAACTTTTACTAGATACAATATCAATGTCATTAACCCGTGAATTGTCTATAGGATTGAATATACGCCGCGAACGGTCTCGCTGGGTGTGACCTGATTCCGATATGCAGGTTAGACCACGATGTTTTGCTTCACGGTTAGCGAGAGGGAATAAAGGTGGCCATTCTCACATTCGATGTTCTCAGCCTAATCGCCGTAACCATTTCGGTGACGTCAGTCTAATTACCGTAGCCATTGTTTTTCTCGCTTAATGTACCCAATAACATTGAAATATGAACAACTTTAAGCTTAATTATCAATATGTCCAAATTACATTAGAATAGACAAAGTAGTTTTCGAGCATTGACTTACAATTATATGGACGCGGGTCCGCGCTAAAAAGTGTCCGCACTTGTAAGGCGCTAAAATCGTATACAGAGCGCGACACTCCGCTTTAGTCTTCATTTGTTCTACTGACAGCGCGATACTGCGATGACATTACAATTTAAATTTCGAATAGGTTGACTTGGGACATTTTTTTCGTGGTTTTTGTATTAGACCCGTCGTCCATTTATTTGTAAGTCAATGTTTTCGAGTTATTAAGACGCGAATATTTTATGGAAACGGTAATTAAATTTAATTACCGTAGCTGTGGATACGGTAATTAGAAAGTTCAAACATTTTCAATTTCAATTTCATTTTCAACAAGAAAAACCGACTATTTCTGACACAGATGAATTATTATTTGAAAATTTTGCAACATTTGGTTTACTTATACTGATACAAGTTACATTCAAGAGTTTTAGAAATAACTTTAAAGTAGGTTTCATAATATTTGGTTAGTGGTAATGATTAAAAATTTCTCCAATTATTTCTTATGATTAATCACAGCTGTTACAAGAACAGTGTAATAATTTACATATTACTTATTTCTGCCGATAAAAAACTTAAAAGTTTAAAAAATATTATTATATATCAGTGTAATTCATTAAAAAAAGAGAAAAAAATTAAAATCAAAGCTATTTAAATGTTGTTAGTTGTTCTTCATAAGTTTTGTTTTCATGTTTCTTAAAAATGTTTGAACTTTCTAATTATCATATCCATGGCTACGGTAATTAGATCTAATTACATCCATGGCTACGGTAATTACATCTAATTACCGTTTCCATAAAATATTTGTTTGTTAATAACTCGAAAACTATTCTAATGCCATTTAGACATGCTGATAGTTAAGCTTATAATTGTTCATATTTCAATTCTTTGTCGTTGGGTATATTAAGCTTTATATTCGCTCTTTGTTTAATAATTATAACAAATCAGAAGAGTAATTTCACAAAAAATAACAGTTTAGTTGTCAAAGAAAATTAAATGATGCATCACCAATAGAAAATACTCACGGCTTAGTGAACCCGTGGCCATGGAAGCTTTGTTAAACACAGTAGGTTGTTTGTCGGACATAAACCGCTCGTGTTCTTTTACCAACGTCAAAATGAGCGCGAGTTGTTCATTAGTGATGCCCCAAGCCAGTTTTGATGAACTTAGTTGCATGTTGATGCTTTGAGCGCGCCGTAGTGGGATCGTTACCAATTTTGTCAGAACTCTAGAACAAGAACAATTTAATGGACGCATCACTTTGTAGTAGCACACTTCGAACCATCAATAGTAAAGTGACTGTGGCGAAGCAGAGTAATTTTCGGCAACTGACATAATTTGTAAACGGTGTTTCTATTTTCCCAATGAACCTCGGCGATTTCGTGTTTCATTCAGTTGCCCTTTGCCTTAGGTACAGACCAGACGCTTCCAGTCGACTTGGAAGTATATAGAAATGCTGCTAAAGTCATAAGCACGATGTATAGCTGTTCGAGCAGCGTTCAGATACGGACTGAATTGATTAATAACCGGAAAAATATTCATTTTTAGTATACTAAAGCAGCACACTTCATTTACTTCATACTTTTGTTAAGTTGCTTATTGACATGGAGTAAATGTTATCAAAAATAGGTAAATCGTTTTACAGCTATATATAGTTCACAAGGAAATCTTAACAAAACAACAATAAAGTACGTTGTTCAAAATTCAAATTATTATACATTTACAATGATAGTGACGATGTGAAAAACTTAATGAATTTATTTTATTCAAACTTGTAGTTATGGCATTTGAAGACGCTAAAGAATTATTTTAACAATGATTTCGCTACCTTTCGCCATTGTTCTTTAATAACAACATGTGTTAGTCAGAAAGTTCGGTTTTGCCAACAGTTTCAAACAACGAAAGAACTTTTCGCTTTTAAAATGTATTCGTTTAAAAAATAATATTTAAATAAAATTCTTTGAATGGACACGACTTTGATAACTAAGAGACTATCAAACGGTGCTTCGAGCTGTATTTTAAAAGGAAAGGCATGAATTTTTGTGAAAACGAGAATTTTAAAACTACCTGAAAAATGGAAAAAATTGTAAATCAGCATGGCCAACACTTAATTGAAAATCAATACATAAAAAAATTAAATTGAATACTTTTATATTTCTTCTTTCGATTACACTTTGGTACACGCTATAGTAGAATTTTATTAATTTGGCACCAAAAATTCTTTGGCTGGACCCCTTTTGCATATCACAAATTTCTATCCAAGGTTGCCTAGAAGAAATTGCTACTTAACAATATGGCCGCCTGTTGCACATTATCTTGCTATCTTTATACCTAAGTTACTGTATTGTACTTTAACTATAATTTTATGTGTAATACAGAATATTAAATTCATTCATTCGTTCAAAAAATTTTGCAACAATTTGTTTTTTGATTCATTGATGTATTATTAGCAGGGATGGGAATAGGCAGAGTTTTTTCACCTAAACTTCGAGGAACATAGACAGAAAATGGAGACTGCCTTACGACAATATTTTTTAGGTCCTGGACCTGTTCGGGATTCGGGAAATCGCTTAAATTTTATTATTACATTAAAAATTTACGTAATTGGGGACAGGCAGGTACACTATATGTATCTTAACTTTGCGACACAGTGCGTCGGATCAGTGATATTGCAGACATTGGATTGTTTTCACGACACCTCTCTAAAAAAAATGCCAATCGAGAGATCCTACTGTCCTAAAAATATTGTCATATCACATTTTGCCAAAAAATGTAATAGTTTAGTAGGAAAAAAATAAAATGTGTATTTTTATGGGGCCATTACCTTTAGTGCCCCATCGTTATAAAGTCTTAGTCGATCCAGTCTTGGAATCATAGTAATAGATTTATGGCAAAATGTGAAACATAGGGCGCACTACGCCCTATGTATTACATATCTTATCATAGTTTCCGGAACTGGCCACTTACATAAACAATATTTAAAAAGTAATTACCTACAACATTTGAAAATGGAACTCTTTGGCTGTAGAATACAGTTTGTTTCATCATCTGCCTCAGTGGCCGAACGGTTACCATGCCAGACTGCCACGCAAAGGTCCCAGGTTCGATTCTCGGGCCGAGAGAAATATTTGTATGGCCTACATTTATTTCTCTCGTGAGTTTGGGTGTAATTTGTGGTTGTCAATGTGTGTGTCTATGGCACCTGCGTCACAGGGTTTCCCTAGCGGGGCTATGTTGAGTGTGTGCTTTATTATTATTATTATTATTATTACTATTATCTGACTGTCACTTGTTTTTACATTGTGGCGTCATTTTAGAAATTGGTTGTCTACATCAGCATGGATTTAACTCGTGAAAATTTTCGTAGCATGATTTTCTACGACTTTAAGTGTGATTTAACAGGTCAGCGGAGCTTTGCTCGGCTTCAAACTGCTTTTGGCGATGAAGCACCATGCAAGACGACTATTTAAAGCTCGTTAGCAGAATTCAAACGCGGTCGTGTGAATCTCAGTGACGAATTTCGTGATGGTCGCCCGTTGTGAACAACAAAAACATCGATGCTGTGCGCCGTATGATCAAAACAGACAGGCATGTGACATACCATGAAATTCGGGCATCTTCAGGCATAGGCTCATGCCTATGCTCTATGACTCATGTCAAATACAATCAATTAAAACACAAACATTTGGGTGTGAAAAAGCTGTGCTCTCGGTGGATCCCACACAATTAGAATGAGGCTCAAAAAACGGATCGCGTCACATAGTGCAATGTCATGCTTACCAGATTCAACGAAGGAGCGTCAAATTTGGTGTGGGACGTAGTAACAGGTGATGAAACATGGATTTTTAGTTACGATCCCAAAACAAAGCAGCAATTGAGCGTATAGGTATTTCGAGATGAGCCGAAACCAACCAAAGTGGCGCGCGTGCAAAGTACGTCTAAGCGGATGATTGCTTCTTTTTCTGATAAAACTGGACACGTGGCTACTGTTGCTTTACAGAATCGTTGTACCGTGAATAGTGATTGGTACACGACCATTTGTTTGCCGGAAGTTATTGTCTAACTCCGTAAAAATAACCGTAATCGCCGTATCATCTCGCGCCACGATAATGCCAATTCTCACAGGCCAGACAGACAAATGAATTTTTGAAGGTGAACAACGTTGACCTTATGAGCCATCCCGCGTTCAGTCCCGACCTGGCTACTTGTGACTTTTATTTATTTCCAAAAATTAAGAACCATTTACGCGGTAGAATATTTGGTGAAACAATAAATTAATTTCTGACCATTTATAGTATTTTTATCTGATTCATTCCGGAAACTTATAGTGTGCCACACTTATAACAATATTTAATTAGGACGATAGGATCTCTCGTTTTGCATTTTTTAGAGAGGTATCGTGACAAAAATCCAATGTCCGTTATATTGCTGATCCGACCCACTGTGTCGCAAAATTAAGATAAATATAGTGTACCTGCCTGTCCCCAATTATGTCAGTTTTTAATGTAATTAAGTGATTTCCAGAACCCCGAACAGGTCCAGGACTTAAAAAATATTGTCGTAAGGCAGTCTCCATTTTCTATGTTCCTCGAAGTTTAGGTAAAAAATCTCTACCTATTCCGAGCCCTGATTATTAGTGTTGTTTTTGACTTGAACAACATGGGGAAATCCAAAACCATGGGATATACAAAGAACCGGTCTTAGGAACTATTAAATCTTTTTTGCGACAACAATTTTGGCAAAGTAAACTTTTTAGTCAAGCGTAAGTTGTCCACAAAAATGCAGAAAAATGTTTTTTTTTGTTCTGTCGACTCGGTTTTATGTAGGTAAGGATCATTTCATTGCATTGAAAGAAAAAAATCGGGATAGCAGAAGCTGGTAAAGTTGAATAAAATGTTATTAATTTTCCATGAATAAAAACTTTTCCACAAAAAACGACTTAATGGTTCCTAGGACAGCCTCCCTGTATTTCCTATACTTTCAGATTTCCCCATACTGTCCAAATTCAAAAACACACTGAATACAGAATTTTTGATAGTCATTTTGTTAGATTACGCACTTCAAGCTCAGCTGACACCGATACAGCAACGGCTCTTGATAGAACCGTATCTTGCCATCGTCGTCTGATTGGTCCAAACACAACGTAAGATCGTCTAATGTCACTATTCTTCTGATAACAGGCTGGTTTTGATCAATATCTGAAAGCGATACAAGTATTTATTCATGATGTCTTCAGGATAACAACGAAATATACACATCAGAGCAAAAACTATAACGCAACACACTCATAGCCCCACACTAGGGAAACCCTGTGTCGCGGATGTCATGGACACACAGACAGCCACAAATACACCCAAAGTCTCGAGATAAATAAATGTAGGCCTTACACATATTTCTCCCGGTCTGGGAATCGAACCCAGGACCTCTGCGTGGCAGTCCAGCATGGTAACCGTTCGGACACGGAGGTAGTTACTTAAACTTTTGGTATAATATGGACGTGTTTAGATTGACGCTATTCATTTAGCTAAATTTTCGCGGAATCCTAGAGTGCTGTTCTAATTGTTGCAAAATAGTAATGGATTTGTTCACTCCGTTTTGAATGCGAGGAATGCTGCACACAAATAGCATCAACTAGAACAGTTCTTAACAAATAAATAGTATCAAGTGATTAATATACGGTTAAATACCCGCAAAAGCAGGGGTCCAGTCGGCGCCGGCACTTTCCACAGTCAAGTGTTTCACATTTAGCGATAGAACGATGTCATCCTGCACATATTTTACTATGAGGTGGTGAACTTTGACGGTAATATTGCTAACTATGCGCCGAACTAAAGCTTGCATATAGCCTGGGGGAGCTTCTACCACTTGCGTTGTACGGCTGAAAAAAAAAACATGTTCTTATTTTCATTCACATTAGACTTTGGAGGCACCAAGTACAACTTCCAGGAGCTGCCTGCATTAAATTTGCATGACATTATAGCAAGAAAACACCCGAAACTCTGCAGGCCTGGACTGGATCTGGATTTCGGAATGCGACGTATACATCTTACTTTTACTTTTGTACCTTGATACGGACAAGCCTCCCCATGAGGATTTAACACAACTAACTACGCACTTGCTTGTGTAGCAGTGCAAGCTATAGCAGTATAGTTCCGCAGGTGTGCAGAGTGAGCACTACCTGGAAATAACGAGTAGCCCAGACCCTGTGGGCAAAGTTCATGAGGATCGATTACTGACAAGCTTTATCCATTTGATATTTGGCAGTGGCAAATCACTGAACAGAGTAAGCAAATTTGTATCATCTCATTTTTTTGCTTAATTTCCCTAACTTGAACTGGATTTTAACGGGAGCTTTGGTTTTCTGCTTCGCCAAATTTGGAATAGCCGCACTCTTGCTTCCTTTACGTGGAGGGTTGTGAAAATAGTGTATAACTTACTTTACGTTTTCAGCTGTACTAGCTTCGTCAGTAGCTGGTGGTCGAAAACTCAATATACACTCTAAAAGAAACAAATGGTAAACATTAACAATTTCTAACAAACATTTATTTGTATCACATTTAGCCAAACATCATTCATGGTGATTTGAAATAAACTTAGTCTAAAAACGAAAAACTTAAGTACCAAAGGTAAAAAAAAATGTTTACAATCGATGAACAAATGCACACAGTTTTGGATATGTCAATAGATATTTCAAGTAATATGAAAACTAATTGGTGTCCACTTTCACTTTCTACACAAATAAGATTAAACAATCCAATGAAAGCTTAATAAACTCACAGCAGACATCAAGTCTGACAACACACAAGAAACTTTTATTTTATGTTATGATTATACTTTACCAATAGTATCTATGGCCACTGTAATAGGTTCTGACATGATTTTGGTCCATGGCACTTGTATCAGAAGTTCGTGGATCCTACCCGAGATTAAGGTGAAGGGTAGTGATACCTCTTGCTGCAGAACATCTGGTTTTAGGATCAAGTTGTGAAGAGCCACGCCCCCAGCCCATAGTGACACCTAAAACAACAAGGTCATGGTAAAAATAATTTCAAACTAAGTCTTTTTTTAGTTCCCAAAATGTCAAGATAGTAAGAAATGCTACTGTGGTAACAACCATAACTAGTGATAGTAATAACGTAGTTGAAGAGTTTTTACTTGCAAAATTTTGATGAATAAGGTGCCAGATAATATCCACCTATCTCCTGTCTACCTGTATGTTTATAATTAAAGATACACTTACTTGGGCGTCAGCAGGTTTAAAATCCCGTACATATTTATCAACATAACTCAGCAAGATCGGTGTCACATAAGACTCGATTTTGAACATGGCTATAGATGTTCACACACACATGTACCAATACATAATCCAATATTATTTTTGCCCTGCAACTGTGTAAGTTAAAATATAGAAGATACACAATCACAATCAGATAACTCACATAAATTATGTCGAATTATTGTTGTAAATAGTAATTTATGATGACGTGTAATTGAAGTGAGTCTAAATTTGAAACTCTACTTTCTTATTAGGCACAATAAGCTATACATTTGAATGCCCTATATGTGATATATCAGAGGTAGCACAAACAAACCCATAGAAACCAATAGTAATAGATAAACATTTACACATGCCAGCACATCAAGCACATCAACACATTGACCTATCTTGTTCCCTTACACTGGAGGTGATTTTCGAACAAAAATGTGTAGTCTGATGTGCCGTTGTCCATACAATATAAAATAAAGATAAAAATTCCAAAAGAAGATTTAAAAAAAACTGACCCTCAAATTTCCCATGCTCTTGTTTCGATCAATACCTGTAAAAAAACATAAAATACAATATATTGTTTAAGTTTTTTCAATAGGGACATAGCTATTTTGTATTTCAATGAAACACATAATAATTGAGATTTTGAGCTGATATTTATTCCAGGTGCAGTACACCTGTTTTATTGAAGAATGGAATTCAATCTTATAACCGAACTTGTAACTCTCATATGACCGCAGCGAGCATGTTTGCAACATTCAATTCTTTGGAACCAATTTTCAATCACTCTTCCTCACATATCAGACGAAATGTTGGCAATTTCGCATTTGATATTGTTCCTAAGCTCATTTCATGTTATTAGCTTGTTGGTATAAACCAATGGCTAAACGTAGCCCCCTAAAAAGTAATCCAACAACATTAGATCACAAGAGCGAGGTGGTCATTACACGATTATCAAAGTTCTTCTTCAATAGATTGAGTGTTTGGCACGGTGGTAATATGAACGAGATCAAATTCCATTCTTAAATGTCACATGTGTACAGCACCTGGAACAAATTCCAGCTCAATTATCTCGATTATTCAGTGTTTTATTGAAATACAAATGTGTTATGTCTATATTGAAAAGCCCGATATTACAGTTGAATTATATATGCCATAATGCACTGGGTAACATTGAGTTCATGATAAATTTCAAATATTATAAAAATGTCATTTAATAGCCATTCTCAACTTCCTGAAAGTAAATCACATTTAAGTAATATTTTCAAAAGGTCTGTGATCGCTTACTTACTTATCCGGCTATATCTCTCTCTACAGCAGCTTAAGTTCAGCAAATAAGAAATACTAACATGTAAGCTGGAGAAATGTTAAAATAAACTAACTCCTGAATAGCATTAAAAAAGTGCATAAACATAATGAAATATCTCAATAAACGTCGCCGATGTTTTTATCATCTTAGAGTGTACACTTACTAGGCACTTCACTTTTTTTTGTCATTTGATTACTGATGTGGCACTACATTATTTGTTACACTTCCAATATAGCACAACATACAACACTTTATCTTCTAATCTAGATCAAAGTTAATAATGATTTTGGGGCAATTGTGGAAATGGTACATAAAATACTGCAAAAAATTATCTTTAAAATTACTAAAATATTGATTAGAAAAGATAAAAACTACGATTTGTATCGAATTGTGCAAGTTTCTATAATTTTTACACACCTGCTACTTACTTCCTTCCTATTAATTCTGTTGCATTTAATCTGTGCTGGTGCACTGTAATTTCACATACAATTTTAAACTGCTCATTAAATACAAATCATGAATTCTGAATTATATTTATTTACTCAAACACGCCCGGCCTTTTGCTTTTTTTCACATAATTATTTTGTTTCTGATCGACAATCGTCCAAAATCAAATACACTTTTATTATAAAGTTCCCCAATCATTGCGAATATATCGGATATCAAGTCGATTAGCGTGTGGGTTCTGGTGTTTTACATTAGTTTTCGTTTATAACCAGTTTGTTAGCGAACAATTATTAGCAATGTTGTAGTCTAAGTGTATCATATCAATTATCAACAGTCAACAGATTTATTTGAATTTACAATTTAAATTAGTTACATGAAGTTTTTAGGTCGTTTCGGTACATTTTTTGAATGATATGTATTATTTCGCTTTTAAATTTACAATTCACGAAACAAATCAATGTGCAGATTTTTAATTTTCATAAATAATCTTTAGTATTACTTAAAATATTTAAATTTCCGACATTGAAACAAGAAAATGTCGAGGTATACCTCGGGTGAACATTGTATTGCATATATGTATATATGTACTAACAAAGTTCGAAGAAAAAAAATTTGAAGAGTTCCTCGAATTCTTCTTTGTCAGAAAAATGCTTTAAACGTAAAATGTTAGTATGTATGTATACACATTTCGTCTGTTGATATCGCGAAATATGAGCAGTCATTGCGAAAATATTAATCAGTGTTAAAGTTGTATTTGATGGCGAAGGGGACACCTTAGTCAACATTTCGTACCTAAAACCTAACGTGCTAACTTAAAGGGTTTTCGAAATCAGGCTGCCAGCCGGGGAGCCCCTCTCATTGAAAAAATTGGGTCGGCCGTATCCTCAAGTGACAAAACCCGTGGGCAGAGGCACCGCTGGGTTGTTCACAAGCTGCAGCAGCAAAGTGAACATTCCTTTGTATTGGTGAGCCTCCCAGAAAAACTCGTCCCCGCTGTCCTGGGGCATGGCCGGCGCCTAACCTAAGTTGGGTACGGTCTACCTCAGGTTCAGATCCAAGAGGGGCCTGTGCACCGATGTGCCACCTGAGAAGACGGGTACAACAACGACGCGGATGGACGTCTCCCCGGTGCTCTCCACCTCCTCCGATATCCCCGGAGAAGGTGAAGGGTCCTCATTGACCCCCGTCTCTGCGTACGACGCTGTCAAACCGGTGGCGACCAGCGTGATGACGAGTGCTTGTTGGGGATGGAAGATATTCGACTGAGCGAGGACGTGGACGAGGAGCTGCTATCTCCTGATGGCGGTTTCCCCCTCGCTCAGTAAACTTCGTATCGTTCAGAGCAACCTCCACCACAGCCAGGCCGCAACGGTTCAGCTCTGGAAGTGGTTGGAGGCTAACAACACAGCCATGGCACTAATCCAGGAACCGTGGATTAGTGCCCGTGGCCAAATAAATGGACTCTCACATTTGAGAGGTGAGCTATTATCGACTACCATCTCAGATAAACCTAGAACTTGTACATATTATTCTAATAACTCACATGTACAGCCACTAACTAAATTCCGTTCCAGAGACCTGTGCGCCGTAAAGCTTTTAGCTGACGCGACCACGGGCCTGCCTGAAGTGGTGCTCGCCTCTGTCTATATGGCGGAGACTGATGTGCCACCACCGCAGGAAATGGTACAGCTAATCAACTACAGCGAGCAGAACGGTCAGAATATCGTCGTGGCTACTGACTTCAATGCCCACCAACCGTTGTGGGGCATGGAACTCACAAATGGTAAGAACCTAACAGAATCTTATTCACAACTAACCTTCAAATCTTTAATAAAGGTATAGTACCAACTTTTATAAATAAAAGATATAGAAAGATCGAACACTCATATCTTACGATACTTCGATCCGGTCGGGGAAGGAATTTTTTCTGAGTGTTCGATCTTTGTATTAATAATTATAACAAACTAGTGGAGTAATTTCACAAAAAATAATTGAATATCAATTTAATAAAAATTTAATTAAAAGATATAGAACTATTATAGACTTAACCCTAACGTCCGAATGAGCAGTGGACCTTATCCACAACTGGCACGTGTTCGAAGAAGCATCTTTCTCCGACCACAGATGGAACGGAGAAAATTCAGCTTAGAAACAGCCATCAAAGAACAACGACCGAAACGGAATCCCCGAAAAACCGATTGTAAACTGTACACGGACAAACTACACCAGAGCCTGTGGGAACCAGGAGCACCGGGAAGACTGCTGGATACAGCGCAGAGAGAAACACAGGTTAAACAACTTAGATCAAACACTGAGTGACTCAGTCCCGCGACAAGGCTAACACTGGTGGGCGCCTGAGCTTAAGAGGCTACGAAGAAGGGTAAGGAGACGCTTCAATAGAGCAATGAACACATGCGCGGATGAGGACTGGGAAAACTACAAGACGGCCAAATCCAAACTAAGAAAGCGCATACGGTTCAGGAGCACCGCGTCATGGCGAGGCTACTGCGGGAACATCACATCTTGTGCACAAGCAAACAGAATAAGGAAAATCCTAAGGAACTCAAATTCAACTAAGCTAGGTTCAATACGCAAAATAGACAACACATACACAACTTCCCCTGCGGACACGGAAAGAACCCTACTGGAAGCACATTTCCCAGGGTCCAAGACGACAGGTGCGAAGAAATGAACTACATCACATCGATCCATAACTGGCGATACGCTGAACAAGTAGTAACATACGAAAAGACAAAATGGGCAGTAAACACATTTGAACCGTACAAAGCTCCGGGCTAAGATGGGGTATTCCTCGCACTCCTACAATGGGGCGGGGACACACTGGTCCAGTACCTGGTCATCATCTTTCGGGCCTGTCTAGCATTCACCTATGTGCCCCACAGCTGGCGAGAGGTAAAAGTCATATTTACACTGAAACCAGGAAAACCCGACTATACCGAGACGCGAAGTCCTTCAGGCCAATCAGCCTCACATCGTTCTTCTTGAAGACATTAGAAAGGTTAGGTGACAGAAAACTGAGGAATGGAGCGCTTAAGAACATACCATTACACGGAAACCAATATGCATACAGCCAAGGAAAATCCACTGAATCGGCCCTACATGCCATTGTGGGCAAGATAGAAGTGGGCCACTTCAAAGACAAAGTAACCTGCCTAGGCACCTTTATAGATATTGAAGGAGCCTTCGATAAAACCAACTTCTCCAGCATACAATCAGCACTGAGAAGACACGACGTATATGAAGTGCTAATTAGCTGGATTAGCAACATGCTGAAACAAAAAACAATAAAAACAACAGCAAATGAGACCCCATGGGCCATAGTAGCGAAGGGGTGCCCTCAAGGGGGGTATAGTCGCCTCTGCTGTGGAACATGGTCGTAAATGACCTCATAATTAAACTAAACAAAGAATATTTCTATACAGTAGGATATGCTGATGACATAGTTATACTGGTAACAAGAAATTATGCCAATACACTCTGCGACATTACACAAGCTGCTCTCCGAATTGTGCAAAGATGGTGCAGAACAAAAAACTATCAGTGAACCCAACAAAGACGGAACTAGTAATGTTTACAAACAAACGACTACTAGGTAACTACCGACTACCCAAACTCTTCAGTACAGAACTACAGATATTAACCGAAGTCAAGTACTTGGGAGTAATACTGGACAACAAGTTGAACTGTAACAAACATCTGGGCAACAAAATTAGAAGAGGTACTATCACCTTCTGGCAGTGCCATAGAATGGTAGGTAAACAACGGGGACTTTCACCCAAGTTAGCACTATGGCTCTACACAGCGGTGATAAGACCCATGATCAGTTACGGCGCGATAGTATGGTGGCCACGAACCAAACTGACGACCTCAATCGACAAGCTGGACAAATTCCAAAGATTCGCTTGCATGGCGACGATCGGCTGCATGAGGACAACTCCAACTGCGGCCCTCCAAGCGATGCTGGCCTGCGACCTGCGACCCCTCCCACTGTTCATCAGACAGGAAGCGGCGTCAACAGTAGTGCGTCTAAACAAAGCCGGGCTTTGGAAGCTCATGAAGACCCCACATACAGAAATCCTTTATAAGACTGCCAATGAGGAACCGCTACTGGAGGCGGTTGTGGATAGGATTCCAAAACAACATCTTTGACAAAAAATACAAGATACAATTGTTTGAAGATCCCAACGAAGGACTAAACCCCAGAGAGGTCCGAGTCTTCACTGATGGATCTAAAACAAATTCAGGAACACGTGTCGTATATAACAACTATACACAAAGGTACAAAATCTTCGGATAATAATACATGGACCACCCTTACGGTTTGTAGATAGGCGAGGGAAGCTCTCCCAACGCTCAATGCCAGCCTATCTGGAATAATAATTAAACTTAAAAAGCAAGAGCTTCGCACTCTAACTGCCGCCCTTTGTCGGTAGAAGGAACATTAGCCACGAAAAACCAAGAACAAAAAATACAAGGGTCCCATATATTGCCGAATATATTTGTCGTGTAGCTGAGCTCTCCAACATGCGCGTGTCATTATCGATAATAACTACACTCCTTATGTAGTACCTACATTCGGACGGAACTTATCACGGTAGGATTATTATGGACAAGTTGGTTTCCATATATTTAATCTTGGGTTGGTTTCAATTTTTTTTCGTTGTTGACATATAGTGCCTCGTTAGCTAGTATTTTGAAATATTAATCTGGATTTTATTACGTGTTTTATTGATGTATAGTTTTCGTAATGGGGCTGACATGTTCAATAACGATCAAAGCCCTTAAGCTTTCCCTAAGGAATAAAAAGATAAAAAAAACTATACTACTTCAATTGGTATGGTGTTAAATGGTACGTACTAAAAGTTTATTAATTAATTCATCTTGAACGAAGAAGTGCATAAAAAAAGGAATAAATCACAGAAATTTGTTTCCCAAAAGATTTATATCAAGCACTAGAAAAAAGGCAGGCACTTTCTTGTGTTCGTAAACAAAATCTCTATATATTTCAAATGATCTATTCATTTATCGTTTCGAGCATGTTGACTAATGAATGTGGTGCTTTAGACGGGCAAAAATAAAATCTTTTGTCATTGAATGAAACCAAAGCTAATTTTTTGTTGCTCCATCTCCATTTTCATGAAGTTCGCACAGATAAAAAAACGTTGTCATAATTGTCATCCACCAATCACAGTTTTTATTTCCTCCTGAGCGACGAAATTCTTGTACTAAGTTCAAGTCGCTCAAAACTTTTGAGGGAAGGTATTGGTAAATGTCAGTAAATGTAAAAAAAAGTACTCTTTGATAATGGTATATGTTTTTGTTCCTTCTGTTCGTCAATGATTTTATTTTTGTATTTCTGATCTGTGAGGTTGGTGGCATATCGACAATAATTACCTGAGTAGATTGTAGATGTCCGACATGGTTTTTGCTCTTAGCCTTATAACTTACATATAAGCCATGGCTTTCATAAAATGCATGTAAGTGAATTTGGCATTGTATCTTTGTTGTTATTATAGGTTAGAATTAACTGTCAATGCGTAGATTTCTACGAATCATGTTAGACGGATTTAGCGGATAATGTCCTTCGTTTACATCGTCCACAATAGATTTTTAAAAGTTACATAATTATTTGATAGTTCAGGCACTATTGATATTTAACAGTTTGTGGTTAAGTGAAAAATTAGCGGGACTGTGAAACGTTTATTTACTTGTGAGTGTTTTGCATGTTTTGTTTCACATAATACAGTTGCGACAACAAAGTAATCGCATGTAAATTCATTACTCGATCGTTCATTGCTTCATTAAAGTCACATCGTAATTTTTTGCTGTGGGAGCATCATCGTAGTGATTTTCATGTCATAACATTATTCCATTATTGGGAATAGCTTAGCAGATACACAATAGGAATTTATTGGTGAATAGAAACAAAGTGAATTTTTCACTACATTGCTTATCAAAAATAAAAAAAAAATAAAAAAGAGATTGTTTCATATAATTATTTATTTGCCCCTACAAACACCCTTGTTTATTTTTAATTGTGCTATTGTGGCACTTTTCAATTGATTTTCTCATTATATTTCTATTTACACCATTGGAGTATCCAGTTTACTACTCCAAAAAGATCCTAGCATTTAGACCTAAGATATTTATATTATCTTTTGCTATCAAGAGTTCTTTTTTTAATGTTATGTTTTTTTTTTCAGGTTTCAAAAAGTAGAGCAAATTCCATGCCACTGATTACTCTGAAATTATTTTAATGCAATGCTAAATTAGTGCATGTGTTAAGGTCTAACCAACTTAGGCTAGTTAAAATAGTTTAATAATGTTCTTAGCAATCCCTTGTACACATTTGTAAAGCTATGCTGAAATTGACCATCAGTTTTTGCAGATATTTCAACCTCACATGTGAGTGTATCAGTTATAACAAAACAAATGTGAAAAGTTTTATGCAATTAAGCCCAAGAAAAATATGTGGTCAAAAATCACTTGTTAGTTCATCAACATATACAGGAGAGCAGTTGCGGTTTCTTGCATACAATAAGAAAAGATATCGTTTCAAGAGACAGATTCAAAATTCTAATGAGGCAAAGAATTATAAGCAAATGAGTGAGTCAGTACAGCCTACTTTGAATCATGTCAGCTTTGGAGGGCAATTTGAAGTGTAAGTGTTGTTGTAAACGCCGGTGTTGGGGATAAAATTTAAGCTTTGGTAATCATTGTAATATTTCATGTAGTAGCTCTGCAGGTAATGCTAATCCCAGTCAGGAGTGGCGGAAGCAGCTCAGTGGTACTGAAACAGCAAGTAGAAAAGAAAGTAGAGAACCTTGTGCCATACCACCAGATTTTAGAATATGGGAACCAGTGTCCAAGAGAAGTGATGATGGTAAATATGTGCCACTTGACAGTAAAAGAAATATTATTTGTATTTATAGTAATTGTGCTATTTGAGCCTGAACTATTACAAACACTTGGATGACTTTTTAATTTTTACTTTTTTCTTACAGGCAAAGTTTTCAAGTTCAAAGTAGTGTCATACAATGTGTTAGCTCAATATTTACTGGAATGTCATCCGTATCTATACACAGAATGTGCTCCATACAATTTGAAATGGAATGTGAGGGCTGCAAAACTGTATGATGAAATAATGAAACTAGCACCAGATGTAAGGCTTAATGGAATCACTACCAATTTTATAATGTCATTTTACATAAAAATTTTGTTAAAATATTAAAGCACAATATTGTTATTGTTATTGGTACAGCTCCTAATCTGGTATTAAGTGCTTATCACCTGAAATGTGGTTCTGATCTCAAAGTGTACACTTCATGTGGGCTTTCCTGTATAAATTGAGTGTAATCATTGGCATCTTAGGTGATATCAACTCAAGTGACCAACACACTACACTTAATTAGAATTTAACTATAATTTTGAGCCATCCATCATTGTCGTTGATGCCGACGATGGTGCTACTGTACAGTTATCACAATTATTTGCTATTTTTTCGTAAATAAAAAATAGTCTTTTTTTACTACACACATCAAAAGTGTCTAGCAATTGGGGTGTTTTTTAAATAATTTGATTACACTATTAAAATTGAATAAAAGCATCTGTGTAGATTTATTTATAGAGTTTTTAGGTTTCGCGATTGTTACACATAGGAATTAAAACGATGTTTTCGGATTTAAATCGCGTATATCTGGTTTTTCAAACAAACTGAGACGTTTCGGACCTTTTACAGATGCCATGGTCACGGGTAACTGAGATGGTAAAGTTATGACTTTTCAGTTTATAGTATATTTATGTATTTATTAAATTATCAAAAAACAAAAGGTGTTCATAAAAAAATAATTAAAAAACCTGGGGTCTTACCATGAACTCTTATTACAGTTCAGTATAGGTTTGTAATGACAAAAAAGCGGGATGGTGATATACACTTCACGTAGCGCTGTCTCACAACGATTTATTTTAGGTCCTTAACTTTCATGATTTTCAGTCAATAGCAAAACCGTGCATGATCCCTAGACACTTTTGATGAGTGTATTCACTTCGTGACAATGTCAATAGGAAAAAATACAAAAAGACATTACACATGAAGGAGTCTGTAATAATTGTCAAGGTCTTGCCTAAGCAGTGAATTTAGGCCACAGTCTGTTACCCCGCCCCAGTGCGGGTTAGGGCCTTCACTTGTTTTCTCAGGGATTGTGAACCTTCTTCCACTTGCTGGTTTCATCACATTTTTCTACATCGTCAGCAAGAGAGATTGCTGCTAAACATTTACACATGTCTGTAACTTAGAAAAAAAATTAGGTAATGGCTAATTCCCGTTCTTGTTACAAAATAATATTTACAAAATGGCTGTTAATAAGTGGAAATTTTGCATAACCGATGAGTATGTTATTGTTGATGTGTACTTGAGTTTTATTTATTAATAAAGACAATTGAATCAAGTACGTACATGGATTTATTAATATAAGCCAAGCAAACGCATCACGGGACTTGGCAAGAAAGAAAGCACATCCAAAATAATGTATTCTTATAATAGTAGTAATTGTTTGCAGTGGATGGTCTTTTATCTATTGCTGCATTTGATAGAATTTTTCATTTGATTTATCTTACACTGAGAATTTAATTAATAATAATTTAATCAGTTATGTAGTCAAATTAAATATTTGTATAAAACCATGCTAATTATTTTTAATTCATAGAAATACAAAAATATATGGAATTAATGTATGAAGTGCTCTGTTGAGCAGGAAATGTGGTGACGTAAAAAAAAAATTAGATTAATTATTTCACAACAATTTAACAACCTTGTATGAAATAAGTAACAGTACCAAATCACATTTTTTCGCTTTTCCTTCTTTAAATTTCAAAAAATATAAGTATATGAATGTCGTTTGGGATGTTCCAATAGTTATCAAAAACAAATAATATTAGTATGTTTTTATGATATTTGCTGTATTCTATATGATTTATGTGATTTTGCATGAGAAATAAAGCCGATTTAATTCAATTTTCATGTACCGCTATCATCAGATCTTTTGCCTTCAAGAAGTTCAAGCGTCACATCTGCCGACGTTTTATTCACAGTTTGAGCAAATGGGCTATGTGGGAATATTTAAACAGAAGACCGGGAACAGACAAGATGGCTGTGCGATATATTTCAAGCAATCCTTGTTCGAACTGAAAGAGCATATAAGCGTAAGTCTAGTTATCTATATCTATGTTAGCACTATGCAGAAGTGAAGGTCAGCACCGAGCAACTGCGTAATTATTGATTGTAAGGGCTTTTTGCTTATCGCCTATCCGTAATTATTTTAATCTCATTTATACGTCGTACTCTATATTTGCAATTAAATAAAACCCGATAAGGGACAATAAATGTTATTATTTGCAAGAGAAGTCCGCATAGGCATAAAAAAGCCCTTGAACCCATTCTGCCAAATGACTAATATCTTATGCCTGTGCGATTTATTAAATAAGGCTTGGCGAAATGGTTGTGTAATGCTTGATGTATAATTTAATGACAAATATAAATATGGGACAAACATTTGCATTTTAAGATATTTCAGAGCATTGTTGGGATTTTGTAAGGAAATAGAATAAGCGTACGTGCGAATAGTCGGTTATTTAAATTTTATTTGTTTATTATGTTCGCACACAGTGCTATTGTCTGTTTATCTCACAATCTGCCGTGTGGCATAGCTAATGTTCCGACCAAGGTTTCAGAACAGTGATTTTATCATGTGCTTGTTGCCTTTTTTCTATCTCACATGCGACTTTTGAACGAACACCTGTCGTCTGTCATTCAAAGTTAGGCTTTACTTTGAGCGCTAACTCGTCTTGACAAGGGCTTGGCTGACAAAATGTAAACAAAGAAGCGGTGGTCGTAAACAATAAGACAACAATTGACAGTGTAAAAAAATATCGTGCGAATTAATGACAAGTCAAAATAGCACAATAATTATGTTATTTTTTTTTAGTAAAGAGATGCGTTTAATGTTTTAAACCAGTATTTTACAAATTTTCATTATGCAAAAATTTTTTATATTTAAGTTTTAATTGGTACTGAATATTATGAGTAAAAAAAGACGGGGTAATAATATAGAGGTAGTAGAGTCGAGATTTAATTTTACGGTATTTATTTAATTGCTTTGTTTATAAAATGACTGAATGAAATGGCGCTTGATAAAAGACCAAAATTTCCCTATAACATAAAAAAGTATATTCCGCAGTTACGGTCCGGACAATATGCAATTTAAAAAAGTCCGTTTCCTAATCCAACCGAGTTTACCTACTTTGTCATGGAAGGTCCACAATGATAACCGCCGAGCTTTAGAGGAGGTTCTTTTACTTCCTGTAGTATACAAGTCAATATTTATGATATTATAACTCCACTGTACGTGATTATTATTACAAATATCGAACATGTTCTAAAACATAATTTTTCCCTTCTATATCTTTAACAAACACACGTAGGAGAATTTCGACAACTCGATAACTGGACCCGTAGCCCAGTTGGTAAGAGTAATACTACGGTGCAGTATGGTCGTGGTTTCAAGTCCCATTGGCTCGAAAAATTGTTGTACTAATAACCATTATATTATTATATTTATTAGTATTCAATATGTAGCGTAGTATATATTTATTAGAAGATATCCTTTGGTAGCACATTTTTGCATCTGCTAAATTTCTAACCCAAGGAGCCGCGTGTGGTACACTCCGTTACACTTGACTGCTTTGTGTTGTCATTGGAACTTTAAATGTGCATTGAAGAATGTTTAATTCATTTCTTACTTTATTGAACTGTTTGCGTTTTTAGAGTGCGATCTAAGTTGATCATAAGCGAAGTATTGGCACACAATTTTATATATACAAGGAGAGCAGGAAACAATACTCAGTACTAGCGATCACGTCAGTTATACGGAATGACAAGGGTTGAGCAAAAGCAGCGTAACCCACATTTTTCGAAGAAACTATCTAGGTGCCAATATCTCGAAAGTTATAATTATAAATACAAAGATCGAACATTAAGAAAAAAATCCTTCGATCCGGCTGGACTCGAACCAACGTCTTCGAGCAAACCGTGGCAGACGGTATGCCGACTAAACCATGACACGAACTAGCAGACCTTACGATGTTTTCTATATCCTCGTTGCAGATCTTCGTTTTTGGTTTTTAACGACTTTTGCCGTAACGCCATCTGTGAGAGATCTAATTCAGAATCACCGTGACATTAGATAAACTGAAAAAATTGTGAAAATTACCACAATGTAAATACGTTAGTTATGGCAGTACTAAATAATAATTGTTACAATCGCCTGGAATTAAATGTAAACGTTATAAATATGTAAATGTTAGATTGTTGTGTTCAAAAATGTGTAATCTTTTTTTTTAAAAAAAGGTGTACTTATATTTTCGAGAAAAGTAAACAAACTATAATTTGTGAATAATACACACTTGGTGTTTTATATATCCACATTATTTTCGTAAATATTTAGTTTGCAATGAATTGGAGTCCATATGTAAGCAATTAGGATTGTGGTTTTATCTTAATTGTGTAACCACTTTTAAAACTACGTAATTTCTTAGATTTTAGTTACAGTTTTATCTTTTTCAAAATATTATAATACACAATGTAGTTGCAATATTATGAAACATACCAGAGCAAGTTGTAAACTGTGTAGTTTGTTAGATTAGACGCGGACGGCAGTTTTATTCGATTTAATTTACCCTCAATATTGTTTTGTTGATAATATCGCAAGTGACCGGTAACTATAACTAAGTACGCTATGCCTATGTAGGTGGTGCGGTACGTGAGGTAAATCTTTCCGAGTTATTGTAACAGATGACGGTAATTGTGGACGCAATGGGTTATACTAATGTAATATACATATATATATATAATATATATATATAATAATACGATATCACAATTCGATTCTGCAAACTGTACGATTAGTAAATCCAACAACTGCACAGAAACGGTGCATTTATTCTTTTAAAAAATTATACGTATCAAACATTGACTTACAATTATAGTATCAAACGTTACATTTGGTTTGAATTATACATAACAATTTTTATTTTAATATTATTTCTTTTTTAGTTCCTATTATGCAACACCACTTTTCAGTTTTTTGTAGTGATTAGCGGTTGGCGTAGAAATAAGTGTTTTGTTGGTGACACAATCATTACGTATTTACTGTAAAAATAATTAATTATAAATTTTAATTGAGTCTACTGTTTGTTAACCCAAATAAATGGGGTACTTGGTATCGATAACAGAGTATGTAATAGTTCTTTTCGAACAAGGATTTTTTTTAAATGTCTAACTAATTATACATTATATTGACAACAGCAATTAACACTATGCAAATTAAAAAAATGCAATTTTTCACCAGATCCTGTAAAAGGGACACATGCGGTAAATTTTCGATTTTTAGACATATATTAATCAAATCAAATCAAATCATTTATTTGCTTGTCACAGTTACAGTACATTTTTAAATACAATTTAAGATGTTATGTCATTGTATAGGATCATGTGACGCCCTGTAAGGGCATGGCAAATTACAGAGGGGCATTTATAAATTATACTAACAAATTTTTATCAACAATGTCAATCCATGCATTAAATTCGTTATGATGTTAATACGTACTTAAGCTATCATTCATTCAATATTAAAAAAATAAAAATAATAAAAATGAACAATTCATAAAGATATCAACATTATCATATTTATGGAATGAAAAGTATTTGCAAAATAAAAATAGGTAATAGTCTTAATATTATTAAATAAATGTCAAAGGCAATTTCATAATATAATTTTATATAAATTCCAGCAATGTCGTATTATTATTATTATTCCTCCAAATATTTATCACAGAAATATTCATTTATATTGTAATAGCATTTTTTAATTAACAGCTTTTTCAATGTTTTATCAAAGTCAGTGTCTTTTACTATGTCTGTAATGTTAATTGGTAGATTGTTGTACAATTTTATAGTCATATAATGAGGACTTGAGGCCACTAGTTGCAGATTGGTAAGGGTGGTTTCTAATTTGTGTAGATTTCGATTATTCCTTTTTACGGTTGTTATTGTCGCATAGAGATTTTTATGTTTTCTTACAAATTTACAAGACTCGAGAATGTATATTGAAGTTACAGTGAGAATGCCATGTTTTATATTTTTTACTTCAATTTTTGATTGTTTACTTCAAGTTATTCATCATACATTATAAAATATATGATTTTTACTTTCTGCATAGTTTTTTTAAGCTGAATAACTTGGCATTAAAAGCGTAAAATCCAGAAAATTCGAATTACCGTAGTGTAAATTTCTGGTGTCGTACGAACACTCACCAGGAATTCAATTACTCTGTATTTTTATTATAATAATTAGTTTAAAACATTGAGTATTTTGCATATAAAATCTTTTTGCACTATTTCAAAAACATTCGAGAAAACTATTTTTAATTTTGAACAGGATCTACCGTCGATACCCTTTTATTTGAATTTTGTTCGCTAATTTACAATAACCTTGTATATATTTCATTGAAAATGCATTGTATAAATATTTGCAAAATGATATGGGTGTGTGAAACACCAAGAGTGTACATTCTGCGCTGATTGTAGTTTGTATAACTGTCTTCGAAAAAACTACCTTTTCCAAACGGTGTCATGCTCACATATTTTTGAACACAACTGAAGGTACTTATTTTTGAAATATCTAATATGCTCATATATTTGAAAATGTGCGAACATTTACACTTCATTGTACGCGACTGTAGTTGTCACGGGGTTTTGTAATTGACGACCTCGAAACGGAGAAGCGACAGTTCTCCCATTAGGATGCCACCGCTCTAATTCGGAAATGTGCCCATTCCTATTATAAAATAGTATTTTCAAATCATTTCAGGTGGAGTTCTACCAGCCAGAACTACCTCTACTAAATCGGGATAACATTGGCATAATGGTTAAACTGATGCCCAAGAACTATCCAGGAACGGCAATAGTGGTGGCGACGACGCACTTGCTCTATAACCCAAAAAGAACTGACGTGCGACTCGCTCAGATTCAAGTCTTCCTTGCCGAAATTGACCGATTTGCTTTCTACAATAATGGGAGAGAGTAAGTATTATTTACAGTTCTTGCATGCATTGTTCGAATATTGTCGATCTGGATTTTTGTGTTACCACTAGAGTTGCAACGAATATTCGGTTACTATTCGGTATTCGGCTTATTTGGCCTGTTTTTGTTGGAAGAAGAAATACGAAAAAACATAGTTAATTAAAAACTTTGATTAAAGCTGGATATGTGTTGTAAGTTTGCAAAAGTACCATTTTTCGCTTCTTTATTTAAAATATCAAAGGAAGTGGAAGAACAAGAGAGGTAACGTATCAAATTAAAACTACCTGCTTATTACATAGTTCAGTCGTGACTAAATAAACACCAACAAAATCAACAAGTACTTATTATTTGGAAAACAAAATTAACTTAAGTTTTTTGAAAGTTAATCAAACTTAATTAAATAAACTGTTACTTTCTTCATTTATTGAACATTATGAAATTTTATTAAAGCACCTTTTTTATTTCATTGTTTATTTTCAGATGCGGTCATCTGCCCATAATATTGACAGGGGATTTCAATTCAACGCCGGAAAGTGCGGTGATCAAACTTTTAGATCGAGGACAAGTAAGGTAAGCATATTTGTAAAGTTACAAGTTTAGACTCACTGATAGAAATAGAACGCATACTTCCTGGTATGTTGGAAAATAGTTAATTGTTATGCAAGGCTGCAAAGTTGTTGTTTGACGTGAATGTTTGTATTGAAACCTGAGCAAGCGAAGGATCCCAAAATTCAATCCTGGAGGAATCCTGAGCGGAGCGAGGGTTTCAAGACACAAGACGCAAAACAACTTTGTTGTCGAGCGAAACACGCAACTTTTCACCTCACTATAGCGAGGAAAATGGTAGATGAAAGGAAAACAGTTGAACTATAACAAATCAGTTTTATTCATTCATACGTCAAAAAGGGTACATTAATAAGTAAGTAGTATACATAAAATTAAAAGTAAAATGACTGCATTTGGTAATATTGATAGTAACACTTTATTTCATCGAAAGAAAACGTTTGGTGCACCACCAATACTAATAGATACAGTAGAAGTGGTTTATTAGCGGCCAACTATAGGTCTCGAAAGTCTATTTGAGCCATAGATATAGAAAAAAGGAAGATATATAATGACGCTATGTAAGATCGGGTGCCGATGTCGCCACTTTTTAGCTTATGTGCAATTCAAATTTTACGCTATATTATCTACTACCATAACTTAAAGATTTTGATTGGGTAGGGCTTAAAACGTGAAAACGACGTAAAACAATTTTAAAATTTAACAAAATTAAACTTACAGTCACCTGAATAGGAGTTACATTACAATATTTCAGTATTTTTTATCCTGGTTCAGCCATTCACCGACAGGTGGCGTTTTAGTAAAAAAATACTACTAGTATATAATAGCTAACTATTACACGTTAGATGGCGCTGAGACTCATTTTTCGTTACACTAAGAACTCACGGAGCGGTTTTCACCCGCGTCTGCCTCGAGACCGCGGCATCTGTAGAATGTAACAGTTAAGTATGTAAAATTAGTAACACATTTCACGGCGCGTTTTACGCCTGTAGTGGTGACGGTTGCTCGCGGTTGCCGCGGCGGGTTACTAGTAGAACCGCACAGGACCCGATGACCTGCGCGCTTGGCGGCAGTCGTCGCCCGCACACTTTGGCGATCGGTTCAGGCGCAATGTGGTGCAGGCGGACGCGGGGTGAGTTCTCTAATAACCGTGCGACTTGCGATTAACTCCCACTAACTTCGCGGTCCGTTCCGCAATCGCAACGGTTTCGTGCCCGCAACGGCGGCAGCTACGTTCCCGCACAAACTTGCAGGGTCGTAAGTATTGAAATAAAACCGCTGTCTAGCAGCACCGGCGGGCGCGGATGGAAACCGCCCCGTGAATTGTTAACCTTAAACTGACGCTATTGAACGAGGGATGTGGTCCTACCTAATCTATAGTTGGAAACCATATGGCTGTTCTTAATATTAAAAAAAATCCATTTTTCATACTATATCTACACTGGTATTGGTTATTAAATTAATATATTAATATTAATTATTATTATTTTCTTAATGGCGGCCACTAGGCTTGGACCAGTGTCAGTTTTATAAGAATAATATAAAAAATATGGCGATGGTCGCCAGTGTCAATTTTCCATTATACGTTACCACGGGTTGCTGAAGCTGTCACTGTCAATAGTAAACTCGAACCATCAATGAATTTAATAAATTAAATTACGTTGTTTTTTTTATGAAGGATTTATGTAATTTTCTATAATTGTTTCTGATTTATTTTGCATGAACATGTAAAATAAAGCCGATTTTATTTTATTTATTTTTTAAATGCATTTGCTATGGAAATTGAAACAAAGTCAGAAATAGTAATAAGAAAACCAATCTTTCCATTTTCCTGCAGCTTAATCCTCATTGAATTCATAACTCATTGGAAAAACTTAAAAATTAAAAATACTCTACGTTTAATCTACGAGTATAATGGAATTTTAATATCTTAAATTAATTTTCTTCTTAAAATAAATTTTTCTTCAAGCAATAGCAACATCCAATTTGACATGATGAAACGGTTGTCCGCAATATGAGTTGTGTTAAAGTTACTCGAAATAAAATGTTTAGTAATCATAATAATCATATAATAAAAGAAATCAATTTAACGTGAATGCTTTTCGCTTCGATATTTTAGGGACTTTAGTTACAAAAATTATAGTAAGAAATGCAAACATTTCAGTAAAAATGTATTGTCGATAAACATCAATCTTCGTAAATGAACATCACTATATTGGAGTTTAGAAATTTCTAGCAATAATAGGAACTGATGGTATTGAACTTTCATCGGTATGCCAACAGGGTAATGTTTCAATTGTATATATAATATAATCCAAAATTAGTTATTCCTTTTTAAATTTGAATTCCATTCAATATCAAGATAATTATGAATTATTTAATTATTATTCCACGTTACCGTGGAAAAAACGCTTTTGCGCGCAGATTTCTAATGAGAAAGAACGCCTTTACGAGCTAGTGAGGTGAAAACAGTTGTATATTATGCAAGGCTGCAAGTTGTTGTTTGCCGCGAGTGCTTGTATGGAAACCTGAGCAAGCGGAGGATGCTAAGATTGAACTCTCGCTTCGCTCGTGATTCAAATATAGATTCCTGAGCGTAGCGAGGGTTTCAAGTCACGAGACGCAAAACAACTTTGCTGCCGAGCGAAACACACAGCTTTTCACCAGAGAGAGGAAAATGGTAGATGAAAGAAAAACAGTTGAACTGTAAAACCTTTTATAATGAAAAGAATAAGTTTATCTTCGGACGCGTTCTGAATTTACGCCTCATCAATTTTTATTCTTGCTTGTACTTTTATTTTGTGTGATTAAGTTGTTATTGAAATTATTTTAGTTTTTCGACGAATTAAAGTAATTTAATGAACACAATTAGTTATCGTTGTCAATTTAATGTCAACAATAATAATTTAAAAATATCAACGGGTTTATGTTACGTAAATGAGTAACGTACGACAAATCGCTTAATTGAACGTGCCATTATTTTTTTTTTCATCGTAAGTAAAGGTTAGATGCACCACAGTCCATCATCAAGTTCGAATTTCAAAGACCTTTTCTAGGCTAGCGTGCAAAAATCGCTTTTGCGCGCAGATTATTACTAGAAAGCCTTTCCGAGCTAGTGAGGTGAAAACATATTTATACCGTTGTACACAGATTGGTTTCAAAGCAAAGGGAAAAATACGAGATGATCTGAATGTGGAAAATATAAAAATGTGGTCACTGCCTTCAAAAACTATAAGTAATATATAATGGAGGGGCCTCTGTCGCTGAATATCATATTCGCAAAATATCAGATTCGCAAAACATGATATTCGCAAGACATCATGTTCACAAAATATCATATTCGCAAGATACCACATTCTCAAGATATTACATTAAAACACCATATTCGCTAACCACCACATTCGCAAAACACAGCATTTTGAGTACAGGTAGTAACAGCAGGTCTTACTAGTGTCAGACAGAGGGTTAGATTAGGTAGTACGTGTGGCGCACTATAAGTTTCCGGAATGAATAAGAAAAAAATACTATGAATGGTCAGAAATGAATTTATTGTTTCTCAAAATATTCTCCGTTAACGTTAATGCACGTTTTGAAAACATTTATGCCACTCCTCCGTGACAATCTCTGAAACATATTTTTCATACTCTTCGACAGCCTCTTCAGGTGATGAAAATCGTTGACCGCGTAACTGGTTCTTAATTTTTGAAAATAAATAAAAGTCACAAGGTGCCAGGTCGGGACTGTACGCAGGATGGCTCATAAGGTCAACGCTGTTCACGTTGTCCGGCATTGTGAGAACTGGCATTATCGTGGTGCAAGATGATACGGCGTTAACGGTTATTTTTACGGAGTTTGTCATTAACTTCCAGCAATCAAATGGTCGTGTACCAAATCACTATTCACGGTACAACGATTCTCCAAAGCAACAGTAGCCACGTGTCCAGTTTTATTAAAAAAGAAGCAATCATCCGCTTAGAGGCACTTTGCACGCGCACTTTGCACAGCATCGATGTTTTTGTTGTTCACAGCAGTGGACCGGCGACCATCACGAAATTCGTCACTGAGATTCACTCGACCGCGTTTGAATTCTGCAAACCAGCTATAAATAGTAGTCTTGCATAGTGCTTCATCGCCAAAAGGAGTTTGAAGCCGAGCAAAGCTCTGCTGAGCTGCTGAGTTAAATTACACTTGAATTCGTATAAAATCATACTACGAAAAATTTCACGAGTTAAATCCATGGCGATGTAGAGAATCAATTTCTAAAATGACGCCACAATGAAAAAACTTAAACGAGAGAAAAAAAACAAACAAAATTATTGTTTTTTTTAATCAGTGAAATGCAAATTGTTGTTTTTTAATTTTATGTTTTGTATTTTTGCCTCTTTTTTTAACGATGATATAAAACGAATAATTTATAAATTGTAATTTTGTATTTTGTTCCTAACAGTACAGAATGTTGTAAATCGCACGTATGATCTTTTGCGACCTGCACTTAGAATGCTGTGTTTTGCGAATATGGTGTATTAAGAATGTAATATCTTGAGATTGTGGTATCTTGCGAAAATGATATTTTGTGAACGTGATGCCTTGCGAATATCATGTTTTGCGAATATGATATTTTGCGAATATGATATTCAGAGACGGAGGCATGGGTATTTGTGCACTTTTATGAGGTACACCTTGGCGAACTTCCGCCGGAAGTAAAATCTACGAAATTCAAATAAGCAAAAGGGCCACCTTACAAATTTCAGAGCCTTACGGAAACTATTAGAGATAGGTAGGAAGTGGTGGATGGATGTCGTAGAGGGTAACAGTGATCAACTGCCTGTGTAAAAAAATTCAAGGTGGCGAATTCATAATGGCGGCCAATGAAAAACTTGCTTCGATTCGGCTGATAATTGGCGAACGGAGGTCTTTAGAAGTCCTTAATCATAATTTGGGGTGAAAAGATATTTCGGCATTTTTATTTGATATGGCAGCCATATAAGCGTTTTTTCGTTAAAAATGGTTGCCGAAAAAGACTTGCCTTGATTTGGCTGAAAATTGGCATGCGGAGGCCTCTAAGAGTGCCTGTTGAAAATTTTCCAAATATGACCTCCATACAAGCGTTCGTTGGCGGTAGAAAAAAATTGCTCTGATCCCTTTGAATATTGGGATGTTTGGGTCTCTAGGTCTAAGAAATCGGCCGATATATCTAAGAAACGAACACAAATAATGAAAAAATGTGCGATATCTAAATTAGAATATGTTACAGTGCCAGTCCATTCCGGGACATGTCCGACTGGAAAAAGATAGGTGTTACAGACAACTGTCAGCATTTATCAGCATATGTCAACCAACAACACGGAATGGATACGGAATTTAACATGACTAAGGTACATTATTTTCACTATTGATTAGCAATCGTTGTTCACTAAGTCCAGTAAGCTGTGGAAAACTGTACGAGTAATCATATTGGAATAAGAATTAAGTTCGTTATAAAAGATGCCTATTACATTTTTAGATCGAATGTTTTATGAGCCAATTGACCGCACTATTGACAGTTCTGACGCAAGAATAATTTGTGACACAGATATATAATTCAGACTACCGCGACGGCATACCAGAGGTGGGGGACGAGGAGCGAGCCCTGGTAAACAACTACAGTGAACTTTTTAACAGTGGAGTGCTCAGCCATTCGCTGAATCTCACCTCTACCTACACGAAGTACAAGGAAGACGGGAGTTACGAGGCTACCTCCTTCCAAGACTATTGGGTCACCGTGGACTATATTTATTTTAGGTGAGGTTACGTTTTTTTATTTTGTGATGTAATGTGAGATTTTGTGATGTAATCTTACTTAAGTCCTCCAGTCTTTACTTCACTACTCGTTGATTAAGCTTCGTTTGAGAGTTGTCAAAAATGAACTTTGTAGTTAATAAAGTGCAAGGTCTTGGGCGTTTCAAGTGTGTCATCCAAGATGCCGATGATTGTAGTCTTAGCTTTTTCAGATCTCTGATCTATCTTGTGATGTTTAACATAAATATTACAAATGATAAATGTGAACGCTTGTCCATTTACAAAGAGTTTCTTGCCCATTCTTAGGTAATCTGCCTTTCAAATGGGTAGTAGTGTTTGATCAACGTGATGGTTTGAAGAGTGGTTTGCTTACCTATAGTAAATATGTATTTGAATTTGATACACATTTAATACCAGTGTTAGGAGCTGTTGCAAGCGTTTCGTGATGATAGGGAGGGCCTTCTTTTTTTTAGTTTCTGCAGCGCATTGAGGCTAATAGAACGACTTCGTTTGCCGACGGCTACAGAGTGCGATGTCCTAGGTCGGTTACCGAACGACGCCTACGGCTCCGACCACCTCGCTCTTGCAGCGACTTTCGAACTAACACTACGCAAGTCGTCGTTGTAATTAATTTAATAGTGTAATAATTGCCCACGTGTCCAAGACACTTTTACATTAAGCCACCGAAAGTATAGATGATAAACATGTAAAGTTAACGACTCGGACCGACACAATTCCACTGTAAATCAGACCCACAGTCGTCACACAAACTGCCAGTGTCTAAACAATGCAAAACTTCATATAGCACACGAAATTAACAATTATTACCTTAATTTGTTTCGAAGGTCCAAGTGTGAACATTTGTGAATAGTAGGGTGTTTATGTAAGAACGTATAAGAATTCTTGCTTCTCCTATCTATCAGAGATCTAAACAGGCTGATTTACCTAAACTTCGAGTGATACACATAGAGAGAATAATATCTCCCTCAAGCATTGCTAAGTGAATATAAAGGTCAAAAATCAAAACGAAATAGTAATGCTTGTAGGTACTTACAATTACAAAACCTTTCATTCCAAATGGGTTTCCATTATAAAGTAATTGCTAAAATAAAACAAAGTATTTTGATTGTCCGATTTGTTAGGGGGATACCCTCGGTATGTGTTCCTCGAAGTTTTCGCCATTAAATAGTTACTTGCGAACCAGTTTAATAGAGTAGTTTTTTACTGCACACTGCAACAATGGTGTAAAATACAGTAATTTTTAGGTATTATAAAGTGAATACACATATTTCATACATTTGTGTGGTCCTTCTAATCCTTTCCGATGAGTGTTCATGCGTATTCTTCATATCACATGAATACGCATATAATGGTTAAATTTCTTAGTAAAACCCATGGTAAGGTTAAGTAATGGATGTTGTTAGCTTTCTTATAGCAAATTAGAAAACGGTTCGTAGCTGACAGTAGATACCAATTCTATATTATAGTCTGTTTCAATCTGTTATGCACGAAAAGTGAACTAGTCATTGACCCAACCATAGACAGTTTAGCGTTGGCCAATTGTACTGCTAACTACAAATCAATTAATTGATTGAATGAAATGATTAGTTGGAATATAATTTTTTTTGCAATTCGCTGTTGATTAATAACAAAAAATATTTTTAAAATGCCAAAATATGTGCGAAAATAGTATAAGTTTAATTTATTAAGTTGCTCTAGTAATCGATTGTTAGCGATAAAGAGTTGGTCCATAGACTTGCAAATCGTGTGGTAGTTTGTGGCGCCGCTTGCGGCAATTTGTGATAAGGCGATTATCACACTGCACCGCGTCCCGTGACGAAACGCGGAGCTGCGTCTCTTAACGTTGTACTGAAGTACCTCAGTTTGTATGAAAAACACGCGCCGTCGAACACACTGACAACTCTCGCGCCCCCGCGCGGAGGGGCGCGGCGCACCGCAAGGTATGGCACACTGCGGTCCGCACTACCGCGCAGTTTTTAAGCTTAAGGACATGTCCAGCTTTCTACAATAGATCTCGACGTCGGTCGATAAATTTGTATTTGGTACTGAAAATCGACCAAATTTATCTTCATACTTTCTTAAATCTTTGTAATGAAGTTGAAATTATCCATTTATCGAGAATCTGGTTCGTAAAGAAGGATGTATCCAATATCTTCGGTGTCTTTATTTGAGTAAACAAAAACCAAATTAACAGTAAAAGCGAGTACTTTAAGTGACGCGGGGCCGCTAGACCGCTGCCCCCGCGTAGATTAAACCGCGCGTTGATGCAGGTCTGCGTCTCCGCCACCGTGATTTGACAGTAATTGTTTCGGACGGATGTCGGACGGAGATCGAGAGCAGTCCCCCCGATACCGCGTCACGCGCTCTGTCGCGGGGCGCGGTGCAGTGTGTTAATCGCCTTATCGTTTGATTTGGCGAGGGAACAAAGATGAGTGATAGATTCGTTATTTGAATGTTTCAACATTTCTATTGGAGTTTGGTTGTAAAAAGAGTGTTAAGGTTTTATATAAATATACTTCAACTACTATTTTTACATGGCCTATAAATTTAAATTTTTTGAAATCTTAATTTTAAATCCTCCTTCATTCCCGAGACTTAGAAACTTGTTCGATTGTGATCGATTTACTAATTGATTACTGAAACTCGAATGAACCGAATGATATTTTCGCGCAGCACTATGCTATCATCGACTGTTCATACTTGTACATTTGAAAAATAACTAAACGTATTTGAAAAATTGTGGTAGTAGATATTAATCAAATGATTATTATTGAAAAAAGGGATGAGATATAACTTATTCCATTTATTTAGCGATTGCTTTAGAATTTTAACCAAACCGGTTGGTTTACTTTTCCTGCGTAATGGATTGAAACGAACTGTATAAGCATATTTTAGTTCATAATAGTTTGCAATTGGTGTATTACTTAGTTATTTTAATTATCTAACTGGTTAATAGATAAGGATTTGTATATGTTGTGTACATATGTATGTGGGTAATTTATGGGCCAATGCTGCCAGCTCTGTCTACGACATTGTTGTTGAACTTAACAATATTTATTCTAATTCTACTAGCGTCTATGGTGAGAAAAAGCAAAACGTCCTTCACTAGTTGTACTCTTCATAACAATTCGTGAAAGGGATTATGCAACTAATATAATCAAAATAACAAGTTCAGTATTTGGTCGCACCGGCTAAGAAACTTCTTAGTAAAAGACATATGCGAATACATTTATTTTGAAGTCTTACTTTACTAATAATTTCATCTTTTTAGCATTGTTCCTTCCCCTAAATCGCCACCAGTTCATATAGATTTTTAGGCCCCCTAACGAGTCAAAATGTTGTCTTTATTATTGTCATATCTAATTTTAATTGTTTCATTATGTAATTATTAATTCCTAATAGTCCTAATTTGAGATTGGAACTTTTGATATCACGTTGTGATTGATGGTCGATTCCCCTTTAGAGAACCTTCTTTAGATCTTATTTTCTTCGTGCAACTTGTTCATTCCGGGACGGTCGTCAAGTCCCTTTTTTAAGTTTCAACTTACCTTATGATAGTTCCGTGGCAATGAAAGAGATGGAGTTAAGTAATACTTGTTCTACCCGGTAGTGTTACCACAATCCGCTTGAGTTGAAATATACAAAAGAGAGTGACGGTGGGTGTAGGTTTCGGCAGACAGTATCACAGTATCCCCCTAGGTGGCGTTGTACTAATCTTGGCCGAAAATAACAACGGTAATTACTAGGTCTCTAGTTGCTCTTCGCATTGCCTTCAAATTGAATGAGAACATTTCTCATCGTGGTTACAGTTTTTGAACTATTCATTCATATTGTTGTAAAGTAATTCTCTTAATAAGAACGTCAGTGTTTTGAGTTATTATTTAATTGTTTGCTGTGTAAATAATATCGTTATGATAACTGATGTCACTTGGTATCAAAACTATTAACAGGCATTGATTGGAAATGTTTCATGAATATAACTTAAGAAATACATGAATGGTGATGAAATGTGGACTTTTATTTTGGAAATTATCGTTCGTTATATGATTAAGTAAAGTTGTGAGTTGCACTCGACGTAAACAAAGCAAATTTTTTTTGCGAATTACTCGATGTTTCGAAATATACCGAGCAGCTTGCTCTCCACCATTTTTGTCGCGCGCTTGTTATTTAGGTGTTGCGCGCGCACGCCACAGAACAGCTGTCGTCTGCTGATTTTGAAATGACAGCGCATTTGGGACAATTTTTGTAAGACCATTTGGATTAACGGACAGTTTCTCGCGTAATTTTTTATTTTTGTCAAATTTTAGCGGCTTTCTCGGCCACTTATCGTGATCAGATTAAGTAGGTTCGGACTGGCGAAATTATGAGACATATGTGCATATATATAATCCAAACTAATTACTTCAGTAATATACTGCTATATGGCACCAAAAACTGATTTGTTAGCCCTTGCCGCACGCTAGCATGTTGCACTCATGTTTAACGTCCCTCTTTCATAGCGATTTCCCTTTTTTTATTATCACCGTCCAAAAAATGGCTTTTCGAATGAGATTACATCTAGCAAGTTCCACTGACAGCAAATGGAGCAAATGTACCTACGACTGAAGCGTAGGCTGCGAAAGCTACAGCGACTACAACGCTGGAAAGACGACATCGACTGTGGCCAGAGACGTGAGGTACAGGTACAGGTACACCAAAAATCTGTTTGTACTATATTCTTTACAGCACCTATATTATTTTAAAAAAATGCATGTCAGTTACGGAAGAATATGAATTTGGAATAATGGCTTATATTTTGTTATAAGTCGCCGGTGACAATATTCGATTCGCGTCCAATAAGAATGCCGTAGATAAATACTCGGAACTTGTGATTATCGGGACTGCAGAGGTTGCAACGAACAGTGACTGTGTTAAAAGAAGTTACTGAAAAGTAAACACAGAATACATTGGACAAAGTTAACCATGTTAAGCAAACCACGGGCTTGTTCAAATTATTACAATTCTACGAAAATAAAACTGTACTTCCGAGTTATATTCTTCCGAAAGAAATTATGACTTGCCGAAAATATATTCGTTTTTACCACACCGTAGGAACTAGCTTATTTGTGTTAAAGACAGAGTCTTTACGGAGCCAATCGAATCGATTGCAGCCTTAAAATTCAAAATTCGTAAAGTGATTAACGAAATAGACCCACCATTTTGCCAAAAAGTGATTAAAAACTTTGATGAAAGTATCGACATCTGTAACTGGACGTGGTGGCATTTATCAGATACCATTAACCTTACTTTTTTTAATACAATAAAAATTTGAATCATTGTCATCTAAATTTACTTTTTTATTTTGTTCAAAACAAAGTTCTTGTTGAAAAACCTTTTACTTAAATTTTAATGAAAATACTAACCCGTTGAAATAAAACGCGATGCCACCTTGACAATTTTTTTTATCGAATCGGGGCAGATTGTAGATTATATAAAAATATACCGGAGAGAAACGAATATGATCGATATGGGTTAGATTTTATTTGTTCTTTTTTAACCGGCTTAAAAAAAGGAGGAGTTTGAGGGGTACTTGTGTGTAAATGTAATTCCACGAACTTTTGAGGTCGGTTTTTTGGAGCCTGCTCTGGACTGAGATTATTAACTAATAATTTATTAGTGTTGCTCGTAGAGTATTTTTTTAAATATAAACGCGGAAGTCTTTTTAGCCAAACTAATTTCCCTCACCACTACACATTGCCAACCGACTCCGTCCATTAAGTATCAAATTAATTAATTTTAAGAGTTTTTCCAATATTATAATATAATCATAGATTAGGTACAAGTGAATTTGATATTTCTTAGTAGTGCATCTGTTGTCTCTCAGAATATTATTTCCGCATGTTGCAATGATGTAGCAAGAACCAGCCTTTAAATTTACAGTAGGTAATTTACGATAAAAAGGGCTAACAATAGTTTTCGGTACATTATAAATTAAGTCGGTAGAGTAGTACTTTTTGTACGAGTAAATAATGTATGTTTTGTTAACAATCCATGACCACAAACTCAAACGAAAAGCCAAAAATTTATAATCATTTGCCAATGGAGATTAGATTGATCAATAATTTTAATGGATCTAGAAGACAACTGTTAGCTTTTCATAAAGAGTACTTTTTACTCATTGACTGAATTCTTTGACAATAATTATAGACACATATTATTCATGAATTATTTTTTTAACTTTTGTAATTGTTACTTTATTTGCAAAATTTGACAATTTCATTAATTGTAATAAGTAGTTGATTGATTGTAGTAATCTTAGTAAATAGATGAATGTCATGTATTATGTATCTGATCATAATGTACGTAGCTTATTCTGACAAATAAATGAATGGATTGATTGAAATCTAATTATTCATTTAGATTTCTGTGAAACAAACGCTGCAAAACAAAAGACCAAAGAGATAGATTAGAAGTGACCATGGTGCTGCTTATATATTAACCAATATTTTTTTATATAAAGTTTCATGACTCGGTTGCAAGATCTTTAGGCCAATTTAACCAATCAGGGGGCAGTAGCCTTTAAGTAGCGACATTTTTGATATTTTGATTAGCAAAAATGCGCCATTCTGTTTTCACGGCCTTGTATATAATTGTGTCAAGAGTGAGTTTATGCTCTTTGAGATTCCCGGTAGAGTGATGTCTTAGGAACCTTGAATTAATCTAAATGAGGTGAGGTCTAAGTGAGGGTGTGCATATTTAAATATCTAGGACATTACTTGGCGGAAGATCATAGAGACCAAACTGATATTGATCGGGAACGTAGGCCGTTGGCTGCCAGATGTAATATTGTGGCACATAGATTCGCCCGCTGTATTGTCGTGTTGGCGATATAATGTGTGTTTTTTGTTTGTCCCTATCTTTACTAACAATATTCATAAGTTTCAAAATGTCTGTATTTACTAGCAAGTGGACCTTGGATGCTAAATAAATTATTTGTTTATTATTATTATTTTGAAACTTACTGTGGTTCTGTCCGGTGAGCATAAATTACTATCATTTGTTCCGTAGAGGGTATTCTCCCTCTACGATTGGTTCTGTGTGTGATAGAGCCGTTATGAAATTTTTAAGTTCAGCCATAGACAATAGAATTTTGATTCAGAACTAAAAAGAGCGCTTATAAAGTAGCAAAAGGTTATTATTATAACACAAGCTTTCGGTAGGTAGCTTAGTAAATAACACAGTAATATCCATGTCTTGAACGAGCTGACGATATGTGATATACGACTTCTGTTGTACATATACATATGATACCCATGCAGATATAGAAATATGTGATATTAGGTCAAGTACGTGTGTGCAGTGAGGCTTTGTACACATTAGAAGAGTCTGGTACCGAGACATAGGTGGTATGTATGTATATCAAACAATAAGAAGAAAATTAAATATAATAAGAAGCATACTTCGTGTGAAACGGACCGACCGAATTCGGAATACGACCCTGCGCTCTCCAACTCAGTTACTGATGTAGCCCAAAAAGCTGCGAAACTGAAATGAGTTGGGCTGGTCTATCACGCCTGAAACCAACCAGTGGAGCCCCAAAAGCGTAGGGCGTCGCGGCAGACTGGAAGGTCCAGTTAGCTCGGGATATGGATTTTTGGCCTTTGCCCAGCAGTGGATATATCAGGCTGAGAAGAAAATAAATTAAATTAAAATTTAAAAAAGGAAACTTCCAACTGGTCATATTTGGAATGTTTTGTACATCAAACTACCTATGTACGGGCTGCTGCGCGACACATTTAACACCGTCTTACGGCACATGTGGGTATGTGGTTTAAGTGAAAAGGCAGCTGTGCTGTTGCCTGTAATTCGTAAAATAAAACAGCAATGTCACTTTATTGAATCATTTATACAATTTTTGGAGTAAAACATAAGTAATACTAAAAGAAAATATCCATAGTACAGCTTAGCCCTGTTATAACTCAAGTATAAAAACTCGAAAGCTCCTTTAATACAATGGAAACACCGTAACGGTTATTGTAAAAGCACGTGGCTATGGGATCAGAGTGATTTGGACGAATTCAATAATAAGATAGTCTTGTACCTTGTAGTTGCATCATGTTATTTTATCCACATTCTTTATTACTGCACCGCAGTTGTGTTTCATAGCGGTCGGTTCATACTCGGTTTATATCCGAAATCTCACCTCCGACACTATGATAACTTGCATAGAAAAATAGATGATACGATCGACTTCGGTCACGTCAGTTATTTATTAATGTTATTAGCTAAAATAAGCATCTCTAGTAATAGAGCTCGCTTTGAACAACATTGAGAGGTGTTTAATGATATTCGTAATTAGGTTTGACCTAAGCCAGATCTTAACCTTCCAATGTAACTTTGTCGATTATAATATAATCTAATTATCAATCCGACTACAATGTACAAGAAATACGTTCTAATGAATTGGTTAAGCATTAAGAATAGATCACCTTGATATATACGACGACAAATCTCTACAAACATTTATAAACACGACATGTATGTAATCTATACGGAGTTACAATAAAGACATACATTTACTTAACATTAACAGCTTGGGCTGGAACAATGTGCAAAAAATGTATCGTCCAAACTATCTGTCCCTAACTCTCGAAAAATTGATTGTACTGTTATTCAGATAAATAAACTTAGTGTCCGCTTACAGTGAGTTTAGGTAAACGTTAAACACTTTTGGAGACGGTTAACAGCGGCGGTAAGGGTCCCGTCTAAGTTTACTTCCCTGAAAAGATAGAATTTGGCTCCACGATAAAGCGTGTTTTAATATAATTTATATAAATTTTAATATTCCATGAACTTGTAGAGCCATGGCTAACCTTTCCTTCCTTTCCTCTAACATCATTTATTTTAAAAAATTGATCTCCGACTGCAGTGCTTGTTGATTGTTATTTACATTTAAATTACATTGGTAAAATGTGTTTCATCATTTACAGTGTCGCCACTGACAGCGGGATCAGACACGCCCAACAATAGTTTCTCTCAATATCAATATAGTATTAATACCACGTTTCCTCAAACTTAGTTTCCACGCCAACTCGTGCACACTCAATAGGCATATAATTTTATTCATATTACAAGTAATCGGCGGGTTTACGTCACGGGTGATGGGATTCAATCGATAAGTATTGTACCATCTGGACGCCAAATGTACCATCTGGACAGGCCGAACCCAATAAACAGGCAGTAGTGCCGTCACTTCAATTCTTTTCTTCGTTTTCTGTAATGATGCAGTCTTTAAATTCCCAGAGCCCGTTCCTTTCGTTACTTATTACGCGTTGAAGTTTCCAGTGAGGCGTCCTGAAAAAACTAAATTCTTTGTAGACGTAAAACTGCCGAATAGTTGTGAACGCTAGACGCATGCCAACACACTCTACGAACATTCACCAACCTCGCAATAGTTTTCAGTGTCGATAGACTAAATTTATTTGCTGATTTTGGTCCTTGTAATGCCGTTTTGAAATGGTCCTTAATTAGCTATATTCCCGTACAAGGTGTTTCTCTTATTTATTAAATGTTTAATGCAGACACTATTGCGAGGTCTACATTTCTAAAATACATCGCTTTATTTTTACTCGGAGCGCCAGATTATGTATAAGAAAGGAACATCTATTGTGAAGTGGAAATCAAAGATATTTATCCGAAACATATATGATTCATCTAAGTCTGGTTAGGACTCGTCCTACAATACTATATAGACATTTAACACCCAATTATTCCTACGATTATTATTTAATAAAAAAAATGTGATTTATAAACTAATTGTATCGACTTACACAGGTCTATGAATGGAATTTTTCACTAAAACAAAATATTAAGTATACATATATATAATAAATTTTTGCTTTTATGAATTCCGAAGTCTTTTTATAGCTGTACTTGTTACGCTGTGATTAAGACACCGCGGGGTGTGATTTTTGAATCGCTCACTAAGGCGCCGTCATAAAGTTATATAGAATAGTTGGTGTATATGTATATAATATTCTAAGTGTATGGTCTTACTTAAATTGGCACTCACAACAGTCAATGATCTTGAAAATCGAAAAGAAGACACTTCCATGGCGGTAACGAACTTTTTCTTTTGTCGCGCATACGATAATTAGGTTTGTGTCAAATCTTGGTTTCTATTACGTCGTATGAATTTGCAGGAAGGCTAAGGAGAATGTTGTCAAAACATCTCGGCGGCTAATACCTCTGCGTTTGAAAATGCGTTGTGAATAAAAAATTTCGTTTGCCAACATTAGAACGCTTGTTTATACAAACTAGCTAGTTTAATGAATGATTCAAATATCAGTTGCGATTGCGAAGACCGGGCGCCTTTCTGTTGTGCTGGTTGAATTTTCATCTCGAGTCCTTAGGGACGAATTGCAAAATAGGTTACCTGCTTAAATTGTACATTGGCCAATCATTGGACCTATGTTAATTATTTAACATACTATAAAGAGCTAGAAAATGCTTTTTGACCGTTACACCTATTTATCTAACAATATGGATGGATATTAAATATAATAAATTATAGCGACAAATTCAGATTACTTCATAAGATCTCATGGTTTTTGTAAGTAGTATACTAGTCGAAAAGCTCCTTATATTATAAAACCTTATTTAAATGTATGTACTTGTAAGAGAATACGTAATTACCTTAAGAGTTCGCTTCTTATAATATGTGTCGTGACCGAATAAAAATAGTGTTGATTATTAATTGGAAATAATTTTTAAGCTCGTAGCAGTTTTAGCGTAACGAATATTCGGTGTAATGTTTAGAAATATTTTCTTCAACAATAGCAAAATGCGCTTGGTTTTTCTTATCGACCCTGAACCGTGACACAGTTGCTCATCGTCGTCGTCATCCATCATTACTTCATAACCATCGTTCATTCACTATGTTCAAAATGATTATACGCGACCGAGTTCAGGGACTTAAGAAAATTAAGCCGATTTTGTGTTGTTACAAGTAAAGAATTTTTATTTAGTCCAAATGATTTTTTTTTTTAAATTCATCTTTAATGTGATCAAATATTCTATTGATTTTATAATACCCAATATGAACACGCTTCAGTATGGACGGAGAAGGGGCGAGTAAGAAAAACAATAATAGGACAAATTCATTTTAAGTTAGTGCTCGTAGGTACGCCAAATATACGTCAAAATTTATCATATAATTCGTTTAGCGATCATATTTAAAAACAATGAAATTACATTTTTTTTTTTTTCATATAACAATAAGCCGTCAATTGAAGTGTTGTGGCTTCTTTATCTAATATAAGAACTACTTATGCGTCAAATTAGCTAATATCGACATTCTTTTACAACTATAAGTCGCGTAAATACGTTTGAATAAAGCGCGAAAACACGCATTCAAAGCATACTTTGGTAAAAAAATTGGGATATGCTCGAAACAGCGAAACAAAGAGGCAGGTCTCATAAAAGACTTCGGAATTCACGTCAACGATTTTCCCTTAGCAAACAACAATCAAAGTCAAAACACATGTAAAATAGAACAATACATCCGACTAGATTTGCAGACATCGCCTAACTATAAATCTTAAAATAAAATAAAATTTAAATTTACAGATAAAATGATGTCGTCTCCCGACGACCACACACCAAGTACGTGATCGTTTAAGTCGGACAGTTTCAGACTTATTAATAAATTTAAAAAATTTGAACTCATTACTCCTAACTACGAGATGATAATTAATAACGCATTACTAATGTACATAGAACGTGGTTTATTTTTGAAATCTACGTTCTATATACATTCGTGATACTAAGAACGTGAACTTAAGAGAACCATATGCATAGATTTATGTATGTCGTTTTCCAAAATAAAGCACATTGCACGCGGGTCCATCTAATATACAATAACTTATTATAATTAATAATACTGCGCGAAAATTATGATACGCCTTTAATGAACGCGGCGTAACTACAATTTTGGCCTTTCAGAGCCTTAATAATATATATTAATACATTATTTTTTCGTTCCATTTCGTATATAAATTCCAAAGAATTACCACTACAGATACCCGCGTGGGATGGTGCTTATGGTGATCAACAATACTGTTTTTCTTTTATACTTATCGTCTTACGTGTTGATCTCATAGGTTATTACATTAGATAGCCAAGTAAGCTAATCTATGTAGATCTCACGAATTCGACCAACACACGCGTTTCAAGCGGTAAACGGAACTTCCCTGATATTATTTGTATGAACAATTCAGGTACGAGGCGGTCGGTTAGTCGCCGCACTCCGATGCAACATGTCATTGAAATAAAAATTGTTTTCATACAATTGCACCATCTCACAGAGGCTCTACGCATCCACAAAAACATTTAGGTCCATAGGCTAACACTTTACTTCACTATTATAAGACATTTAATTCTGGCACGGTGACAAAATCTGGACCCGTGTGCTAACACTAATATAATAAACTTATTATACATACATAAATCGCACAGTATTATGCAAAAATATTTAGTAAAATGCTGGGCTGCACGCAGCGTTGTGTGGTCATTCATTTCTGTCAATCTAGAATTTAACCAGATGCAACTCGGCGAATAAAGTTTAAGGTGTGTCTTTAAAACGTGACGCCACCAAAAATGTCACAAATTCAAAATTAGCGCGTACAGCGCTTAATTATATTTCAGTACTTTTTCTTCCAATCCTTGTACCAGCTCTTATGTGCGAAATTATATGTTCTACAATCGTAATCACCAATGGTCGGAATAGGGTGTTCCGAATGAGTAGATAAATGTGGTTAAAACCAGTTGTTGCTGATGTAGGTGTTTTACACAGCGATTGCGGAAGCTGATTTTTTTTTTACCTTAACAACATTAGATGCTCATATTGATGCTGATTTTACCCATTTGAACAAAAATCGTGAAAAATGTTTTCAAAAACAGCTTCCTAGGTGAGTGAGTAGTTATATCTTCGATAAAGTTAAATTATTTGCGGAAATTCAGAATTAGGAAAAAAAAATTAATGGTAGTTTAATCACTCTTCGTATTTACTATTTACATGTAGATATGTATCTTTTTTTATAATATCAAATGCGAGACGAATGAGTCGTGCGCCTGGTGGTAAGGTACACGGAGCTTTAAATCGCAAAGATTGAGGGGCACTGCCACGGAGCCCGTCGCTCTGAGACATGTTAATAAGTCCCATGTGTCTGTAATTTCACCAGCTCCCTTACCCTTGCAAAACCGGAACACAATAATGCTGACATTACTGCTTGGCGGCAGATATTTCTGTAAGGTGGCAGTACCTGTCTGGACCTGGACGAACTCTTTCCCAAGGAGCTCTACTGCTGCAACGAACACCCTCTTCCGACCATATTATTCACATTCAAAATTTGTAACAATTTTTGTGAATTTTGTATCAACAGTTTGTATTTGAAAGTAGAACGTCAGCTTGAACTTTTACTACGTATTTCTGCAAGTACTGTACATGCACATAGTAATTATGTATAACAACATCTATTATAATCTAACACACATCGCAACAGCCTCGGCTCCCTACATTTACGGTCCAGAGAAGATTCCTAACGAACACGAGTATACGAAACAAGAATGGCGTTAACCGAGAAGTTTCGGCGAAACACATCATTGTTTTTACAACGCCATTGCACTAATAAATAATAGAGAACACATAATTAAATATAATAATATAGTCGTTACGCGTTCGTAGAAACGAAGTTTGAACATCTAATTGACGAAACTGACGGCAGTCCATTTGTTTTGAACATTTTTGGCGGTGTAAATGCTTGTTAATAAAAGACGATTGGCGATATGAAGTATTTTTGAGTCACTAGTGCCACGTTTTGGTCAATAACATGCACAAACTAAAACATTTAATTGACTGAAGACAAAGTGTTCTTACTATCTAACAAGTGTATGACTCCAGAAATAATTTTATTTAGGTCCTATTGAGAAATATATTAATTATTTATGACGAATGTTTATATCGATGTTAATTAAATGGTAATTAATTTGAAAGCTTACTTGTGTTACTTTATGTACGTACAATTGAAGTCTAAATATCTATTGCGCGTTAATATCTTTTGGCGGCTGGTGTACTTGCACAGCAACAAGTGAAACTGAGGCCGAAATATTTAGCTACAAGAACGACAGGCAGAGTTACCATTAATGGTATATGAAAATACTATTGAATTTAGCTGAAAAATAAGTACCCAATAAAAGGGTAGCGCTTAATAACTACAGTAACAACTATTCTACTTATTAACTTATCTAGGATACACGGCATAAATATTGTGTCTTCTAAATGCTTTTAACGCTATGAAATGTTATGTAATGATATGATTTTAAAATTATTTCAAATGTAATACTACGTTACTAATAATGATAAGTACAATATCCTTTAACAAAACTATCCTTCAATGCTTAGACAGACCGCGGCCGCTCCGAATGAACGGAGTCACATGACGTTGTTAACCAAATTTACCCCGCGAAAGTTCCGAAAAGCGGAACTGCTTCGTCCGACAACTAATTTTGCATTTTTTTGTCGTAACCCGATAATTTGTGCAACGAATCTGTCTAACGTTCGATCTAGTAAACACACAATATAATACATAAATTCACATCTTATCGGATATGTTTACATAACTTGACTAATACAATGCCTGCTACATCCTGTAAATATCTTCCGTTCCGCCATATACTTCACAACCACTGTACACTATGTATTTAATATAGATACAATTTCATTGATACGCGTAAAAGAACAACATGAGAGACCGTAAATGACCGGGAGGGTACACCGGCATGAATACACACACTAAATTAGTTACAACACATATTATAATTATGTACGTTTAAAACATTCGTGGAATCCGTGGCTGTTGCGGGATACACTGACACGGTACTGGGGACCTGACACGGGGGGTGACTAATAAATATACGAATTTGATATCTTAATGATATCACGCACGGTTTAAATGCTCAACATTTCACAAATAATACCGTCTATGAACCCCACATTAATTGTATTTCGACTGTCTGCATTACAGTTTAGCAATGAGTTTGTCTCTGTTCTCGGAGGCCTTGTTTTGGTAGTAGGCCAATAAATCTCCGCAGATTTAATTGTTTGAATAATCCGTGATGTATTTGTGACCGGGCGAGAGGCTCGACTGCTGATCGCGTGAACGTCTCGTCCAATTTCACATGTACTATTTCTTGAAGCTGTGAAGCTAGCTGTCCTCAAAATTATGGAGGTCAATGTGCACAGATGTAACTGACGGAGAATTCAACCATCGGCTGTGCACTTCATTGACAGGACCTTAACATCTAGACGTATCTGAACAAAGCATTATGACGTTTACAGTTCATTCGTTCAGGTCGTGATTTAACAACATGAATTTTCACTTCCGTACTTTTGTTATGTGGCCCGATGTGGTGGAGGTACTAAATGTCGACCCTGGTTACATCTATGTACGTAGTAGGCCTTTGAGTCGTTGATGGTCATGGAAAACCATTTCCTAAATACGCGAGAAAGTGTATGAAGCGGTAGTAAGCAGTTCGAAGTATATACATTAGGAGCAGAGCGGCGGGCGCTCCGTACAAGCGTAAAAGATTTTGAAAACACTGTCTCTAAATTTTTATTCTAACTATATATATAGTATTTCGTTGGTGAAACTTGTTTCTTGTATAGTTATGTATACGGGCAAGTCTCTTTTTGCGGAGTAGGAGGAGGTTGTTGACGTTGAGTTGTGGGCTGTGTTGGGGTCAGGCGAGAAGGGCGATGTCGGCATCGGCGCGTCAAACGTGACAGGGCGGTGGCGAGCGCGCGGGCAATCTGCCGCGCCAGACGGCTGCGGCGACGGCGTGCGCTCCGTCGCGCCGACTCGCCTTTTCTGAAATTGCACCACACACTCTTTTTTACTTTCCACGTCACATTACTGCGAAACACACACAAACGGATACACGGGTGCTGTTATTTTTGACGCTACAAACAACAATACAGCTTCATTGACAGAAACTCGGAATGTCTTGTTAAAATGTACGAATGCTTCGACGCACGATTGAAAACATCGGCCGTTTTACTATAACTTTTAATGTTGTAATTAATCTGAAACGTTACTGGGAAAGTTCACTAGATAGAACTTGAGGAAATCCGTAGTGAACGGTTCTATAAGTTTTAGATTTCATAGCTAAGCTCAAAATCTCCAAAATTGCTCGTATCAACTTCATAGTGAGTACGAATTGATTTTTTTATATTTTAGCGGTTCTAGTAGAACTGGACATTTTTCGTAGACTTTATTATCTAAACCTCGCGACTCGTTGTTGCAACCGCCAATTTTTGGGAATATTTAAGAAAATTCCTACAGTAGGTAATTAAACAAATGCAACATTCTCCATTATTTAAAAAAGAAACGGATCGATGTGTTTAATTTTTACTGATTTCTAATGCGAAAAGAGCAATGTTAAATAGTTGCCAAGAACGGTGAGCATTTCGTTTTACGGCCTCTAATATTAATGATTCTATAATTAGCAAAGTGACCCGTCAAAGTGTACGCACAATTTGAAGAGACATTCTCCTTGTATACATTGTCAGCAATGAGTAATAATACAAAGGGCCAAGAATTAATGTCTATGACAATGAATACATTAATCCATTAAAATAACATTAATACATTTAACATTCACTATATGCAACATCCTACATAATTATAGGTTTTAGTTTTATAGTGAAGTGACGGTTTGGGACGGTATGTATAAGCCATGCTTTTATTGAAGGGTACATTGATATTAGCATTAAACTGTGAAACAAGTACGCTGAATCTAGATTAGGTTAAGCACCCAGGGTCGAATAGAGATATAAACACTCAAGTTAAATTGTAGGGATTGGTAGCATAGGGTTCACGCTTTACGCACTATGTTTGTCACAAGCAAACATCACTACAAACATCGTAAGAAAATCTCCACACCGATATACGATAGATATCACGGCGAAATCAACTTCCGAAGAAAAACAATATCTTTTTATTCACATTTTAGTTATTCTGCTCCGTAGAGGTTTTCGCTGATTTGTGTTCGCTTGCCAACAGGGTAGTCGCTCTTAATAAGAAATATTTAAGAACTTAACGTTAATACACAAAACTGATCTTCGTGAAGAGAGCCTGTGCATTCTTCGGAAGTAATTGTCCGTTGAGAAGGAAAAGTCAGGGCCAAGAGTCCATTAATTAAATATATACAATAGAATACACATTATAACAAATTCACAATAATGCGGAACATGCGATAGTTTGTATTTTCATCAAACGGAATCTTAATTGGACTGATTTACTGTAAAGCTCTATGGGGACATAACACATCAGAGGAAATGCATTTCTCCGCACGCCCACCGTACATACTACACTGTAATAAAATGAGAATTTTGAAAACAAATTATTGTTACGATTTGTTAACTTTGTTATGGCCAATTCGGTAAGGTATGTCTAGCGGTGTAGCATACCTGGAAATGTTTGACGTATGTAGGGCATGTCGGATGTATGGTAACAAAGTAGGGTTGTGTGGGTAGGGCATGCTATAATGATTATGTTTAACTTACATTCTCTAATGAGCTCAAACTGTGGAGCTCGACGTACCCTATTGCTATAATGAAATGTGTTATTATTTAGCCACGGCATTTCAAGGGTAGGTACACAACTGCAATAGAGTTTAGGGATTGTACCAAGGTCGTACTTCAATTTGATTAATAAACATTTTGATTAGGACGATTGTGCGGGAGCAGCGACAGCGAGCGGATGGCGGGGAGTACAGCAGCAGGCACGGAGGCGTGATGGATCCCGACATCGATTGGGGCCGCGACCGAGCGACCCCGTGCACCCGAGCACGTGGCGATGGGGAAAGGGGGCGCGTGCGTGACGTCACGGGTTCAGGCGCGGGGCGGCCGGCGGCGCGTTGCCGCAGCGGCTATCGATCCACGAGTCTCCGCACTCATTCAAGCCGCATCGAAGGGCGGCCGCTGCACCGCTGCGTCGTGCTTGACATGTGTGCTCAATGGTGCTGCACCCCCATTCACTCGCACTGCAGTCTGCCTCGCAGGCATTCCTACGCGTCGTTCCACGTTGTCGACCGATCGCCCGATTTCGAATGCGTTTACCGCACGATTTATGTTACGTTGCCAATTTGACGAGAATTCCGATTAATTATTAATGCTAACGCTCCGCGTTTCGAGGGAATTTTACTTTTATACCAATCAAGAGATTGAAGAAGTTCAGCACATATATGTTTGGCTTTTCATTTTGTGAATGTATTGTTATACTACAATTTTCTTTGTCGATCTAAGAAATGGCGCCAACAAAATGTGTAGAAAATGAATCTGTGTACCGTCATTAAGCGGTGAAAGTAAGGCTGAAGCAGCTAGGCGCTTTCTGAAAGAGTCGTCATTAGCTTTGTTCGTGTTTACATTGTTGTTATATAATGTATGCGTAATTATTCAACCTCGTTGCATCAAGGGAAGGAATTACATCCGGTAGCTTTTTTAATTCATTAGCTGCTCAAGCTAGCACCAATCGTCCTGTATCTTTCGAATAGTTTAAAGAGGACCCTTAACTCAAACAGTCTTTTTACGCATGCGATAAATGCGCCTTTGCAATTTATATTACCTAGAGGTTGAACTGTTGTTCAATTGTTTTTTATTGATAGTTTAATATCGTCGTGTTTATCGTTTGCGTAAAAAGCCACACAAATATACAAGACATCTGTAATTTAAAAAAGTTTTATCTATCATGAGAAAGAGTTGAAACACTGTAGTCGATTACCATGGGATTTAAATAATGGCATTTGACAATGTATGACGAGATTCAAAATAGGTTAATGTATTTAGATTTTAATGTGAACTTTAGAAAAAGTGAAATCTGCCAATTGTTGCTATGACATCAGGAGTATAAAAGTGATTAGTTAGCGCTTGTTACTGCGACGAATCCTGCATGCCTGCTAGATAGCAATGGATCATGGGGCTCAAAGCTATTATCCAATTTACTTAATTCGAAAGGTTTAGGTATTCGGCAATGGATCATCGGGGACATAGGAGCGGCAGGATACTAACCCATTGGTCAGACATCTGTCTCGACGGCATCTGCACTGTGTAGGTTGTTGACGCGTACAGTGCAAGTTGTGCGGCGGCGGGGATCGCGGCGAGTGGCGCCGGTGGAGACGGTAGGCGCGGCAGAGGAAGACGCGTTGGATGCCGATGCCACAGCTCCGGAGACGGTGGCCACTATTCCAGACGTGGTGGCGACTATTCCAGACGTGGTGGCGACTGGTCCGGATACCGAGGCGATTGGTCCGGATACCGAGGCGATTGGTCCGGATTTTGAGGCGATCGGTCCGGATTTTGAGGCGATCGGTCCGGATTTTGAGGCGACCGGTCCGGATTTTGAGGCTATCGGTCCGGATTTTGAGGCGATCGGCCCAGATGCGGAGGTCACAGGTCCACATGCGGTGGCTTCAGTCCCTGTTGTGAAGAGGATTGGACCGGACGCGGAGGCCACGGGTCCGGATGCTAAGGCCATGTGTCCGGATGCAGAAGGCATGGGCCCGCATGCAGAGGGCATGGGTCCGGATGCGGAGGCCACGGGTCCGGATGCGGAGGCCATGGGTACGGATGCGGAAGCCATGTGTCCAGATGCGGAGGCCACGGCTCCGGATGCTGAGGCCATAGAGCCAGCAGCGACCGAAGCAGAGGCCATGGAAGCGGCGGCGGCTGCAGCGGCGACGGCACCGAAAGCAAGGCTGTCAAGAGCCACTGCGTTGGCATGGGCTTGCGCCTGGGCGTGGGCCTGAGCCTGGGCCTGAGCGTGGGCTTGGGCCTGGGCATGGGCCTGCGCTTGGGCGTGGGCCGCGGCCTGCGCCTGGCGAAAAGCCAAGCGTTGAACTGCCAACGCCTGCTGCCTCTGCAGCTCATGTTGTTGCAGCTGCGGAGATATTAGTGCTGTACTGTAGTATTACGACATCAACAAAACTGCTTACACATTTTCAGAAACAAGATGTACAGACACGTTCTTCACTATTGCGAATTTTGAATTACAAAAGCAAAATTCGCGCTGCGTTAAAAATTATTTCTGTGTGTTCCGAGGCAAAATAATTGTGAATAAATATCGACCTGGTTTAGGCGCAGGGCATCCTGGTGCTCAAGTGCCGCGATGTCATCCACGTTGCCGGCTTCCATCACCGCCTGCTGTTCTAACAGCAGCCGTTCTTCTTCCCGGAGACGACGGAGATTCTGCTCTAGATTCGGATCAGCCACCAGCGCTACTGTTTCATCCAAGTCCATCATATCAGAGGATGAATCGCCACTCACGGATGACTTCTTCTGGATCGGCCCTGAAACTGTCCGCACAAGTCATATATTCCGTTCATGAAGCGTTAAATCAATAATAATATGATGTACATACTCGATGACGTTCCTGCTTACGACCATCTCGGACGTGAAACATGCAGTTTTTAGAAGACGACTTAGCAAAATAATACGGTCGTTAAAATTCACACGTATGATATAAATGTTACTCTATGAAATATACAATAGCCGGTGAATAATAGCGACATAACGAATCTTTAAAACTTTGTACAATTTACTAGCGCTAACAAGGGAACGTTGTTAGTAATATTACTTTTGTGGTTATTTATTGATGTTAACAATGCAGCATTACATTGATATGCCCTGACTCGCACTTAATCTTGAAATGAACTTAGCATAAAATTATACCGAACAAGTTTCATATACATGAGATATTTTGTTAAAAAATCAAACCTGGAGATACAAACCAGGGATAAATGTTAAAAAATATAATAATGTTGTTGGAAAAACTTACCAGGGCTTATAACTGAATTGCGCAACTACAATCTAGCTCAACACAAAATTAAAAAGCAATTAATTAAATATTGGAGTGGTAAGTTACTTAAAACAATATAGCAGTAGTTTCGTCACGGACAATTCTTCGTAAATTTAATAAAATGAAAAGTGAGCATCGGTTGTTGTATGAAAATTTGTTTGAAAATTTTAACGCCCATACATTCGTTACACGTTTTCGTTCTAAAGGTTTTGAAATGTAAGTATTAAAAATTCTTTTTAAAAAGTTAGTTTTTGTCCGGGACGATAGAAACGTGCATTAAATGACACAAAAAGAATTAAACAAAAACACAATACAAGTAAAATTAAACTTACTTTTACGAAGTCACAACGAAAAAAATTTTGATTCAAAAGACCGTTGCAATAAATTACGAATAAACAAAACAACATGTTTGCCTCCTCGATAATATTCATCCTCGGTAACTAGGAAAGTACATTTTATAGGAAACTGACAATATTAACATTGTATAGGTATTTAATATATTAAACCGTTTTCACACCAGATCTGGCAACAGCCAAATAGCGCATAATATGACGTTGCTATGTACGGTTATGTAAATCTTTTAGTCTAGGGCTTGCTCCCGGGAATTCCTGGTTCCGGTAATACCGGGATATCCTGGTACTGGCGAGGTGCAATCAGTCCCGGTACCGCGGTTATAGATTCCCGGTCCCAGTTCATCGGTCATATTTTCTTCACATTAGTTAGGGCATCCCAAAAGAGGTACTTCGAGTGCCGACCGGAGAAATGAACGCCAGAATTATCACAATTCACAGGTCACCCGGAAACTCGGATGAAACGCTTGGACCGCTTAACTTTTTCGCATTTAGCTAGTAATGGGATGCATACGAGCGTCCACCTTTCTATTAGTCTGATATTTCCCAACCCCAAGATCCCTAACTCACATCGTCTTTCTCAAGCAATCTGTCGCGTGAAGGTGCGTCCTTGGTCGAGAGAATCTTTGCCGTTTCTTTCGGCCACTCGAGACACGCCATCCACCCATATAATCGGTTTCTTTGTCTGGTTTTAAGGCTGGCAAATATTCAGGCTCTTCAGACATGACACGGACATTGACATCACTTTGGTTTTCTTTCCAATATTTTTGGTCAGTGCACATAGTATATCCGTGTTATAACTCTTCTCGGCTTTATAATAATGGAATGGGCTAAAATATAGTACGATAGTATACAATATTGCAATGGTGGCAACCCTAGATGCGAAACCCATTTCGTGTATACAGATTTTTTTTTAAAACACACCGATATGCGGTTGCCACATTGTACCAACAACCTTATCTAGATAGGTTTTCCTAATTTTGTTACTCTAAAGGAAGCTTACTAGTTTTTTGTTCTTCAATTATTTTGTATATCTAGTCACAGTGGCGCATGTGCCCTAAGGCTAATAGTAGGCCAGATTTTAGGGGCGACCAGTCGTGACAAAAAATTCACTGATGATAACAACAAATAACTCAAAGTATTACCCAAATATTCTACAGGCTCACGCACATTATGGCGCGCAATGCACCGTGTTATACGACAAACAATAATCTTCCTAAATCACTTCCGTACATTTTTATATATCTATACATTACATTATATATATTCACTACATACCGCTTCTGTCTGTCTGATAGCGATAAACTCAAAAACTACTGAACGGATTTTCATGCGGTTTCCACCAATAGACAGAGTGCAGCTATTATATTATAGTTAACTAAATTTCTGAATCGACTTCGATAAAAGGTGTAAAATTTATTATGTAGTCTACCAGTATATATTGAGTGCTGCGTAAGGGGCGGCTGGTACTGACTACACGGCCTGGGGCCTAGGGCGGCCAAGACTGCAATCCCGCCACTGTCTAGTCATAAATAATCAAGCTCTAAATATATTTTTATATGACACCAACACATAATCGTAAAAAAAAAACATAAACTGTCTGTTTCTATGTGAAAGCGAGCAAAATATAACAAAATAAATAAAGCAATTTCAACTCAAACATTGTTCTATTAAAACATAATGGATAAGAAAAATAAATAACATTTTACTATCTTAAATTTATACAACACTTATGGAACTAATATGTACAGAAACCCACAATCGCCACTTCGTCCCTTATTCAATAATATCACATTTATCGTCTCTGTCGATCTTAACGAGTAATGTCTAAAAACTGCATAAAATAAAGCACTATTCGACTAAATGATCGCTGCAGACGTCGTCCTTCTCATCGTCCTTCCCACCTGAAATTACCGAAAGTCAACATAAAAGAGAAATGTGAAAGCTTCATGCGATCAAAAAATCTAAGGTATCTAAAAAAGCTAATTCCAGCATGCATTTTATAACATAAAATGACATTTAAGTAAAACGTGATATTCGTAACTATTGCTGCAGGCGTGATTGCAATTTGTAGAAATGGCTACATTAAGCTAATGATTTGATGAAGGATCCAGAAATAGAAATTTTCCATCGCTCCCTTCTTGTGGTCCCAAAATCTTTACTGTTGCTACACTTCTGCGCTTGCATTTATTTTCTGTTTCATTTATTGTAACATCCGAAGCACCAACGAACGTCTTTGTCATAAACTCGTTGAACAAAGAATAATCACTTACTCAGATAGGGCTCGCCCATAGTGCCGGGCAGATAAGGACAGCTGGTGACGTGATTGAAATTCTGCGACTGCATCTCCTCCTGGTCCGTCTCGCGGTGGTAGAAGTAGTTGAAGTTGGACACGATGACCGGCACTGGCAGCGCGATGGTGAGCACACCAGCGATCGCGCATAGAGAACCAACGATTTTGCCCCACACTCCGACTGGCCTGTATCACAAAAAATCACTATAACCCTCCTAAACGGATCCGGCAAAACACTAAGGCCACTAACTAAATGTTACTTGTACGCGAATAATGAACGCAGTTATGATGAACATGAGTTAATTTTAGTAAAATTACATACCATTTTGTTTACTAGAAAAGTAACATCGTCGTTATAGTAAAACGGTCATTGGTGGGATATCCGTTGGTAAAAATTAATTAATTGAAAAGAGGAAAATACGACTCAGACTTCAGAACCTGATTCATAACAGTCTGACTAGAATGTTCCGAAACACAGTTCAGAGTTGATATTTTTCGCTTTTGATTTTTGGTTCCTAGCAGCGTAATTGGCTACCCGAGCGTCCCTCTGTAGAGTGCGAACTATAAGAAAGATGAGACAAGTTCAATGTTTGATTTTTCTTATAGATTATTCGCAATCTGCAGACGAGCGCGTCGGGTAGAATATTTGGTTAACATTCGCCACGCAGTATTGGAGTATAGAACAGGATGTCGCAAGCAATACAATGTCGTCCATCACCTTACACACTCGCCAGCTTTGTCACAGTTTGACTGCAACTTGTCGGGCATCGCTCTGCTTTGGTCATCGCCAGCTTCACAAATGTGTCAATTGTGTTTTGTTTGTCGAAACAAAGTTAAACGTAATTGGATATTCAAGTGAACTTGTAATAAAAGGTACCGAAAATATTAATGGTTACGTCTTTAGTGAAAAACGTGCGTTTTTAAAAATGGGTAAATTTTTTAATTTAAATTTTATACTAATTGCAAAAGAAACAGAAGTTCCTCTCATACTTCGCGTAACTATTGTAGGAAATCTGTACAGTGTAAATATTAGGTAGTTTGTATGAAATTTACTAAGTTTTTTGATGTAGGTACTCGTGATAAATGTCCAATGTTTTGTTTTGTAAAGTTTGAAATAGACCAGACGAACAGACACAAGTGTAGACATTTTGTATACATATAGTAATAACTTTGTTTGAATCAAAATACCGTGTAAATATGTGCATACACACTGCGTAAATTACCAAGGGGTACATTTTCTCACAGTATAAATAGACATAAATATCTTTAAAGTCAACTATTTACACAAACTATAAAACTAAACAACAACGATAATGGAAACTAGGACATATAGTCAAAACTACTTGGTACATTGCAATTAATACGTTGCCGTTTGTCATGTCATTTTTTTGATATTATTTCTATGTACGGATATTTTTGACACATTTTCTGGCAATCGCAACGTACCAATTGGAAATAAATCAAGACAAAATGGAAGGCTAGACAAACATCTTTAAATATACCCTCCGGTGCTTGTACATCCAACTTGCAAACAGACTAGAGAGAACTATGTAATCATTCTAATAAAGTGGTCTAAAAAAAGGTTTGACATGCATGTGTGCAGATACTAGTCACGTTTACCAGACCGTGAAGACAATCTCTATCGAAAATGGTGTAAAAAGCCGATGATCGGAAGCTTGTTATGAAAACAAAAAAGCCAGGATGAGATTTAATATCAATTTTACATAGCAGCTTTATGTGTAATTTACCATATTTGGGCGACCTTGCCGAGTAATAGGCACATTCCAAAGGAACATTAAGAGAGAGAAAGATAAAACTATAAGTGGGCTCTGATATTGCGTCGGATGAATAAGCAAAATAATGTGTAACGTTGCCCTTTACGAAGAAAATAATGTTTTGGTACTCATATCCATTGATGTATTGCATTTGCACACACATACTGATGGCACCATTTTCGATGAGCTGATACGGACGTCAATATAACAGCACAACACCAACACAGAAATAGGGGGCACTTAGGGTCACTTTAGCGAAGCAGAACAGGAACAAACATTCGAAGGAAACGATAGTCACGGACATTGGAAGGTTGCACTTCAACTCAGTGTTAAGTACAATGCAGATAGAACTTGGGTTAGGTGTAACACTGTTCCGTAATAAAGTTGCAAGTGTTTCACAAGATTCACATTTAAAGCCGTTCTCTCTCAAGTGATTACGCTTTGGAAAGGGCGATTGTCACAAATGACATATTATATGGTAGTGTACGAACAAGCCAGCACATTCGACACGAATTAGGTAACATTGGTTTGCATTCGAAATTTTGCAACTTTGCTTCTATGTAAAATTGAAGAGGGAAAAGATTTATGAATAAAAACAGACTTTCAAAACAACATAAAGACAATTATGGAACGGTACGTCGTGCAAACATCCGTAAAGTGAATAACAAAACGTGAAGTGATCTGTTAAGGTCTAAGCGGTCCGACGACGGTCAAATTAAACGGAAGCAAAATGTAGTTTACAATGAACTTGCGAAAGGAAACTACAGTCGTGTTAAAATGCCAATGGAACCTAAGTTTTAGGGTAAAAAATGAAATGACGAGAAGGCAAAGATGAAATTTAAGGTTGAAATCGCTTGTTTATCATACGTCATGTCCCCGTATCCTACGGTCGTCATTGTCACGACCGCCCACCAAAACGCATCAGGTATGGATTTGAAGAAACTGTTCTCACTTCCGGCTTCAGCGAAGTACACCGCAGATGAAAACAGCACCACACCTTAAAGAACAAGCATACACCAACGGAGGATACAGTGCGACATATAGTGCCAGGGAGAGCGGCGAAGGAGCGAGCGAGGGCGTCGTGCGACGCGGGTTACCTCATGTCTCCATAGCCGACGGTGGTCATCGTTATGACTGCCCACCAAAAGGCGTCGGGTATGGAGGAAAAATTTGTATCTGGGCAATCTTTATCGGCAAAGAAAACGGCACTGGAGAACACGACCACTCCTGCGAACACATAACAGACTGTGTACGCAAGCCGGTGGTAGGCCCGCGCCGCCCGCCGGCGCCGCAATTTCTTTTCTGTCCTCCTCTTTGGGATTTCTTTTCGCCGACCTCGGCGTACGTCTTCTTCAGTTCTAGACACATCTATGTTAATAACAAGTAATTGTTGTTCCCCGTCATGAACCTACTCGACGATTCCACGACGATGTTGACTCTAGAGTTGTGCATGTCGACAGGCAGGTACGTATGTCGAAGAATACCTACTTGTAGGGTGTTAAAAATCCGCCAATAAAATTCAACTATTACGAGTAACTATGCGATCCAAACAAAAACGGACGTGTTTTGGGCTAATTACATTAGATTAGTACTATTTTTCATATATTAGCAATCGCTGTAAGACTTGTACGTGATTCATGTATTATCGTATTAACTTGCTTATGTAATTGACAAGAATTTTTAAAATATGTGAATGGGTATTGGCGTTCTTTCTATAGAATCATCAAACGTAATAAACTGAGACAAAGTCACAATGGGCCTGACGTTGAGTTGGTAACGCCCAGTACGACTACATTTCGGATACTTTTTCTTGAAATCCGTCAAAGACTATTTAACTTTTATATACTCGTACATACGTACTACAAATATATAGAGTAAACAAGATTACTCTTTGACAGCCCTTTTCTCATTTGGTTCGCATTATACTTTGTTATTTCAATGTAAAGAATGGGTGCCAATTGCCACTTACCGATGAACAGGAAAAATATAAGCAGCCCGAGTTCGCGCATAGATGCTTTTAGAGTCCGTCCTAAGATTTGTAATCCTTTGGAGTGACGGGACAGTTTGAAGATACGGAAGACTCGTACGAGACGAATCACTCGTAATATGGCAAGACTCATGGCCTGGTTGGTAGATTTGTCCTGTGGAGAAACTGGTGCTCTAGGCAGGTTCAAGGTGTCTTCCTCCTCAGCGACGACAGTAGCCAGGGTGATGAAGTAAGGTATGATCGCAATAATGTCTATAATATTCATCACGTCTCTGAAGAAATTGAACTTGTTCGGACACGCTAAAAAGCGTACTATGAGTTCAAAAGTAAACCATATAATGCAGAGAGTCTCAATCAAGAAGAATGGGTCCGTGATATCGGGTACTTCGTCTTCTTCGATCTTGGTACCGTTGGTGGTGGTGTTGAAGACCTTGTAGTGTTTGAATTCCGGTAGAGTTTCTAAGCAGAAGATGACAATACTTAGCAGGATAACAAAAACCGAGATGATCGCAACGACGCGCGCAGCCTGGGAGCTCTCAGGGTATTCGAACAGGAGCCAGATTTTGCGCTGGCGCTCATTAGATGGAAGTGGCTTCTCCTCCTCCTTTATGAAGCCCTCGTCCTCTCTGAAATGAATTTGGTTGGTTAATATGAACACTCACAAATGTTTGTGATCGACTTAGCACTATGTAGGACGTATACCGGAATTTGTTAGTAGCCTGCTCTCCGAGTTCGTAAAATTTAATTTCTTCTGAAAAGACGTCCAAAGGGACGTTGACGGGGCGTCGCAGGCGTCCCCCGCTTTGGTAATAGTACAGTATTGCGTCGAACGACGGTCGGTTCCGGTCGAAAAAATACTCGTTCCTGAAACAAATGTTACATCTACATCCTGTATAAATATATTACGAGTCCTTGTGCCTGTCTTTCAGAAAACAAACAAAGTTTACCTATGACCTATGTGAGTATTGTCATAGGTGTTTCGTACCCTGGATTAGTTGGAAAGCCTAAAGACAAGCTCTTAACCATCCACATGAAAGCGTCTTAAATTCACAACATATGCCTGTAATTTTGTTTGACGTAATGCAATTTGAGCCGAGTACATTTTATCCTTTCCGTTTTTGTGTTATCGAAAGTGGGGTGCAAAAGTAATTACCGTAGCGGATCGAAGTACCGTATCCTTCGTGATGGGTCCCCCAGTAACGTCTCCGGGAATTGGTTCAGTGTTCTTAGCTGGGTCTCGAACTTCAAGCCACTCACCTGTTAACAAGCGTGCACAATTGTAATACCTTAAATAAACTAAAGCTCTATAATTTAGAAAAATAACGTATGTTTTTAACAGTGACGGATTATCCTATAACTTAGGTACCTTAAATAAACAATTTACGGCATCAAGTTTCAAGAGACACCAGTTCTATAGATAAAAAAATTTAAGCATTTCTTAAAAAGTTAAGAATCCGAATTTTTTGCCAACGCACAGTAATGAATTTTTTAGTAATATCCCTTAAACAATGGCGGGGGTTGGTGGCTCTTCAGTTACAACCTGAATAAGATAGAAACTTTGTTTAAGTAGTAAAATTTTTCGTCCTTCGGGACAGCGGTCTCTCTTATTCTCCTTTAGTTATTATCAAATAAGAAAAAAATACTACCAAATCAAAAGACAAAGCCAGGTATGAAGCTCCATTCGAATCAAGCGTCTTTTTATTTCGTAGAGTTTTTGACAGTAATTGTTTCGGACTGATGTCGGACACAGAACGAGTAGACACCCAGGCTAAGGCGGAAACTTTGTTTGAATACTAAGGTATTTGGTGTTTTGTTTTATGATATCAAGTGACGGGACGAACAAATCGTGCGCCTGTTGGTAAGCGACACGCCTGTCCACGACAGTTGAAGTGCCGCTCAGAGCTTTAAAACGCAAAGATTGGACGGGTACAGCCACAGCTCCCGTCATCCCGAGACATAAGTTGACAAGTCCCATGTGCCTGTAATTTCACCAGCACCCCTACCCTTCATAACCGGAACGCAGTAATGCTCACATACGCTGCAGAAATAGGTAAAGTGGCAGTACTTCCCTGGACGAACCCTTTCACAAGGAGCTGTTGTTGGAAAAAAGGGTACTTTACCTTACCTATTGGTTCCATTTAAAATTGAAGAAAATATTCCACTTCTAAGGGTGGCAAACTAGGGGATGAATCCGGTTTCGCGCACTTTGCGGTAACCGATTTCAATAAAACTTGGCAAATAGATGTAATGAATGCTACGACTGTGGTTAGTTTTTATAAAAAGGTTACAATTACTTAAAAGCCAAAATAACTAGGTAGCAGTGGCGACGTATCTATTCAACGGGACTCCTATCAGTTTGCCTAAGAAACAAAAAAATATTTTTATATTAATAATTCTTTATAGACAGAACAACTTCCACACGGCATTTCCAACTCGTTTGTTTTGAATAAAACACAAAACACGCCTACTCTCCTAGGGCTGTGTAATGGCCTGTAGCGACTTCCTATTGAAAGTTAAGAAGTTTATCCTACAAAATGAACATTTTGAAATTGCATAATCATAATCCTTTGCTCTTTGTTCTTGAGTCTGGTGATCTGGGCGATAAAATATATTTCAGACACAAGTTCGTTATATTCATACCATTCATCGTTAATATTCATATTATTGAACGAAATATACCCCGTCTTCATTTACTACGTACTACGTTTGGGTCACTGCGGTTATCTGAATTTATGTAAATGCACTGGTTAAAGCGGCCCTTCTACAGATTCACATCCTCATAACTAATTATAGCGTACATCCAGTTTGATAGAAGGAGAAAAGCTATTTCAAGTTCAGTGTGTAACTGACTCTGGGTCGCATGCCTTGTATATCATAGCTTATGTTGGGTTACAAGTTCGATCCATCAGTGTACCATAAATGGCAACTGTCATTCTAGAAACTGTTCTGTTTCCAATCTTCCCTGGTGGAGAATTCTGTCTCGTAGAGTTTCCTGACGTTTCGCTCGGTAAGCATGACATCAGATATTATTTCCAAAACAGGATGTAACAGAATTGAGTTTCGGACGATAGAGAATCTCCTCTTTGTTCTAACCACAAGCCCATGCCAGTGTTGGTCTTAGCTTGAATATTTGCTGGACGGCAAATTTAGCAAAGGAAAGCAGAGCCGCTCTGGGTAAGGTGGACTTGGCGCCATTTGCGAGCATATGATGCATATGAGGCCACCCTTCCTTTCCCTGTAGCGAAATTCTGGCCCTAACTCTGAGAGCAGGTTAGGCATTCATTGTGTAGTAGAAGAGACGACATTTTTGCAGTTAAGACCCTTCGATAGATTTCCATATGTACGTAAGTGGTATTTGTTTATCCACGTAATAACGTCCAACCTTGTGAACAAGGTGGAGAGAGGGTGTTGATTTTCCACTTTGATAGGCATGTTGAGTATGGTGGACACAGTAGAATAGAATAGAATAGAATAGAAAACATTTATTCCTTAAGTAGACAACACAGTACACATGCATTTTGTAATAATAACAATAAAAATAGTACTAACTACAAATATATAGAAGAGTACAACGCGTGTGTGCTGTGCTGCCAAGGAATCCGTGACCCACTCAGCTTATTGTCGTCTCACTTATGGTGCTACGACGCTGATTTTCAGCGGATCCGGCAACAGAACACACGTGTAAGATACATTCTTCATTGCCTTTAACAAGAATGAGGTTAGGGAGACTGTTCGATGAACGTCATCAAATGTAAGAAATCCTTCCTTATTAACTTCGATATAAAAACAGCTGTGATCATTGACCACTACGCTGATACGCGTACCCACGGGAGTATTACTTATAATTTTGTCCACTAATAATGTACAATCCAGTTTTTAGATCACATAATACCATCATTCTTTGACATTGTACAACACGGCATTGATCTACAAAAAGAAGCAATAATGTTAAAAAGTGAACTTATTAACAAAATTATAAATCCAAAAGTAAATGTTGAGTTAATAAGTAAGTAAGTGCGAATATATGAATCCGCTCTAACTCCGTCCTTGACCGTACGTCACAGTAAGTGAAAGATATGTGGTCGTCGTGGATACTTTTCCTTATTATCTTCCATCAGTGTAATATGTTATTTACAAGATTTGACAGTGGGCATTTTAATAAACGCTGTTCACGAATTTCGCAGGCGACGGGCAACTATTACGTTCCTAGGTCATTCCTAAACTGTGGTATAGTAAATTGGGAGTTATATATAGTTCTATGCCAGTGTGAGAAGTCTATTTACTCGCAAGTCGCGCAGTAGGGAAACATAAACAAGTAGAGATGAAACAAAATCAAATTATCGTCCCGAAGCCCATGTGCGGATATACATAGCCTAGTACTCGCTAACTGGAAGACAATAGCGAAGTCATTTTATGAATATATGAAATAATAACGAGAAACTAAACTGTAGAGTGAGATCATTGACACTGCGGATGTTCGTAGAAACAACGATGCGAACATTGCCAAGAAGGTTACATTACCTATTCGTTTTATACTCTGTCTGCGTGCAAGTTCACGAGGTTAGTAAAACACTACTGAAAAGCAAAACAAACGTAAATATCGCCACGACAGCAGCTGAAAAGATAATCGATGCGATATTTACGAGCGCCAAGAACTGTGAAGGGTATAAATTAACTTTACGATTTGCGGGTCCAATACAGTTCCACGCAAGTTTCACACGATATTTCTTTCGCCGCCGCGGATGTTACTCTGCGGTTGGCAATGGACCGGTCCAAAAATACTTTTTATTGTACGTTCTCCAAGGGCGAGGTGCGCGTACCTATTGCAACCGCTAACATGCGCACACGTCAAGCTACGAGCTTTTATGAAAGATTTTAATTAATTTTCCAAAGGCGTTACGATGTACACGTAAACCGCGAATGGTCTCGTTTTAAGGTCACACATAATCACCTTTAAATATTCCCTACGAACACAATCAACGCTGTGTCATATTAAATGTGGTCTCGAACCTTAGCTGGGGAAATGGTACGAACGTAAACAATCAAGTGTTATTAGCACAAAAAAAAATACACGTGCAACAGCCCGTAGGACACCTCATGGTTCATGTAAACCTATATCCAAGGATGTTGGTTTGTTACCCCTGCCTGCCTTATATATTTATGAGGCCAGCATTTTTGTAAAAAACAATATAAACATGATTATTTTTTTATAGTTCGTTCAAGGAAGTACGACGACCTTAACTATTTCTGTCACCAAGCAGTAATGCACACATTACTGCGTTCCGGTTTTGAAGGGTTAGGGTGCTGGTGAAATTACATGCACATGGTATTTTTCAAATTTTGTCTCAGGGTAATGGGTGCAGTGCCCCTCAGATCTTTGCGATTTAAACTCTGAGTGGCACTGCAACTGTTATGGACAGGCGTGTCGCTTACCAACAGGCGCACGACTTGTTCGTCCCGTTACTTAGCATCATAAAAAATTACATTTGTGTACCGAAAATATTGACATCAACCCTTGAAATTACGGAAACCCCAACAGACAATTTTTTTGATGTACTTAAGATGAAGTAATATACAGTCAACCGTGACCATGGGACCTTTGTAGGGTCCGAAAAGTCGGTATGTATGAGTAAACAAATATACGGGATTTAAATCCGGAAAAATAGTTTCATTTCCTATGTGTAACAATCGCGAAAACCCAAGAACTCGATATGAAGAAATATAATCAAAATTGTTTGTGCATAATACGTATTAACAATTTTATATGCACTGCATATGTGTTAGAATTTACAACAGAGTACCAAATGAGATTAAAAACTAACTCATTACATTATTTAAGACCAAATTATACGAATTGTTGAGGGATAAAGAATATTCTAATATTAGGGAATGTTTTCAATAAATATTATTATATAAAATAATTTAAATTAATTTTTATCACACTTGCTCGTGAACAGTGTCATAACATGCAGGCAAAGTCGGCTGTAATGTGTTGAATTACGCCCACGGGCTATTTCATTGGACTTTTAAAAATTGAATTGTAATTTACCTCTCTTTTACGTTAAGATTAAGCAAAAAGTTTTAATACTCTGAATAATAAATCTGAATTATTTCATACAAGCTTTGAAGTATAGAAAAAAAACTAATTATTTGCGACATTAATTTTATAAATTAAAATTCCGCAGCATGATTAGAATGTAGTATTTTGAAATTATTTATTTTATATCTTTACCATCATAGCTATATGCGTTTTTGCC